GCTTATATAATAGGCTAGGCCTAGTAGAACTTTAGTAAGTAAAGCCTTAGAGCTTAGCTACTCTAACTACTAACGCCTACTAGAAATAGCTAGTACGCTACTAAAAGAACTATAAGTAGAGAAAAACTAGTACTATAGATCTTTAGTAAATTTATTTAATTTATACTAGTAACTACTCTTAGAGTTAGTTTCTTATATATTAGCTCTTCTATTAATTTTCTCTAAGTAGTATATAAAGGTTAAATTAAATTAGTTAAGTATATTTAACTAGCGTATATACCTCTTAGATAGCAGCCTTATAGTATAGAAATACTCTAGGTTTTTATAATTTATAATAATAGTAAACTTTAAGACTTATTAGAGTTTAGTACTCTATTAATTAATATACTTTATAATAGCTAATAGTTTCTTATTATATATAGTATAGTTTACCTTAGCTACTATATTCTTTACTAAGTAGTATACTACTATATAAAGTAGCCTATCTTTTCTAAACTATAAGAGAACTTTACTAGTTACTTACTTAAAGGTATTATATTCTATTACTATTTCTAGTTTTAGGTTAAAGTTAGCTAATACTAGCTTAGAAATAAAGGCGCTTTTAAGCTTAAAAAATACTATTTCCTAAAGTTCTCTTTATTAGAATACTACTTCTTTTCTAGTAAGTTTAGTTAGTAAGGTAATAATTTCTAAAAATCCTTTAATAAACTATTAGTAGAAGTTAGTAAATTTTATAAAACTTTAAATACCTTTAATACTCTTTAGTTATTCTTAAGTATAGATTACTACTATCTTCTTTAGGTTTATTTAAATACTACTACCTACCTCTATTATAAACCTTAGGTACTTAGTTTTCTTAATACTAAAGTTATATTTATCTATATCTTATTATAGGCCTACTACTCTAAGTTTCTAAATAATTACTTTAACCTAATATTTATAATTCTTTTATAATCTATTTAAGTAGATAAGTATATTATCTACGTAGGCTAAGTAGTATATATCTAAGTTTTTCTAAAGTACCTAATTAATATATTATTAAAATATACTAAAAGTATTAGTAAGACTAAATAAAGTAACTAGCTATTTATATAGCCTAAATTAGGTATAGAATATTATTTTCTATTTATCCTTCTCTACTATACATATCTAGTAGAAGGCTTAGATAATATCTACCTTTATAGACTATTTTACTTTAGTAATTTAAAATAGTATTTTATAAATAAGTAAAAGGAAATATCTATTTTTATATATAATAGTATTTAAAGCTTAGTAGTCTACGTAAAATTATAGCTCTCTTTTAAGTTTTTTTATAAATAGAATAAAAGTAGCAGCACTAGATTTACTTACTTAAATAAACTTATAGTTTAAGTATAATATAAGTTTTATTTATAGTACTAGTAGTTTTTTTCTTAATATATTATATAGTAGTTCTTATAGAATTTCTACTAGCTTACTATCCTTTTCTATAATCTTAATAAAGTAGTTAATAGTAACTTCTCTTAGTAATATAAGCTTATTAGCCTTCTTTTTTAAAAAAATTTTAAACTTACTTTATAGATAGCTTAGTAGCTTCTTTTAAAGGTTAACTATTTTCTTTTTCTTTAATACTTTCTTAATATCTACTATAGAGGTAGAGTATAATTAGATCTATTTATTTTTCTAAAATTATTTAGCCTAGGCTAAATATACCTATATACTAATAGCCTTAGAGATTCTTATAGGTATTCTGCCTTCTTAGCTCTATATCCTAGTCTAGCTACTATAGATAAATATAGATTTCTTTACTAGTACTAGTATTACTTAGTATCTATCTATCTAGAGTTTTTTTAAAATAAGGTTATACTTTTTATTTCTTTCTAGCTTATAGGCCTATATTTCTTTCTTATAGCTATCTATATCTATCTATATTTAGATAGCTACTTTTATTTAAAAGAACTTCTCTTTTATTTTAATAATAGGTTTCTATATAATTATAGTACGCTTTAGATTATTATTTTTTATAAACTTAAAGAAGATAACTAAATAAGTTAAGTAGTTAGTATTAATTAAAGTAGATACTATAACTATATTATTTATAATTATATAAATAGTTAATAGTTTTCTATCTAGCTAGTTTTACTAAAATAATAAGAACTACTTTTCTTTTTAATTTAGTTTCTTATACCTCTACTTATATCTATATATAGGAGTTTCTAGTTTTCTAAACCTACTATTTCTTTATCTAAAGACTCTTTTAAGTTATAGGTTACTATAAGAGTAGCTTAAGCTAGATAATTAACTAGCGCTAAAAAGTACTTATTAGTATAGTATCTAGGTTTTTTATAATATAGATATAGGTTCTTTTTTTTATAAAGAAAGTACTCTTCTTTAAAGGCCTATTTAGCTTTATTTTAGGTTCTACCTATTACCTTAGTTACCTAACTAAAGTAAGCTTTTAAGAGTTTTTAATTTATAAAGTTATTCTAGAAAGACTTTATATATAAGAAGGTAGACCTAATCTTAGCTCTAAAAAGATTTTCCTTAATAGTAACTACTTAAGTTATTAGTAACTAGATAGTTTAGTTACTTAGTACTTCTATAAATATTATTTAGTCTTATAGGTTAGGCTATAGGGCACTAAGATACCTTATTTTTAGGTTATTAGTATTACTCTTCTCTTTTACTTTAAAGGCTAGCCTTATAAATTCTATATTAAAGTATTATAAAGAAAGTTTCTTTTACTAAAAAGTTTAAAGTTTCTACTTAGCTCTCTTAGTATATAAGTTATCTATAAATTATTTATCTAGAAACGTTTATAAGCTTTCTATAGTACTTATTTTATTATAATCTATCTATAATAGAGTAATACTAGCTATAGGCTTCTTTAATTAGTTAAAGATATACCTAAAGCCTAATTCTAGTCCTCTAATATTATATTCTAGCTTATAGTTTATTTAGGTTTAGAACCTTTAATAGTTCTTTTAATTACTATTAAAGTAATTAGAATCTAGTATTTTAAAGTTTTTTATATAGGTTCTAGTAGTTACTATAGAAAAAGTTAGTTCTAGAACTATCTTTAGTCTATATACTTCTTCTTCTAATTATTAAACTCTTTATTTAGAAGAAGTAGGTAGTAGTAGTGTATTATTTTTAAAGAGGTTAATCTTCTAAGTTAGTATTTATAGCGCATTATATAGTTCTTTTAAAGAGGACTCTTTATTAGATCTCTTAATAGGTTATTTTTTAGCTACTACTTATAATAGATTAGCTATTAAGATTAGTATATTTATAAACCTTATTATCTATTATTTATCTTCTTAGAAACTCTAAGAAACTAGCTAAAGTTTTAGTAAAACTTTTTATTTATTTAAGTTCTATTCTGCTATAGTTTATAAGTATATTTTAATTACTTTTTATATAAAGCCTATCTCTACTAGCTATAAAGCTTTTACTTTTAGCTTAGTAACTATAGTATCTTTTTTAATAAATATACTGCTAGTAGTTTCTAAGGTATTATTAATACCTAGAGGTGTTTTTATAAGTAAATTTAAATATAAGGAGCTAACCTTAAGAGTAGTTACTAGTATAAATTAGATAAATTTACTAAAGATCTATAGTACTAGCTTTTCTCTACTTATAGTCCTTCTAGTAGTATACTAGCTATTTCTAGTAAGCTAGCTAAGGGCAGGTATTAGTAGTTAGAGTTACTAAGCTCTAAGGCTTTACTTACTAAGGTTCTACTAGGCCTAGCCTGTTATAGGGCTCTCTATTAGTAAATATATATAACACTAATATTACCTACTACTTAGACTAGCTGCTATTACTTACTAAGCTAGTAATTATTCTTTTACCTTTAAGATAGTAAGTATACCTATTAAAGAACTTAAAAGGAATTAGCACTTTATTTATATTTAAGATATTAGAACTTATAAATTAATTACTACCTTCTCTACTAGTTATTTAGGTGCCTATTAGGTCTATTCTTAGTAAAGGGCTTTCTTTTATTAATATATTAGTAAATAAGTTACTAGAGTTTCTTCTAATAAATTATAGGAACTAGTTTATTAACTTAATATACTTAAAAGAGAGTTTCTAAGACTAGTAGGTAAGGTATCTCTAGGATATATTCTATCTCTAGTAGAAGTTATAGAACTATCTATTTAATAGCTTAAACTTTAATCTCTACTTATAGTAAGCCTCTACTCTTTATATATACGTTTTAACTAGTAGTATTAAGTAGTACTAACTTTACTATTAGATCTAAGCTTATTACTATAAAGTGTTTTAAATAATATCTTTACTTATTACTAAAACTAGAACTTTAAAACTTTCTATCTTATTTTCTACTACTCTATAAACTACTTAAATAATTTAAGCTCTAAGTAAGCCTACTTTACTATTCTTACTACTAATACTAACTATAGTTACCTATAAGTAAGGCTTACTAGCTAGTACCTCTTTATCTATATATTTTAGTACGTAGCTATAGGTATCTTAAAGTATTTAAAAGCTTTTATAACTATTAGAGGTCTTTATACGCTATCCTATTTAAGGCCTATAAGGTATTTATACTTTTATTAGGTACTACTAAAGACTTCCTCCTTTTAAATCTAATAGTAGAGGAAATATATAATTAGTTAGTACTTCTTTTATAAAGAAACTTTATTATAGTTATAAACCTTTAAAGGTAAGAGTTTATATAGCCTAGTACCTAAAGTTTAGCTTTGCTAGAGTTTTACTACTAGGCTTAGCTTCTTTACTTAGGAACTTAAAGCTTAGAAAGTATTAGAGTCTAGCTTAATAAAGAGCGTATACATTATAGTAGATAATTATAAATAGTTAGTAATAGAGCTGTTTAAAGATAATAAAAGATTTTTAGTATATAGAATAGAGACTAATTCTAACAGAATCTAATATTAACTATGTAGTAGTACAGCTTAGTATACTCTTACATTAGATTGCTTACAATTCAGCCTAATTTACCCCTGTCTAGCATATAACAGATTGACTAAGTTTATACGGTATTGAAGACTTTGTGAAACAGCGGGGTGAACCCCACAGAATCTAGGACAAGAGCATCGACGATCGAGAATCCCAAGATAAACACGACTTCCCATAGCCTCCAGAGATCCAGACCAGTACCTGACACCTATTCCATCAAACTACATAGTAAAAAGCGACTCTAAACCCACCAAGATGGCAACACAAGACGTTACCCTCCCCCAACACACCCCCATTGGCGAAGCTCCCCGGTCCATCGACGCCATCGCCGCGCAGGAGAAAGCCTCCCAACTCCCTCGTTGGGATGCCACTGTCGCCTTCCAACTCGGCTGCGCACTCCGCACGCGCCTGCTCACCTTCGACAAACCAACCGTGATCCACATTTCCACTGTCTCCACGCCAGCACATGTTCTCTTCCACAGCGTGACCCAATCTGGAACGGCGCTGGATAACGATTTTTGGGTTGCGCGGAAGCACAAGTCGGTGATTCGATGGGGCGCTAGCACATGGAGGCTGCACAACCAGTTTGAGGGAGACGAGGAGAAGTTTGCGGCGAAGATGGGACTGGGGGAGAAGGCCGGAGAATATGCGATTCATGGAGGTGGGGTACCGATTTATGTCAAGAATTGCGATGTGCCGGTTGCGGTTGTTGTTGTGAGTGGATTGAAGCAGTGGGATGATCATATGGTTGTCATCGAGGAGTTGGCGGGTATTTGCAAGAGCCTGGGAGGATCGGCTTGAGCGTGTTGCGGTTGGCTTTCGGGAGGTTCACTTGAGGGACAACAAGTTCCAGAGCCTGTCATGTGCCTTGAAATATGCGTTCATAGTGCTATGAACCTCAGGATTGACTATTACGTGCATTTATCCTGACACGTGTGCGAAAGAGCTCAGTTCCATGAATTGATACAGACGGGTCCCTGTCAATATTCGGTGAAATCTCAAGTTCCAGGCAGGTGCTATAGGAATGCCAAACAGTCACAGCTTCCTTATATCATTGTCTTGAACCAAGAAGTGTTCTCTTCCTTCCTCTTCGCATCATCAGTCATTAGCTCCAAAAGCGCTGTATTCGCTATGATACACCAAATACTGTTTGAGTATCGTGTCGTCCAAAACATCCACCTCTCACTATCACTACCCACCTGAACTCAACAGCAGCCATGTCGTTCCAACCGTTTCGACTGATGGACCTCCCGGCCGAGCTGCGATTGCAGGTGTATCGATCTTTACCCCGACAGATAAAGCACACGCATATCAGGGTTTCGGACGCTCCGCGACCGAAAACCATTAAAGTCATTCTCATCACGAGACATATACCGACAGCAATCCTGCGTACAAGCCGTGCAGTCTATATGGACGCTATCAGTGCCGTCCGCCGACTGCTCAGGATGTTCATTCTTGAGTCGCAGCCGATGATCATCAACGTATTTGCGCCGTCTACCAAGGTCCTTAAGATCTTAGCAGCAGTTGGTGCTAATTATCAGTTGGATAAGGTAAGACTATAATCAAGCTCTCAATGGATGATCTGGTGGTTCGTCGCTGACTTTGCGGCTCACAGACTGGTTCAGGTGATCGCGCGACTCATCTTCGTAATCAAATCTAACGACTCTCAGATGACACTGAGAATCTGATACACGACCCCAATTATCGTCCGTTCATTCTACAAGCTACACAAATCTTCACCCACCAAGGCCGAACCCGAAGACTCTCGTGGGCAATGGTGAGCGCCCATGGCCGAGAGTGCACTTGTACCGGGCGGGTCAGCGGTATCATACGCATGAATAACACGATTTTGAACTGGCATGTCTGGAAGAATGTGGAGCATGGTCACTCGTCCCCGCACATCGAGGACAAGGGGTATCTCATTGTTGGAGCTGAGGAGGATATGGTCTTGTCGAGTGGACGGCTTCCTCAAAAGTGGACTCGGTCAGAGGATGACCGAGATGTACTGGCGGAGAATTCCATGGATCAGGCAACTTGGGTTGGAGAGTGGTTGGCTTCTTGAGTAAGATTGAGGCCAGTAAGTACCACCGTGGTTTGACCCTGATGAGTTGAGGTGAAGCTTAAAGCTGACGTGTGAGCAGCACATGAGGAGGTTGATAACACTTTGAGGAATATCACGCCGGAGAGAGCGGTGTCAGAGAGTTTCGCATTGATAGGCTGATAGTGTGAATGTAATGTATTGTTACATAAAGCAATACCGTTGTGAAAAGTCCAACGCGAAAAGTCCATTGTTTGCCAGCGCCATCCGCCTGCTCTGAGTCCAAGAAGCGTTATGTTCTGCCTTTGTCGCAGGACACCCATGTATTCTGCCAGAAGACCACAATATGAACAGAGCGTACGTACAACTTCTAAATACATCCATACCTATTAATCTTCGAACAATGAGACTAATTCCACCAAAGAACCAAATACGGCTGCGTACGGTGTAACATCCACCCATGATGAATGGGTTGGGCGTCAGCCTCTTCCTTGAGCCGACACCTGCCTTCTTGAATGTCATCATTAAGAACGCATTTTGTTCTGCGCTTAATCACCTCGGCTGGCTAACCTCGCAGACGGGAAGTGCGGCGGATACCAGTACTCCTGGCAGACTGAATAAGCGCAATGTAACTTTTATGACGAGTACATATGATATAAATCTTGGTTGTAATCGCGCAGTAACAGTAGCCCCATATATTGTACCATGTTCCTGTGAAGGCAGCAATGAAATCGATGGAAAGGAGTAGATGCGGTAATAGCTCCAAGAACATCTAGGCTAGCAAAGTTGGTCGCTTCCATCTCATTGTACCAAGTTCGACGAAAAGGCGGAAATCCACGCATCATATGTCGACAGTACGACCTTTTGCGTTTCAAGGAAATGAGACTCTGATTGGAAGTCTTGAGACGTAAAGGAACATGTATCACGGGTCAATTCATGAGGGCTTATAACTCGCAATAAAAATCCCTTCAATACACTCGAAACTATGCACCCTACTAAACATAAACATCTAAACAAGGACTTCTAAACATCAAGACCTAAACGGAAACGCAATACTAAAATCAAACCACGACTGTGCCGACAAACCCGGAAAACAACAGCGTCAATACCCCTGCGCCCAACCTAATGCATCCCAAGGAAAAAGACCCAGACCGAAACCCCCCACCGACCCAGACAAATACAATGACTCAAACAGCTCATTGGTGACGTATAGGCCACCCTCGTCGTAGCCCACCACCCTCAACAGGTGCGTAACTCAGGGGCGATCTCCGAGCAAAACTCACACGGCGCTCCTTCGTCGGAATCATCCGACGAACTCTCGTGGTTCGCCGCAGCCAGCTTGAGCCTTAGGCTCCAGTCGCTGAGCTCGCGGATGGTGTTGGGGTCCGACAGACCCTGTGCGAGCACCTCATGCTCGAGCTGCAGACGGGTCATGCCGTTCCAGTTGGCGGCGGCAGCGAGGCGGCGGCCTTCCTCGAAGTAGATCAGCTCGGCGAGCTGATCTTCCACGGTGGCAGTGGAAGAACGCTCTTCCACTGCGTTGACGATGGCGTTGAGGTTGAAGGTGAGCTCTTCTTCCTCGAAGTACTGGCTCGCCATGGCCATGAGGTCGTCGAACGGGAGGGCCTTGCGGCTGGTGAGGATTGGGCAGGTTTGGCTTGGAGTATCCATGATGGTTGTTGGTGGTAGAGTTGTGATAGTGAGGGTATATGTGCTTTGAAGCTGAGAATTGTGAATTGTAGTGGTATGTGAAGATGTTTTGGATGAGAGAGGGACATGGGGTCGAAAATTGTTTATATACACTTGAAAGTTGCTGTGTAATGCCCTTGACTGTGACTTGCTACCATCGTTCGACTTGGTTTCAATCACATGCGAAGTTCATATTGTGGTAGGAGGAGAAACTCCCTCAAGGTTACACGCTTTGGTTGGAGCAAGAGATTTGGTCAAGGATGAAAGTGGAGGTGAAAATATGAACACTGGCGACCAATGTAAGGCAAGGTAGATCACTTCATCATTGCTGTTCGAGACCTACCCACAGTTTTAAACATGCCGAATTGATGTCCCCTAATCTTTTCGATCCGTTCTGAACAGCAACGGAGTCCTGACAAGAGTCTTCTGATACTACTATGGAAATGTGTTCATGGGTACAGACGCAAGCTCCCGTCACAGTCCAAATAACCTCAATGACTGCAGCATTTATCTACGGCGTTGCAGAGCTTCACAAGATTGAAAACTCTGCAAAATCTGCTTAGAGTTGACAGAAACTTTTACCCTGTTTCGCCCAAATAGGCAGAAGGTGTGGTAACAGTACCATACTTTGTCGGTGTGGGTCCAACCAAACTTTTGCCCATACCAATTTACCACGACTACTACCAATGGTTGTCTACCCGAATTCGGCAGCCTATCCGCACACTGTCAACTTCAACCGTCGAATTCAAAGCACAAACTAGAAGATGTCTATTGGTTCTGAGGAACATTGCTTCTCCTCCGAAGAGCCCAATGTGGATACACAACCGATCATCTCACTTTTAGAAACTTGGCTGGAGCCTCAGCATGACTGTAAAGATCTCTCCTTTGAAGTGGGGCTCTTGATGGAATACGGTCGTCTTACTACTTCTCACGCAAAGAGGTCTGGATGTGCCAGGTTTCCAAAAGAATCTAAACACTAGCCAAACTCTTGCCTCGGCCCAAGTTTCCCGTTCTCAAGGTCAAGACTCGCCCCCCAGATGTCGGCTTTTGTAAGTCAGGCTGCGAAGTCTGACTTGTCTGACATGATTCCTGACAGTGTGTGAATAGCCTGGTAGCTCACCTCAGCATAACAAAACTCCACGAACCAACACATTTCATACTCATAACTTTGTATTTCGCGCATATACCCACAAAGAACTCATTCCAAAGTTACGCCATAGATATATCAGTAATCACTCCCACTTCAAGACACCCGGTATATCTTAGAGACGAATGCACGTGACCGACTCCGAGTCTACTCAATTGAATTCCATTGACAACATCCGAAAACGAGCTATGTGTCTGCAGAACACATAATTTGTGAAGAAGTGTGACGAATCTCTGTGATTTAACATGCCAGAAGTGTTTGTAGGAAGTGGCAGCTAGGCGCCAGCATCATCCTCAAACACCGCTTGATAACATCTCGTGGACAGACTGCGGCACAAATCACTACTACTTGTTTTGGTTCCTATGGCTATATGACCCAGGCCTGCCCCTCTCTTCTGCGTTCTACTCCCATATTTGTCGAACTCTTTCCTGGAGAGTGAATGTGAGTGTGGACATGTTCAGCTCGATATGACTTTGACGTTAAGATGTTGCTACGCCAGTGTACAAGATGAAGTCAAGTGGATAAATTTAGTAACTCGGGTGTCATGGAAGTTTTCAAGAATATAGGCTCAGTTCAAGTTGTGGATGGAAAGTTCGAGCAAGCAATTTGACACGAACAGGATTTCAATTATAGATTACATCATTCTATGTTTCTTTTGTAAATCAATCAATCGGTTGCAACCACCCCATATTCTGTTCCTCCCCTTACATGAGATTTCTACGATGGTCATACCACTAGAGGATACCTTTGTTCCAATATGAATCGTGCAAGCGCAAACCTCGTAACTACAAATGGTTAACTCTGGCTCTCGCCCATGTTCTGAAGGAGGTTCTGCTTACACTTTGTCAAGTCCATACTATGTCCAACTCAAGCGTTGTCCTGCGGCACGTGGATGATGATTTTTCCCTTCGTCCTTCCAGTCTTCATCTTCTCATACGCCTTCGGCGCGTCCTCCCACTCAAACACACTGTCTACTACGCTCTTAACCTTGCCCTCCTTCATCCACTCAGCCAAGACTTTCAGATTGCTCTTCGAGCCTTGTTCCACCACCATCTGATACTTCGCTTTACCACCACCCAAGAAGCCCGGTCGAAGTACGTTGCTCCCAACTTGGAGGAATCCACTGAGGTTGGGAGTCATGCCGACCTGAGCGAATGTGCCGCCAGGGGCGATGAAAGCAGAAGATGCTTTGTAGAGATTGGCCGGTGTGCCAATGTTGTCGACTACGAGGTTGAAGGTGGGACCTTTGGAGGACAGAGCCTTGACGACGTTGGTGGATTTGTAGTCGATAACCTCATCTGCGCCGATGCTCTTGCATAGCTCAATGTTCGGTGTTGAGCATGTGGTGGTGACATGGCAACCCAGAGCCTTTGCAATCTGAATGGCATAGACACCAGTGCCACCAGAGCCTCCGTTGATAAAAACTTTGTCTCCACTCTTGACGTTGGGGCTGATGGCCCGATATCCAGTTAGGCCAACGATGCCCACTGTCGCGGCGTCTTCTGGTTGTACACCTTTTGGCAGACTTGTAGCCTGATCCTTGTTCACAGCAACATATTGTGCAAGTGTGCCTTTACCTATTGAGCCAATTTTACCACCGAAAACGTATTCTCCTTTTGTGAACCCATCCACGTTCTTTCCGATATCAGCAACTTTACCGCAGAAGTCGAAACCAGGGATGAACGTTGAACCTAGAAGCCGTAATGGTGCTGGGCTCTCTGTCATCTTGTAATCGACTGGGTTGAGAGCCATAACGTGGACTTGGACGAGGATCTCATTTTCGCCGGGTACTGGTTTAGGTGCGCTCTCGTTGATATGAAGGTTCTTCTCCATGCCGCCAGTGACAGAAATGTACTGCCAAGCTTTCATAGTCTGAGCCATCTTTCTGGATGGTGTGTTTGTTGTGCTTGGAAGAAGATAGATGGTGTTCAGGTTGTATCGGGGACCCCTTAACAAAATTTGGTTGGAAGTATCGGCAGGATGTTGCAAACGACTTGTTGAATTGTATACTCAGTATGCTACAGTTGGACGCGTTCATCTTATACGAACTACGTATGCAGTCGCAAGGCAACGTAAATACAGCCATTCGTCATTGAGTACTACATCAGGGTTGGGCATGCGTCACCGACTTGGATACAGCGGTCTTTTTCTGCCCGCTCAAGACCACGCTTGCCCGTTCGTCATATGCTGCGATCCGCCGTTACCATGTGTTGCAGGAGGTTGACCAATATGAGCCACTGTCTTGAATATGCAATATGACGGGTGGTTCGGTCGGCCTGATAATCCCTCCGACAGGCGCAAAATGAACCTAATCCGGTTACGGCCTTCCAACACTAACCTCGATATAGGTAAGCTCTCGGATAACATTTGACCTTTAGGCCTCACAGTTTACTCCCGTTCTCATCAAACACATTTTTTAAAAAACGAAAAAGAAGAGCCATCATGTTTCTCACACTATACTTTCACGCAAATATCTACATGAGATATCGCGCCTATATCTGAAAAGCCACAACAACAAGTACGACACCTGATGAGCGCTCGAAAAGTCTACATCAAGTAGTAGATGTTTATTATAATCCAAAAGCTTTCTCGGTACTCGCTATGGGAGGACAGTGCTACAAAGAGGCAGATCGAAAGATGTATGTGTGTAACGATTGAAACTCTGAAGCGAAACAGGCATGCTGTTGTGGAAAGCCGCGAAGGCTTCCAAAACTTGAAAAAAACAGCGTACGGTCAGTCCTACTATTTACCCTGTCCTCACTCTGCTACACTACTTTCTATGGATAATTTTACACCGAACATCTACCAAAATCAAGTGTTTCATGACCGATGTTTTGAGATTTTTAATTCTATGAATTATTCCATCCCCTTCTTGCTCAAAACCATTAGCATCTATACATCTACATTTCTAAAAATGTCCGAACACAACAAAAGCATTCGGCGTAAATATGTATGACTACTGAGAAGTTCACGTCCCCAACATCCCAGAAGATCAGAGACTGGAAAACAATGTTGAACAAACGCTGGCGAGAAATACCATGGCAAAAATTCGATGAGTGAGCACGTGGTGAAGAAAGGCATAAATACTTTTCTCTCACGTTGACCAACCTTATGAATCACCTTTCTTTATCTCTTCGCTGGAACACTAAAAGCTAAAAAGGGTGTATTGATGTGTGCCTCTTGTTTCTCAAAACGCCCATGATGGCAACTCATGTTCTGCTGTTCCTCCGAAAGATCCGCGAACCAAAAAATCGTGACTCTTAGGACAATGTGTGGCCCTTCCTCTGGACCTCTCCATGTCCTTTTCTTAGACGAGACACGAAAAATGATTGTATGCTTCACCTGTGTGGCGGTGTTCAAAAGGAAGTCACTGCCAAACATGGTTCTGGCCTTGCGCCAAAGATCTACGAACCAAAAAATTGTGACCATTAGGACGTATGTGTGCCCTTCTCCCTCTGTATCTCTATCTCTCGCAACCTCTCTCTTCGATACAACAATAAACCTATGGAGGATTCAGCTCATGTGTGTCCTCATCTCAAAATCATACAGTATGATGCCATGTTCCGCTGCGGTGACAACCCTACAAACCAAAAAGAATTGGACAATGGGCGATGTTCTGTCCCTCTCTATTTCTCTCTATCTCTCCTTTTACAGAACATAAAGATCAATCGCACTATTTGCATGCCCTTATCCCAAAATCAATCCAGCATGTCCTCATGTTCTACTCCAACAACAAAGATCTACAATACAAAAGTTGTTTACGATTAGGCCATGTGCGCTTCTCTCCCTCTCCCTCTCCCTCTCTTCTCTCTTCCTTTTCTTCCTTTCCCCAAACACAATCTCCCAAATCCAAAATTCCAAAACCTACCCTCGCATTTTTCAATGTGTGTTCGCAATCCAAAGATGAATAGAACGACCAACCATGCTCTCCTCTGTCCGGCAATCCTGACGAGACAAAAACAAGAATATTGGTGGAGCTGGGTATGTCTCCAAAGTGACTAGAAAAAGAACCATGTCTTTCTGCTCTGCTGTGTCTCCCTCATATAAACACTGGAACATCTACAGTTATGATCCTGCACTATACTATGTGGTGGGAGTTCGAAAACTCTTAAAGATAGATACAATGGCTCTGGCTCACGAGGAAGAGAAGCGAGCTACGCCACTTAAACGCTTTCACAACAGCCGTATGTGTGTGTGTGTGCATTCCCCTCAGCCCGAAAAAATCAAACCGTGAAAGCGACGAAGAAGAAGAAGATGGCTGTGGCTGTAATTTTCGCTGTGCATCATAAACTCCTCCTCCTCTAAAAACAGAGATCGTGTACTATATGGGAAGCCGCTGGTGTTCAGATCCACCAAACTTGAACTCTGTTCCTCCTCTTCTCGATACTCACTTAAAAACGATCCCGCGAACGATTTCATGTCTGAGGAATGTGGAAAAGCCGTCTATTCCGCCATATGCGTGGAGGGTTTGAAATGCAGATGAACAACTCGTATGGCTGGATGTTAAAACGATGACCACGCGTATGCATGGCTGGCGAGATATGTGAGGGGTGAAAAATGGGGGATTTAATAACAATATTGCTGGGAAAGTATGCAGTTGAAATTACCTGCATTCTGCTGTGGGCGTGGGATGTAAAACGACGGCATAAAGCTCATATGGCTGGCGCGAGATGTGAGAACTAAAATGGAGATAGATGCAATCTATGGCTGGGGATCAGACTTCAAAAACGGGTTGAAACTATTCTATGTCTCTGTATCGGAACCTGGGATGAAAGTTGGGCGGTGAGCGTAGCCGGTGATCCAAAGCAATCCCAGCGCTGACCGACGACAAGAGAAGAAAACAAAGGATGAATCGATTGTACCCATTATGCAACTGCACTGCACTTGACCTTGCGATGAAACATGTCGTCGTTATTGGTGTTGAGGCGATGTTGGTAGCACAAGTCGAGTCGAGTCAGCCCTGTTGAGCCTCGGTTTCTCCCTGCCTGCATGCATGACATCGGTTGCACGGCGGACTAGCTTACTCCGCATTTCCAACGCCTACCCCAGATTACGTGGACGGTGTATAAACCTCGGGCCTTTTACATTCACATCTACAATTACATTTACTAACTTGAATATACCCTATTCCTGCTTCACACATCGTTATATTGTGACAAGGTTCGAGAACATCAAGTATATTTCACCATGTCGAGCTCCAAGCGCGTCGAGCAGATCGCAGGCCACCTCAACTACCCCAAGGGCATGCTAGCTGGTCAGACTGCCATTATTACGGGCTCAGGACAGGGCATTGGCGCGGAGACAGCGCGGCTGTTTGCGAACGAGGGCGCGAAGGTCGTGGTCGCTGATGTAGATGCCAGTACGTCTCCCTCACCCATTACCACCCGATCGCGGACATAGACACATAGATTCGTACTAACCACCCCCCAGAAAAAGCCGAAGCCGTAGCCTCCGCCATAACCGCCTCCGGCGGCTCCGCGATCTCCGTCCCCGGCGACGTCCTCTCGGACGCCTACATCACAACCCTCATCCAACAAGCCGCCGCCTTCGGCAACGGCAAAATCCACATCATCGTCAACAACGCAGGCTACACATGGGACGGCGTAATCCACAAGATGACGGACAAGCAATGGCACACGATCGTCGACCTGCACGCCACAGCGCCCTTCAAGATCGTGCGCGCCGCAGCCCCCTACTTCCGCGTCACGGACGGCGAGCCCCGCAACATTATTAACATCTCGAGTACGAGTGGCGTGCATGGGAATGCCGGGCAGGTGAATTATGCGCTGGCCAAGGCGGGGATTCAGGGCGTTACTAAGACTATTGCTAAGGAGTGAGTTTGTTTTATTTCATTTCCTCCCCCTACCTTGGTTCCGGGTGTGTGGTGCCGGAGCTGCATGTGCTGATAAAGTACTAGGTGGGGCCCGCAGTTTGGCGTCCGCGCGAATACGGTTGCGTTTGGTCATATTCAAACGAGGCTTACGGCGGCGAAGGAGGAGGGCGCGTTTATTACTACGGCGGATGGGGAGAAGGTCGCGTTGGGGATTCCGCAGAAGCAGAAGGCGGGGCAGAAGGGGGAGGAGCATGCGGATATTCCGCTGAGGAGGGCGGGGACGGCGACGGAGGCGGCGAGTGTGGTGTTGGCGGTTGCGAGTCCGCTGTTTCAGTATGTTACGGGTGAACTGATTAAGGTGACTGGAGGGCGGATGATGTAGGGTTGGAATATTATGGAGATGCGGCAGATGATGTTGTTTTGGAGTAGTACAGAAATGTTCAGTGGTGAGACGAGTTTATGTCGAGGAATGGTTGGAGGAGTGTCTCAGTCTGGGCATGGCTCGGCGGGCATGTCTCCGCTCCGCCATGTCCAGACACCATGGCCAATGTTGCCGCGACCATGACGACGCCTCGACACCCCGACGCCTCTCTCCTTGCCGTGTATTATAATCACTTACGACTAATTGTCACTCCCACCATGCACCCGTGCAATCAATAACGCGCCCCGACTCGACCCTACCCGACGCCGTTACTCGCGCCGCTGCCGCATTCCCGCGGCCAAATTCCCCCCTAGACGTCCACGCCGGACACGCCCACGCACCTCGCCCCACGCGCCCTCCCACAATGCCGGACGAGAAACACGCCTACGAACCCGTGGAAAACCCGCCCATCCCGTCGTACGAAGAAGCCACATCGTCGGCGCCCCCCACGCGCCGCGGCCCCAACGAAGTCAGCGACGATGCCGAGCGGCAGGGCCTCCTCGCCCCGGACACACGCACGCAGTCCGAGGGGCGGCGGCGCAATGCCTACTACCACCCGCCGTCGGTGCAGTCGGTCGACGATGGCGAGTCGGAGCTGGGCAGCCCCGTGCGCGAGAGCGAGGAGGAGGACCTGCGCCAGACTATGGAGGAGATGGACATCCTGGACCCCGAGGCCATTGAGGAAGGGCGCGCGCGACGGGGCCGCGGGAGAGGGAGAGGGCTGGGCGCCGCGAAGCGCTGGTACGGCAGCCTGAAGTTTCCGCGCTGGCGGGTGCGCATCCCATGGCCCGACATGACCTACATACGGCAGCGCATGCCCACCATCCCGGACGAGTACCGCCCGGGCTGGTCCATCATCGCGCGCCTGTGCGGGCTCTTTGTCATCATCGCCCTCGTCTACATCCTGGTCGTCAGCGAGGTGGTGCCCATGGGCTCCGGCTTCGGCACCCCCTTCAACCCCGAGTGGGTGCGCCAGACGGCCCTGCAGAGCACAGAGGCCTGGCGCATAGAGAAGAACCTCGAGTACATCACCAGCTACGACCACCTGGCCGGGACTGAGGGGAGCTACGTGCTGGGCCAGTGGATCGAGGGCAAGTTCAAGGACGCCGGCCTGGACACGTACACACATGATGAGTACTGGGCGTATATGAACTATGCGCAGAAAGGGGGGAGGAGGGTGGCTATTGTCGACCCGCCCGAGAAGGCGTGGGTGGCAAAGCTGGAGGAGTCGTCTGTTTTCAACCCGCCCAAGGCCCAGACGAGTGCCTTCCACGCCCTGTCTGCCTCGGGGAACGTCACGGGGCCGCTCATCTACGTCAACTACTGCCACAAGACGGACTTCAAGCGCCTGTGGGATAGTGAGGTGGACGTGCAGGGCGCTATTGCCCTCTGCCGGTACCACGGTACGCAGCCCGACCTCGCCATGAAGATCCGCTCAGCGCAAGATGCTGGCGTCGCCGGTGTACTCGTTTACTCGGACCCCGCCGACGACGGCTTCAAGAAGGGAAACCCCTGGCCAGACGGCAAATGGCGACCTGGCGAGAGCGTCCAGCGCGGCTCCGTCGCGCAAACAAACATGATCATGGGCGACGTCCTCACCCCCGGCACCGCCAGCACAAAGAAAGCAGGCCGCATATCCAAGGACAAGAACCCCGCCCTCCCCCACATCCCCAGCCTACCGCTCTCCTGGAAAGACGCGCAGAAGCTCCTCCAATCGCTGAAAGGCATTGGCGAAGAGCTCCCCGCAGAATGGACCGGCGGCGTGCCCGACGTAGGCGAGAAATGGTTCTCCGGGCACCCCGCCAAGTCACCAAAAGTCAACCTGCAAAACACCCAAGACGAAGTCGAGCAACAGCGCGTAACAAACGTCTTCGGAACCCTAACCGGCATCGAAGACCCCGCGCGCAAAATCATCATCGGCAACCACCGCGACAGCTGGTGTTTCGGCGCCGCAGACCCCGGCTCCGGCACCGCCGTCATGCTCGAAGTCGCGCGCGTCCTCGGCGAACTGCGCACAACCGGCTGGCAGCCCCTGCGCACCATCGAATTCGCCTCCTGGGACGCCGGCGCATACAACCGCATCGGCAGCACCGAGCACGTCGAAGCCAACGTCGCCTCCCTGCGCGACTCCGCAATCGCCTACCTCAACGTCGACGTCGCCGTCAGCGGGCCCAAGCTGCGCGCAAACGGCTCCCCGATCTTCGCTCACGCGTGGACACACATCCTCGGCCTGCTGTCCGATCCCAAGGAAAACGTCACGCTGAAGGATATCTGGGAGCGCGATGGCGCTCGCATCGGGCATCTAGGCGCGGGGTCGGATTACGTCGCGTTCGCGAATATCGCGGGGACGTCGTCGTTCGACTTCCGCTTCGCCGCTGCCGCCGACGACGGCGCACTGGATCCTATGGCTGGCTCGTGCTTCGCGACCCGCGACTGGATGGCGAAATATATCGACCCGGGGTATGCGTACCACACGCTCCACGCACAACTGCTCCTCCTACTCATCCTCGAACTCGCACAAGAACCCATCATGCCGCTTAAACTCGACGTCTTCGCCCACGCCCTGCAGGTCGAAGCCCAGAAGTTGATCGACTTCACAGAGACGAAGGCGACGGTTGGATACGATATTGCGATCTTCCGCCCGCTGGTCGACGCCCTGGCGGGGCTTAAAGCGAGGGGCGAGGCGCTGTCGCGCTGGGAGACCGCGTGGGGGAACCAGGTTTATGGCGCCGGGGGGTTCGAGACACAGGGCGTTACGCTGCAGCGGGTTGCGCATAATGCGCGGTTGGCAAGGTTTGAGACGGATTTACTGGATTTGCCGCGCGGGGAGGCGGGGGGGAAGGAGGGGAGGAAGGAGGGGGAGGGGAATGGACGGGATGCTGTTGTTGAGGGGGTGTTTGGTGTGAGTTGTCCCTCTTCTTCTTATGCGCGTGCGCATGTGTGTGCGTGTGTACTTGGGGTTTTTTTACTGATGAAGTATAGTTACCGAACCGCACGCAGTTCAAACACTCGCTCTTTGCGCCCAGTCTGGAGAATGGACTTGAGGGCGTGGTTTTCCCCCGTGCGAGGGAGGCGATTGAGAGGCAGGATTGGGTGGCGGCGAAGGAGGCGCTGCAGAGGACGGCGGATGCGCTGGAGTTTGCGTCTGAGAGGCTGGTTACGTGAGTGGGTGAGTAGGGGAGTAGGGGAGTAAGGCGTTGAGGTGTATATGTGTGTGTGTAGGATAGGATGGGATGGGGTGGGGTGGGATTAGCATAGCATGGCGGGGATTTGCCTTGCGTTCTTTTGGGGCTGGGGGTGTGGGTGGATTGTATTGCTATCGGTGTTGGGATTGGTATTGGGATGGGTAGATTCTCTGGAGTGGGATGGCTTATCATCCTCGCCATCATCATTGTCATCAACATCGTTCTTCTAACCCACATCTTTAATAACCAAGGAGAGGCTAGCTCACACGCGTAAATGTCCATTCGTATATCTACAAATCACCCTTTACCCACACCAAACGTCTTTATCCCAACTCAGATATCCACATACATACATATATTTACCTCCTCTTCATTTCTCAACGCAGCACAATGCTTCCCTGTTACCTTTCTCCCTCGTGTTCTTATCCCTCGGAAAGAAATGAAATGAAAAGAAAACTAGACATGAGGTGTTGTATGTAAGGGTTCTTCCACCCGTTTCCCTCTTCCTCCTCCCAAGAAAAAAGAACACAGACTTCACACTACAGAGCTACGTCCGAGCGTCTAGACCCTCATGACATCCATACATCCTTCTCTTCGTCAATTTCTGTATGAGAAGAATAGGAAAGGACGGAAGTGGAAATCCGTCCACTTTTAACTACACCTCACAATGACACGGCAGGAAACGCAGTACTGACACGGTGATGTGTAAAACTGTATCAAACAGGCACATATGTATATATTCGTCGGAAACCACTATCCATATAGAGCTATTTACAACTTATCAACGGCTCGCGCGACGTGTCGAACGAGTGAACGAGTGCCACTTCACATCAAAGCTCTCCGCTAGATGCGCATGAAAACATGTTGTGAAACCGTGCTCGTGTGCGGGGACATCCTGCAGACAAGTAACACGGCGTGTCTCGTTAACAACATCCACTCGTTGCCTCCGTAGTCCGAGCACTGTCTCGGTACGGTATGTGCAAAAAAATGAGATAAGTAGTAACAGCACAAGCATGAGCAAGACATTCGGCGGCTGTGCTTGCTTATATACATAGACAGCCATCTTGTAGCTTGATGCCTGCTATCCTTGTGTTCCTGGTTATTCGGATGACTTTTCTCCCTGAGGACCTCGCGATTGGAAGATCGTGTAGAGAGTCATATATTCTATGTGGGCTCGCGCCGAGCAAACGAGCGCGGAAACCCAGGGATACCAATTCGGACGTGGAATGTCTTTTCTTTTCGCGAGCTCTCCACAGAGCAGAAATGATAATAAAAGGAGAAAGTAGCCATGAAAGTGAAACGACTACAGGTGGTGTAGACAGTTCTAGAAGCCTATCCTAGCACAGTTTTCCACCCCATTCAGTCTTGTTCCCTGCGATATTCTCAATAAGTATGAAGTAGAATACCGCGTACTCATCTTTTTCTCAACATCCGGTTCCTGTAAATTTTACAAGGCGTTAATTTCGCTTCCAGATCAATAAACGTTTGCGAGTCTAGCCCTAGCCCTAGTTGCGTGTATATCTAACTATTGGTCCTGGGAACTTGGCTGGATGTTGTGGCTAAGCAGCATGTGTGTATTATCTATGCGAGTGTTTCGCAGATGGAAATTGGGGGAGTGGGAATGTAGTGAGATTCCATCTGTGCGGACTATGCGGATAGAAGAGAGTTTTGATACTGGAAAGGGGGTAAGAAGAAGTTAATTATACGGTCCAACAGCAGGGGATGAGTTTTGGAAAGCTTGGGTCGTCACGTGGATGTATAGGTATGAGGAGCTGTGGAACAATGGTTAAAACGCTAACAGCTAGAGGAATGGGGCACATGAGGGTTTGTTGTCATGGCTTTTGAGGCTGCCGGGAAGAAAGGGTCTGTGTGTTGTTAACTTAGTGAAAAGGCACGAAATAGCCAAACAATCCTCAGACTCACCGACGTTCGAACATCAACAGCACAAACTTCCATAACCACGATAAAACCAAGCACTTCACTGAACCCCAGACCACAAACGCCAAGTCATCCAAGCCCAGACCATCACTCCCACGGCACCCAATCTTCCGCACCCAGCAAAAACAAGCAGAAACCAGCCCGCAACCCCGCATACCACCGCCTAGCAAACTTCCCACCTCACAGCCAGGGGGCGCGCAGCAACAGAGCAGATCCGGGGTCGAATTCGTGGAGAAACACAGCCGACGTTGTTCCGCACGAGGCGTCCTCTTGGCCGCGACTTGGCGCTGCAGTGGAGAGCGAGCGAGGCTGGGCACTGCCAAGCTACGGGCGAGGGGACCGCGATTGATGGAATGGAGATGGTGGGAATTGTTCCGTCGTGTGTGGGCGAGTTGTGGCTGATTATGTTGGGACTGTATGCGGGTTGGAGAGCGTTGTTGTCGTTTTTGTACGTTGCTCGTGACTTGAACTCGACGTTTGGAGATGAGGAGTGAATTTTGTACCGCGGCAGCCAACCAGTGTACTGTGTTGTTGCGGCTATGGCGTTATATTCGCTGGGGATATGGAGGAATACCTGTTCTGGTCGACTTCCGAGGACACTGCGTGCCATGGCTTGACTCGTCTCTGTTCGATTTGTTGTTTCCATGCGCGGGCTAGGCACATGAAAGAATCCTATATGACTATATAAGTGACGGGGGAGCTGCAGAAGGAACTTTTCTTACGCAGGTAGAGATCTTCAATCGTACCCGATATCCACCACGTTGCCACAATGAAGCTCACCACTGCTCTCATCCCCCTCCTCCCAGCACTCGTCGAGTCCGCTGCTGTCCACCGCCGCCAAAACGGCGATGGACCCCAAGGTGGTGCCGATGCTACACAGGGAGACTTGACGGGTCGCCCGCCGCCGCGCTTCCCCTTCCCTCAGATTCAGTTCCCAGTTCCTAAAGAGACAGTCGTGTTCAACCAGACCAGATATGTCATGCCGGGGGAGGTCTTCGATGGAGAAATGAAGCGCTACGAGCGTCCTGAGGGAAGCTGCAACGAGCAGGCTGAAGGCACCGACGCTGATGCTGTGTTCAACTTATTACCTGGCGCAACCATAAAAAACGTCATCATCGGAAAGCACCAGTCGGAGGGCATCCATGCTCTGGGTGACGCGTGGGTTGAGAATGGTAAGTCTTACCGCTGAGTGTGAGAGAGATTGTTCGACCGCTGACTGAGGTTTAAAAGTCTGGTGGGAGGACGTGTGTGAAGATGCTTTGACTTCCAAGGGCCTGAATACTCAACTTCGCGTTATTGGCGGAGGAGCTCGCAACGCCACGGACAAGATTTTCCAGGATAACTCGCTGGGTGGCAAGTTCAACATTACTGGTTTCTTTGCGGATACCTTCGGTACCTTCTACCAGTCCTGCGGAAACTGCTTGAACCAGGCGAAGCGCAACGTTACCATCCAAAACGTCATCGCCATCAACGGTACCAGGATGGGTATAGTAAGTGGTTTCCAACTCTTTCTAAACAACAAGCATGCTCACGTAACGAAAGATCAGTCCCAACTACGGTGACGAATACCGTCTGAAAGACTCCCAGGTCAAGGATCTTACGCGTATGGTCGACAAGGAGATTGGCAACAACGTCCAGACTGTTCCGTACACCGTGGGCACTGGTCCTGATGAGAAATATGCGTTGTACAATTTGACGCGGGATGCCATTACCGAGTTCAATGGCACAATTGCGAACCAGTACACCCCAGAAAACCCTTACCCATGGCTCGCAGAGTTCTGGCCCGAGAAGTAGGGTTGTGATGGAGCAAAAGTGGTAGACCTAGAGTAGTTAATATTAATGTTATGTTATTATACCGCACTGGTGCTTGTCAGCAATTTATCAACCACGAGATTTCACAATGATGTAGAAGATTGTGCTCCTTGATTTTTCAATGAAATCTGTAAGTTTGAAGGTCAATCGAACTCATTGAGGAAATACTGAAACTCTGTGGCATTGGATAATGCGGTTTAGCTCAGCAACCGATGTCGAGGAGTATTAAACGTATGACAAAAGTAGCCGGTGGTGCTTGACCATCAAACTCTTCAACTAAGCTCGATAGCGTGTTTTTAGAAGAGTCGAATGAAGGCACAGGGAACGTCAATCGGTTATTGAAAAGCAGTCGCGAGGTGGCTTTCAGGTGAAAGGTGCGCACGCATCTCTTATACATGATGTTTGTGGCCGTTTTCGTCTCAACTCTGACAGCCCAGATCGGATGAGCTTCTGTGACGCGATTTACGAAATGGATGTGCAATACGTAGAGTGAAAGGTGAGGTCGTGAACGCTAACTCGAGACCCTTTGGTTTCCGGCCTTGGCAAGCTCTCGCTTAGCCCACAGGGCATTATCGTGCCGCGATTTTCGACATCACGCCTCCACGACCGCCGACCACCGTATCCCGACGCGCAATCCTGCCAATCCGCACACCGAACGACCGCTACACGTCGAAACTCACAATCGCAAATCATGGATACCGCTAAGGCCCCCGTCAAGCTCGTCAAGGTCACTCGTGTCCTTGGCCGTACCGGTACGCGAAATTCTACAACTTCCAGAGGGGAGGACATCAGGCAGAGGGAAAGTGCGAGATACAGGAGAGCGGAATGCTGACGGATCTTTAGGCTCCCGTGGTGGTGTCACCCAGTGCCGTGTCGAGTTCATGGACGACCAGACCCGATCCATCATCCGCAACGTCAAGGGCCCCGGTATGCGCTCTCTCACCACGCAGCAGTCAAAAGACTCGAAATACTGACTAATTCCAGTCCGCGAGAACGACATTCTCTGCCTGCTCGAGTCCGAACGCGAGGCCCGTCGTCTGAGATAAGCGCACAACTTGGGGAAGGAAAGCGGAAAGTTTGCGCGATGGCATTTCATTCGGTTTCGGAGTTCTTTGCGAAAGCTATGGGCATCTATACGGACATTATGATGTTGCGGCAGGGATGACGAGGTGCTGATGAAGCGCTGGGTTGGGAGGCCGATAGGACACGAATACCACGAAATCAAGAGTCTGGGTTCTTCCGGAATGAAACAACATGGTTCAGACTTGCAAATGCATGGATGAGGGTTTTCTGCGGCTACTGCGATTGAGCCAACAATACGCGGACTGACATGGCAAGCGAGCTCCTCACATCACATCTCAAGCACCATGTTGTTCCTTTACCACCAGCACCTGTGCCAGTAACGTTGAGAAGCGATCCTTAAACCTGTTCTGCTGGTATTGAGAGCGTCTTACAATGCCAATTTCTGTGCCTAACTAACTTTTGGATGCCTCCCAAACATAGAATACGCCCGACAATAAGACCCCGCAGCAAAGACAACTCCCTTTTCACTCTTGTGGGGATATCTCAAGTCCTTGTCTTCAGTTTTGGTCAATAACTATAACACATCCATACTTTGCGTAGTAACCCATGGCAGGGTTGACGGTCAACCAAGATGAGGGGACTGCATGTAAACCGTTGCACGACTTGAGCCAGGTTGAATATATCCTTCATGTCTACTGGGCGAGCTAACCCCTCGATTGAATTATGCCACTGAGTAACTGCATTCAACAGTGTTGAATTTGTTGATATACATTATGTCTGAACCAACTAAGGAGGTGTCGAACGGAACGCACTTGTACTTTCCAGGATACGTTCGACAAGATCAGCAGACTGTTCCTCACTACCAATACAAACTACCTTCACTTTTCCATTCACTCAATACTTCTACCCCTGTTATACACATCCATCTATGGTTGTCCTGGCCAGACCGCGTCAGCGATACTCCTGACCAGCTGCAACTTCTTCCTCATATCTTCATAACCCAGCGCGTTCCCTTCCGCATGCGACGCAAACCCACACTGTGGGCTAACACAGCATTGTTGGATCGCATCTTCACGCGACTGTCCGGTGCCCTTGGCAATCCAGTCAGCAGCTTGGTTGACGCGCGCAATCATCTCGTCCTTATCCTCGAGAGCGGGGAACTTGGATGTCACAACACCGAGGACGACGTTCTTGTGTTTGGGGAGATGGGCGAGGGGCTCAAAACCACCGGCACGGGGGGTATCGTATTCGAGGTAGTAAGTGTCTACGTTGAGGTCCTGCAAAGATCATATCAGTATGGTATGGGGCGGTTGTAGGTAAGGGGCAGACGTACCTGGAACAACTTCTTCGCGATGTTGTCGTATGCGCCCTCAGAGAAGTGACGGCTTCCGAGGTAGTTTCCACGGCAGAGATGGATGCCGAGATGCATGTCCTCGGGACGCTCGAAGCACTTGTTGTAGAACTTGACGTATGCGTCGAACATCTCATCGGCTGACTTGGTGTTTGTCTTGTCGGCGGCCCAGCCGTCCAATGCGTCTTTTGAGCAGAAGTAAGCGAGGTTAGGATCGTCGATCTGGATATTCCTAATGCCCTGGGAATGCAAGATCTTCAATTCCTCCTGATATGCCTTTGCGATGTCCTCAAAATATTCCTCGTCGGTCGCGTACACGTCCTTGGGGAAAGCTCTTCCGGCGTTGTAGCGGTAGTGGTACCAGGAGGGCGATATCAACGTGATCTTGATGTTCTTCCACTCGCTTTCGGGAAGTAGGCTCTTCATGAGATCCACTTCGTGCTGGTTGCTTGATTTGCCAGTGTGGCTGATTTTGCTGACGCAGACGGTGACTTGGTTGGGAACCTGCTTGGCCTCCATGAAGGACTTGTTGTCGGGAGCGTACGGGCGGAACATGTCCTTGTCATAACCTTCGAGGACGCCGAGTTGCAGCTCCTTCATACCGTTCAGAGTTTCGAAGAAGAGACCCCAGAACTGATGTCTGTGGAGAATCAGCACAAACATTCAATGGAGCTTCGTAAATCTGTAACACCAACCTGGTATACTCTCCGCTCGAAACTACTTTGAGACCGCAATCTTGTTGGAACTTTACAACCTCTGCGACCGATTTCTTCTCCAATGGTACGAGCTCCTCAGGCGATGCTTTGCCTGAAGCGACATCGTACCGCTTCTGAACAAGCTCTTCGGGCCGGAGCAGAGAGCCAACATGCTCAGCTCGGAAGGGAGGGCTTCTCTTGAGAGTGGACGGCATCTTCAATTGAATTGTATCTCGGAGGTAATAGGAGTAAGAAAACAGTAGAGGTTCAGGTGGAAAGGCATCGTCAGGTTCTGTACCCCGCAATTACCTGCATCGGGTGTACATGTTGCTCCGTGGCCTACCCACTTGTCAGCCTCGAAAACTGCCGAGAATCAATATGCCGATCGAAGGAGAGCGGTGGAAGAGCTCGGGACGTCATCGGATCGGAAGAGACGCGCGTGGCGATGTGGGATGCATCGTGCTTTAAGCTTTAGTGGGGTCGACCGGCATCAGTTTGGTCGCCGCGGGCCTGATCCACTCACGATTAGCCTAAGACATCAACAGTAAACACATCCCCAATTTAACGTGAGATGATGTCTCGCTGACCCTGGCCTCCTGCTCGTCTTCTACTTTCGGCCCAGCGATATTGTAAGATAATCGGCGAGACCTTATTCGACCATTGTTGACGTCAGAGCATTTCGACCATGAAGATATGGCTTTGTTGCGGCGTGTACTGGGAGGTGACTTGGCCCTTTGGAAGAAAAAGGTCTCATCGATCTGAGCTTCCTGACCACGAACTATCCCCAGACGTGTGCTTCGATGGGAAGCCCAAACACAGTTGAGTTGAGTGGCGACGAGGCTGCCTGGCTTCCAACGGACATAACAACGCTGCGATCTCCTAGAGAAGCGATACATTAGTAAGATTACCAGGACATATGCAATGGTGCTTGCGCAATATCCGAAGTTCGGGATAGAACTACCCCGCGTTAGTGGAGCATATATATATGGTGTCACTATGTCGTGGAATCGCAAAGTCCTCAATTATTACCTTCCCCCCAATCGTCACCATAAACAACAGTATTCTCACCAGTACAATCTCATCGTTGGCTACACAATATGACACGCGTTCTACTCACTGGAGGCTCTGGCTTCATCGCCGCACACACGCTCGATGTACTTCTGGCGCGAGGCCACTCGGTAGTCACAACAGTCCGCACGCAAGAAAAGGCAGACAAGATCAAGGCAGCGAACCAAAAATACGCAGACAAAGGCCAATTGAGCTTTGCCATTGTTCCCGACATTGCACAGGAGGGCGCATTTGACAAGGCCATCGTCTCAGACCCGCCATTCGAGGCTGTCCTCCACACAGCTAGTCCGTTCCACTTTAACGTCACCGACGTGAAGAAGGTGAGCATCCTCTTATTATATTGCGAATAACAGCTGACAAGACAGGATCTTCTCGACCCAGCGATTATCGGAACAACGGGCATCCTAAAGTCGATCAAGAAGAACGCCCCCTCAGTCAAACGCGTCGTGATCACATCGTCTTTTGCCGCTATCGTTGACGGCAGCAAGGGTTCCTGGCCTGGTCATGTCTACTCGGAAGAAGACTGGAATCCCATGAGCTTGGAAGATGGCGAGGAGAACCCAATGATGGGGTACCGAGCTAGCAAGACCTTTGCAGAGAAAGCAGCGTGGGAGTTCATCGAAAAAGAGAAGCCCAGCTTCACCTTGTCAACGATCAACCCGCCCATGGTGTTTGGTCCAATCGTACGTTTCAGGCATAAACAAGGGTGGCGCATCCGCTAATTATGATACCAGATTCACGCTCTCGACAGTCTCGAGAATCTGAACACATCGAACCAGCGCATCGCAGCAGCCGCTCAAGGTAAATTCAAGGACGAGATTCCACCTTCAGGCGTACATCTCTGGGTAGACGTGCGCGATGTCGCCGAGGCACATGTCGCCGCGTTCGAGAAGCCTGATGCTGCTGGCAAGCGCTTCTTCACAACCGCGGGATACTATTCGAACAAGGAGCTCGTAAAGATTATCAAGAAGAACTTCCCTGAGTTGAAGGACGTTCCAGACGAGTCGGTACCCGGCGGCGACTACCCGGAAGGCACACCAGACAAGGGCTTGTACAAGTACAACAACAAGCGAACGATCGAGGTACTAGGTCTGAACTACAAGAGTTTTGAGCAATCTATCATCGATACGGTCAAATCGTTGCAGGCGAAGGGGTTGTAGATGGCGATATTGTAATAGGCGACAGCCAGATATACGTCACATTCAAACGATAGATGGAGGCGGACTTTTTGAAATAGCACTGTATATTGGTTGAATAGGGACATGGTCTAGGTATTCGCGCGTCTATATATGAAGTGTTTTCGTTCGAAATATAACATGTCTGCGGACGAATATGTCAGCGCATGAAGCTACCAGATAGCAAGAAGCAAGGCATAGAGAAATGCAATCAGCCTGTTGAGCTTGATATTTTTTGAACTTCACCGTCATTGACTCGGAAGTGTTTGAATGGTTGTATCATCATAATGCAGGGGGTGGTGCGAAAATGCGTGAAACTTACCAACAGAAGTGATCGACGAGGTTGCAATACCATGCAGGAGTAGACACGTCTTTGTGCGATGTCATGACGCGACGTGTTGTCCGATGGTGTGGTGTGAGGAGACGAAAGACAGCTCGAGAGCTTGACACAAAGAATTTGGTGCATCGGGCGCTAGGAGAAACGATGGCCGAGCCAAGATTAGTAATGAAGTTAGGAGCCCCGCCAGTAAACAGCCCAACATTGCGGACGACAGCGTCTTTATCTGTGCCCAACCTCGAAACACGTACTGCCTTCCTCAGCACGTAGCAACACCTGCCCTAGTTGCCGTTTCATCACTTAGTCTTCTCTTCACTACCATCAAGATGGCTGGTATGTTGCATTTGCCCTACCCCGCTTTGCGCGTGTGTTCAGTGACTGACTGCGAGCAGGAAACTTTCAGGAAATCGCGAGTGCGTATACTCCGGGCTTCGATACCAGGAACCCAGCTATCTGTCGTGGATCATGCGCTGGTCTATAATGAGTGGTAGCTAACATCACACGTCCAGAGCAATTCGTCGAGTATTACTACCAGACCTTTGACGCCAACCGCGCCGGCCTTGCTCCTCTCTACGTACGAGTCCCAAAATTGGACGGGTCCCGTAAATCATGGCTGACTTGGTCTTCTGCAGCGCGACCACTCGATGCTCACATTTGAGGCGCAAGGAGTGCAGGGAACGCAGGCCATTGTTGAGAAGCTCCAGGTACAAGCAGTTAGTTCATGCTTTGCAGGCGAAGACTGACCAGGCAAGACCCTGCCCTTCCAGCAGATACAACACCGTACCGATTCCGTCGACGCTCAGCCATCCGCTGATGACGGTATCCTTGTCATGGTCACCGGCGCCCTTTTGGTAACGACACCACACGCGTCGCAACATGCGGTCGACTGACATGTCTTCAGGTCGAAGGCAACGACAGGCCAATGAGCTTCACCCAGGCTTTCCAGCTCAAGGCCGACTCCGGCAACTACTACGTCTTCAACGACATCTTCCGACTCGTATACCCCGCCGCGTAAGCAGCCTGCTCAGGTCTTCGAGACCACTTACGCGATTCGCGATTTCTTTCTGGGTTTGGAGCATTTTGGCGGCGAAGGCACTATATGGAAGGTGGGAAAAGTGGAGGGATCGCATGAGCATGGAAGTGTACTTGGTGCGCAGACTGCCAACCTTTGCCACGGCTGATCGTCTAAGTACGAGGCCACTCATGATATCTCACACGAAAGGATCAGTCGAAATATACTCAAAGTTGAACACAATCTGGGTCGGTTTGTCTGAATGTGATTTTCCGGCTTAGCTCTGCCTTGCAACGAATTTCCGGGTCTTTTCCGTACTCGTGATCGGAACCACATCTTGGCTTCCGCGTTTCCACCCCGCGTTTACTTGCCGAAGCTCGTATATCCGCCGCATCGGACCTGCAGTTTAGCTTACATTCCAACAACGCCATGGGTCCGTCATGCGTCGAGATTTATCGCGAACTTCGCTCTTCCGGTCTTCTTCACTTCTTCTCTTTTCCTCTACTGTTTGCGTAAACTGCTTTTTCTTGTCGTCGTTAGCCTAACATCTCCACTCATATCACAATGGCGTTCCTCCAGAAAGGCCTCAAGAACATCCTCCAAAAGAACCCCACCGATGTGGTCTTCCTCTCTGCTCTCCGAACCCCAGTAACACGAGCAAAGAAAGGCGGTCTTCGCGACGCGTACGACCATGAACTCCTCGGTGCTGTATGTATCCTGTTCCAAAGTTTTGAAATCCTGCAATATTGACGCTATTTCAGGTTCTCAAGGCGACCATCACCAAGTTCCCCAACCTCGATCCCGCGAAAATCGACGATGTGTGCATCGGCACCGTACTCGCAGAGCTCGGCGGTTCAAAAGCAGGCCGCATGGCCGCAAACCACGTCGGTGTTCCGACCACTACATCATTCAGCACTGTGAACCGCGCATGTGCATCGGGACTCAGCGCTATCACATCAATTGCGAATTCAATTGCTGTTGGGCAGATCGACGTCGGCATTGCAGGCGGTATGGAGAGCATGACGCGGAACTACGGTAGCAGGGCAATCCCCACCGAGCTCTGGCCTGAGATGAGAGACAGCTCCGTGAAGCAAGCAAAGGACTGCATAATGAGCATGGGCATTACATCTGAAAACGTCGCGGAGCGATACAACGTCAGTCGCGCGGACCAGGACGCCTTTGCCGCACAATCCCAACTCCGCGCCGCGGCAGCGCAAGCTGCAGGGAACTTTGACGCCGAAATCGTACCCGTGACAACACGCTGGATTGAGCCTGAGAACCCGGAGACGGAGAAGGAAGTCACAATCACAAAGGACGACGGGATTAGGGCGAACACGACGGTGGAGAAACTGGCGAGCATGAAACCGGCGTTCAAGAAAGATGGTACCTCGACCGCAGGAAACTCGTCGCAAGTCTCCGACGGCGCGTCCGCTGCTCTCATGATGCGCCGCTCTACCGCAGCCGCTCTTGGCCTCTCGGACCAGATCATCGGGAAGTGGGCGGGCACACAAGTCGTTGGCTGCCAGCCGGATGAGATGGGCGTTGGGCCTGCGCTCGCCGTGCCAAAGCTCCTCGCTTACGCGGGTCTTGAGGTCAAGGATGTGGATTTGTGGGAACTCAACGAGGCGTTTGCGAGTCAAGCGCTGCATTGCGTAAGGACGCTGGGATTGGAGGGGAAGATGGATAGGGTGAACCCGAATGGAGGTGCGATTGCGTTGGGGCACCCACTTGGAGCGACGAGCGGGCGGATGTTGGCTACGTTGCTAGGGGAGATGGGGAGAAGCGGGGAGCAGGTTGGTGTGATCAGCAAGTGTATCGGGACAGGGATGGGGATGGCGAGCTTGATCATCAGGGAGTAGGGAGATGTGTTTGGATATGAGGTGATTGAAAAGTAAAAATGAATTTCTGAAAGACCTCGGGGTATCGTGCTCGGCGCCGTGTCAACTCATGCTCCCGTCTGAGCAACTCTTTCTCAAGTCGCGGGGCCCTTGTTTTTGCTCTTGTTTTGCTTCTTCTTGGATCGCTCGGCGAGGATCTCGTCTAGAAAGCTTTTGGGTTTGGCTTTCTGTCTGCTGGTGTCGCGTTTGACGTTTCTTGGTCTTGCTCCTGCTGCTTCGTCCTCGGAGTCGTCTTCCTTCTTCACCACCTCTGCACTCGCAATACTCTCCTCCTGCGCCTCTCCGTCATTCCCCTCTGCTATTCTACCCTTCGCTTGTAACTCCTCCTCATCCTCGACCTCTTCATCCCGCTCCTCTTTTACTTGCACCGACTTCTTTTTGGGTCCACTCCTCCTGCTTTTGAACGCAGACGACCGCCCCTCTTCCTCGTCTTCACTCTCCTCTTTCTTCACTGGATCTGGCTTCCCAAATTTCTGAGGCTTGGCATTTGGTCTCGCTGCTTCTAGTTTCGCGGCGATGTGTGCTTTTGCTCGTTTCTTTCCGATTAGCTGTTCCAGGAGTTTGTCGTTTGATGTTGGGAGGCGGCGCGTGAAACTTCCGTCTGCGATGTCCTTGGGGAGTATACCGCCAACGCCAAGTCTGGGGTCATGATTAGAATATGGATGTTTGGGGTCGTTGGAGTGAACGCACCTATCGTGCCCAAAGACATTTGCATTCAGATCGTCGTCCTCTTTTTCGTCTTGTGATGTCAAAGCAGCAGTATTTGAGTTTGGTGTTGATTCAGCAGGGCCCATCCACGATGCCAGCAGGCTCTGGTGCTTCGCCAGCCCAATACTGAGCCTGTTTGTGAGCACGTCGCCGTCACTGTTCCGTTTCGCCATGTCTGCGTGATTTTCCCGACGTGCTATGTTTGCAACTTCCCGGCCGAGACGTTTTTCGAGAACCGGAAATACTAGCGTAGTGCCAAGGTGCAACTCCGCCGGAGAGCAGTGAACCTCGCACATCCAGCTCCACCATAGCCAACGTCCTCACCTATACCCGTTTGCGTGGCTGATACCTAGACGCCATGTACAAGATTGCCCGCGCCCGGCCGCTCACCAGCGCTCTCCGAGCTGCTGTCGTATGTGCACCCCCGCAAGCTCTGGCAGCCTCTGACGGCAGCGTCCATGGCAGCGTTAACCTGTAGCAGGAGACGCCCTTGAAGCGATCCGCGGTGCAGCAGAGGAGGGGGCTGGCGATCCACGAATACCGCTCCGCCGCGCTGCTCGAGTCGGTACGGGTGTTCCCTCTGTTCGCAGCTGTCTATGCGCCGGCCAGCATCGCTAACAGCGTCGCAGTACGGCATCGGCGTCCCCAAGGGCGGCGTGGCTACCAACGCAGAGGAGGCGCTGCAGGTCGCCAAGAGCATCGGCGGCGACGATGCTGTTATCAAGGCGCAGGTCCTTGCCGGCGGGCGAGGAAAGGGCACCTTTGACAACGGCTTCAAGGGCGGTGTCAGGGTCGTCTACTCGTACGCTGCATGCCGATTTTTGTAGGACAGCACTGACGGACGCAGCCCCCGCGAGGCGTCCATCCTCGCCGACCAGATGATCGGCCACAAGCTCATCACCAAGCAAACCGGAGCCGGCGGCCGTCTCTGCAACGCCGTCTACATTGTCGAGCGCAAGTTTGCGCGTCGCGAGTTCTACCTCGCTATCCTCATGGACCGCGCGTCCCAGGGCCCCGTCATCGTCGCCTCGTCGCAGGGTGGCATGGACATCGAGGCCGTCGCCAAGGAGCACCCCGAGGCCATCGTCACCACGCCCATCGACATCCACGTGGGCGTCACCGACGACATTGCGCGCAACATTGCGAACGAGCTCGGCTTCTCGGAGCAGTGCATCGAGGACGCCAAGACCACCATCCAGAACCTGTACAGGGTCTTCATGGAGAAGGACGCTACCCAGATCGAGATCAACCCCCTGTCTGAGACTACCGACCACCAGGTCCTCGCCATGGACGCCAAGCTCAACTTTGACGACAACGCCGACTACCGCCAGAAGGACGTTTTCGAGTGGAGGGACATCTCGCAGGAAGACGCCGACGAGGTCAAGGCCGCCAAGGTCGGACTGAACTTCATCAAGCTGGACGGCGATATCGGCTGCCTTGTCAACGGCGCTGGTCTGGCCATGGCCACCATGGACATCATTAAGCTGAACGGCGGTGCGCCAGCGAACTTCTTGGATGTCGGTGGAGGTGCGACGCCCGAGGCTATTCGCCAGGCTTTTGACCTCATCACCAGCGACCCCAAGGTCACGGCCATCTTTGTCAACATCTTCGGTGGTATCGTCAGATGCGATGCCATTGCCAAGGGCCTGATCAGCGTGGTGGAGAGCATGAACCTCAAGACACCGGTCATTGCCAGATTGCAGGGGACAAACATGGAGCAGGCGCATAAGCTGGTAAGTCCAACATCTAGTCAACTAATACGACATGGGGAATATACGCTAATCATCAACAACTAGATTGAGGAATCCGGCCTCAAGATCTTCTCCATCAACGATCTGCAAGGCGCGGCGGAGAAGTCGGTGCAGTTCTCAAAGGTGGTCAAGATGGCGAGGGATATCGATGTCGGTGTCGAATTCACTCTCGGTATCTAAATCACCCCCCCTTCTTGTATCCACATATTACCTTTTTCGCGCGCGATACAAAATATCTACCCATGGCTGACGTCTGTGTGTGTGTGAATTGAAGATTGAGTGTGCTGCGAGATTAGGGGTTGTGTGTGTGTCTTTGTGGAGTTTTGTACTATGTTTTATGATGTGCGGTTTCGTCGTGTATGATGTTTGGTGTGATGCCTTTATTTCTGCTTACGATATGTGTTGCGCCCGCTGAATTGATGGTAAGATCTGCTAAAGAGGCACAAACGTAACGTCGAGCATGTTGTGTTTTCGATGACCCGTCTCAGTATTCACACACGCCTAGACTCCACGTTCCCATAGGTGGAGGAACTGCATATTTGGAGAACGGTAGGCACACGCACCATTGAAACGTGTGGCGGATATTTTGTTAACAGCAGAGTAGTTTTTCAATGAGGATGAGTACATACGTCTCGCCACAAACACCATGGGATCGGTTCGTCAACGTTTTTCTTGCTGGGTTGAATAGGTGTGGTGTTGATGTGTATTACTGATGTATAGTATAAGTATACTTAATAATCGGACGAGCACATAGCCTTGCGGAGTCGCATTTTGAGCAGAAGGGACATCACACGTAGTTCCATCGATTTTGTTTTGGAAGAAAAAGAGTTTTTATGTAGAGGATAGGAGAGGTGGGTGTACACTTTCTCCCACTTTGGATAAGATAGTGGTGGTAGCCTCTCTTGCGAAGACAAGATCTTTTTGGAAACGAGGAAGTGTGGACAAGACATCATGTCCTCGGGCAAGCATTTTGGATTTTCGAGTGGGCTTGTTGATGGGTGAGAACAGAAGAGGAGTAAGGGCGTGGGTTTTATATACGTCCTCGGACCATGAACTCGATAGTACGGTGGTTATGACTGCAGTAGACTCAGAGTGAAATGTGTGTTTTTTGCTCACGCTCTACATGTAGTAAGGAGTTTTGCACCGCTACTGGCATGTAATGTTTTCATTGTCTTTTTTTCTTTTGTGGAAAGGTGTAGAGGGAGAACACTCCACTCCATCAGCGATTTGGAAATCCGGTTTTGGATAAAAGAGTAGAATATGGACTTGTAGACGAGAAACATGTAGGCGGATAACAAATTTTTATATACAATTCCTCTCAAAACAGCAAGGACATGCTTGTCTAGCTCTTGATCTTGTCTTGAAGATTGCCTAATGTTGATGTAGAAGATTGGTTTTAGTAGACTGCGCGACGAAGGGTATATTGCATAGTACTTTTCGAGAGCAAAGCAGAGAGCAACATGGCTCATGGCGATACCTTTTCTGGGGTTGTAGAGAACGTTTTGTATTTGTGAAGAAAAGAGAGGAATGCAGAGAAGAGGGATTTATTTGTATACTTTCCATCTGCTCCAATGAGAATGGAGGGTGATGGTGATCATGGCCATTAACGTTTTTTTCACTTCTTTGTTTTTATACTGCTGCTGGGTTTTCCTAGACGGCGCGAAAACGCAGAAAAAGATTTAGAGGAGCGACAGAAGCGGACGCAGCACATAAGGTTTGTTTAAACGTTTTGAGAGAGTATGATAAGTTGGCGTATAACTCTTTTTGAGGTGATGCTGCATAAGTAGGAAGAGTCTGTGGTTTTCGACTCCGTGATCGATTTTATACTGGGCATGAAGATTCAACCACATAATATCACTTTCCACGTTTTGTCGATGAACGAAGTTTTCATTAAATTTTGCTAATTGCACGGCTGGCTTCATTCGACTCTTAAATAACGGTTATAGAGAGATGAAAGACGCAGAAGCGATATCATCCTTTTGGACTATTCTTTTGTATGGGATACCAAACACTGATGGGGATGAGTAGACAGAAAGGTGTGGTGTTTATATGCCAGAGACTCGTATAGTTAGAAACGGTTGCCGATAATCATCATCACTGGCAGATTTCGGGAGAGAGACGAAGACACGACATGTACGTATTGTACAAAGTTTTTAAAAGATTCCAAGAGATGAGGGAAGAGAGGTGACATTGGTATGTTTTGTAATGGCTTGATACAGCGCTGTGGTGATCATGGCTTTCATTCTTACTGTCGCAGGAAGCTCTCTAGTCCTAACTTCGACAGATCTCTCCAAGCATAACCGCCTGATCCACCCTTACTTGACAGATAAAATCAATAGGCTACCTTGATTACAGAGCGCTCGAAAGGTCATAACAGAGCAACTAGTTTGTTTATATTGAGGAGGTTTCCAAACACACCAACTCATGTCGGTAAGACTTTTTCTTTTTGATCTCTGCCTAGATTCAACGAAGCATGGACGTCAGTAACTGTATTTTGGAAATAAGAGGATTTTTAGGTAAGAAAAGATTGGGAGGAGCAGAACACTCCCACCTCGCTGGTAGAATATGCATTTTTGAGGATCAGAAGACATATATCGGACCAAGGACACTTTCAGTGATACAGAGCCCTAGTGAATTTCGGAAACGAAAACACTGGTCTTCAGAGTAATTGGAGATAGAGCATAACGAGAACAAATTCCTAGATGTATCATTTACTCTAGTTCTGGGGAACATGAACCATATCTTCGATTTTCTGGATCCGTGACACAGTAGTCCCGAAGGAGAAACATGTAGGCGGGTATTCAGGGTTTATCTACACGTATTACGGTGTCATTCTTCCGCGTAAAACCATTCTGCATTCCGCAATTGTTTTAATGATACACAGATTCTTTTCAAAGAAAACGTGGAACTAGCATGGGTAGGAGTTTGATGAGACATATGTCGCCGGTCACAAAGAAACGTGACAACAACATACATCCTGGAAGTTGAGACTTTTCGAATCCCACAATCATGCAGCGATGGTTTTAGTAGCACAATGCTTCAACAGGACGAACATTGGGTTGAGTATGCTGGTTCTTTGGAAACTCAGACGTTAGGTTGTGGAATAGAGAAGAGAGACACAAGTTTATATAGTGATATAAGGACCTGTAAAGCACACTTGCGCTTTCGACTTTGTCAACTCGTCAAACCTCCACGTCTCACATAGACGAGATCTATTGCCATTTTGTACAAAAGCAGTCACACGCCCCTCATCCCACTTTCTATTGCATGTGTTTAGACGAGAAGACATCAACCTTTTTATCGCCAGTTTTCGACAAAACAGAGTCGCGAGTTTCATCAAGACAAGAGGATCAAGAGTGAGAAATATTTGGACAAGGGGCTCTGAAATTCAGTGATCATGAGATAGGCAGGACTAATGGATATCATCAGCACCGAAACGTCTCGCCATCTAGACAGGTTCTGACCACTGAACTTCCGCAATCCACATATGTGCGTCGATCTTGTCTTTTGTGCTGACCGGACTGCGCACTTTGGAGACAAACAGCCATTGAAAGAACCTCCATGGCTTTTTCAGAAACGAGAAGAGTTTTGATCGATGAGGGTAGGAGTTGGAACGGAGCGAAACTTTATATAGACGGCGAAGGTACCTAAAGTGGTAGAATCACCAGTATCAAAGCGAGTCACAAACTCAGCAATGGTGTTCCACAAGAATCCATACATATGTTTTGCACGACACGCCATCGTAATTTCGACAGCAGAAGCCCGGTTCTGTATGGAGAAATCACGACTTGTATATTTTCCATTCGTGCCGATGCATCGCCGGGTATCATGTTCTCCATCGACGCCAGATCAGCGCCACGCATGCTCAACTTGTCCCAAGAATAAACCCATACCGTTCCCAGAACACCATATATGCACCCTTGTCAAAATCAAGTCCTTGTGAGGAAACAGAAAGTTTACAACGCCGTGTCGTACCATGCCATGCCCTTCTTCCATCAAGCCAGCGCCTCACTTCTTCCCAATACTGAACCCTCTCGTCATATAATCCGCGCTATTCCCCATACTAGGCTTGCTCTCCTTCTCATGGAACAGGCTCTTCACGTTATCGTTCTGCGCCAACTTCCTCCTCTTGTTGCGCGCTTCCTGCTCGTCGAGGACTTTCTTAGTCAGCGATGCAGTCGCGGAATTCTTGATGCCGTTGCCGTTGCTTGTGGTGGGTGCAGAAGCTTCTTTCTTGGCTTTCTTGTCTTCGCTGGAGGTTTTGCTAGCCTCGTCTTTGTCCTTGCGCTTCTTGCTCCCTGGCGCTTTCTTGAGCGCGTGTGTAAGGCCCTTCTCGCGCAAGGTCTTGATGCGGAGGTTGAGGCGCGCGATATCTGTTGGGACGGTGGGGAGGATGGTTATGATGTCGTTTTCGGCGTAGGGCTCGTTGCACTGTTGGTTTGTCAGCACTTACATGTTCTGCAGAAACGCAAGAGGATATACATACCGTCAAACACCCACCTCCTTTGACCTCCCTGACAACACTCCCAGCGAAAGCATGTCCACAAGGGACAATGTAACACGCCTTCGTGCCAGGTCCCAACACTGTCCCAGTGATAGAACACACCCACTTCTCTCCCAGGCCCTTCTCGCCCTCCTCCTCCCCTTCAGCAATCTCAAACTTCACCTCGACCACGTCTTTCAGGCCCTTAACCCTATCCCCCACACATCCCAATCCTACTCCACCTTCCGCCTCATCTCCCGTCACCCGTCCAATCTTGCCCATCTCTTCCTTTTCCCTTCCCTCCTCCATCAACAGATACTCTATAACAGAGTCTTTATTATACAGCACCCCGGCTGCATCGCTAACCACAGGCCTGGCAAGCCGTTTCCGCGTAAGCGGGTCCATAGACCAAGCATATTCCTGTTGTTCTGTTTGCGCCTCTTTGAGTTGCGCGGTAGTGAGGGCCTTGGCGGCTTCTTTGACGAGCTCGCTACGCTTGGGGATACTGCCACCGTCGTTACCCATGGTGAGTGATGGGCGAAGTGAGTCGTGGAGGGTTGTGGACGTGTTGAGGTAGAAGGTGGATGGGGCTGGCGAGCTCGCGTGCGACGCTGACAAGAGTTTGTAGGTGGGTGATCAGGCCTAAGAATTTTGAGAACGTGACTTTGACTTCAACAAGCTTGGGAAATCCGAGTACGCGAACAGCGTGAGTACTGCGCGCGTGGTAAGTAACGGGTGGCGGAGGAGCTGCGGAGAAGACGCGGAGGTTTGAGTTGGGATTGGATTGGTGAGGTCTTGGCATAGGAACGCAGCGCAACAATTCAGTCGAGATTTGTTTATGATGAGGAAAATGTTTATGTCATATCGCGTTAATCATTTTGTATGGTACATCCCTATGTTACAACATTGTCAGCCTCATTGAAACCTAACCGGGTCTCTTCGAGACATGCCCCTCACTCCCTGCTCAGACTTCCCAGCCCCCAGGCCAGAAAACCACGGCCTTCTCTGCTCCTCCGGTCTTGCCATCTGTTTCCTCCAACCACCTCTCCCCTGGTCGCGATCCTCATCCTTCGCACCCTCGTCCTTGAGATGAGTATCTGAATTTATCTCACCTTCCTCCTTGTCCAGTGTCTCCTTCACTACATCCGAATCCCTGCCCGTATCCTTAAACATGACTCTTTGAATGAATGCCGATAACCTCGCGCTTTCTGCCTTAAACGGCATCTTCTGCTCCTCGACGATCAAATTCGAGAAAATGAGTCTATCGTATAGAGCATATATCTTGCGCAGACATGTGATTGCATCCTGACGTTCAGCGCCCGTAAGATACGTAGCGCCTACGCCTCTCCCAGAGAAACGCTCACCGCCAATACCGAGCTGGAGGCGCAGATTCTTGACGACGGGGTACATGTTCGTGAGTGCGTCGACGAGGTCCTGGCCTTTGGCGAGCGGAAACGTGAGAGCAAGGTCGGCGTACATGCCTACGGCCTTCGAGTCCATGTCCGGTAGGACTCTCGACATCAAGTGCAAGATCTGGCTGGCGGTTTTGAGCGAATTGTGGTTGTTTTTGTCGCGGACGCAGGTGCTCATTGCGATCCTAAATGTGCCCGGTCGGGGTTGCATGCCTTTGTCGACCATATCTTCTTGCAGAAGCTTAAGAGCGGCGGCAGAAGCTCGATTTTGACGCAGATTGCGCAGACGCATCATTAAGTTGTTGAAGTCGGGCTGGATGCTGTAGGTGGTGGGATCGCATAGGAGGTCCCAGTACTCTTGCGCAGCCTTATTTGCAACAATCTTCTGACACGCCTCTTGAACCACAGAGAGCGTGTTGTTGCCGGGTTGAGCGTATGAGAGAGGGTTGAATACCGCAGCCCCCACACCTTGAGGTGTCACAGGAAGGAACTCGTCGCCGCGCATCGGACCTTTCGTAGGCGTAAGATGATCATCATCCACACGATACTGCTCTAGTGTGTTGGGTGCTCGTACACGCGGATACCCAGCTTCTTGTCGCGCCGGCGTCCCGAGTCGAGGAACGAGACGTGCAATGTCCATGGTCTGCTCAATCAGAGAGAGCACGTCGTCCCAGTCTCGTGGACGACTCCCAATGAGCAGCAGCCTCGCCATAGCACATACCAGCTCCTCGTCGATGATCAGGTCAACGTTCCTCCACCTGCTGATGATGTCCTCCCACATGCGTCTCCCCTCCACGATACCACGATCTTTCCTAGCCGCCGCTTCCTCTTCTGTCTCGCCCTTTGGCGCGCCGAGCAAAAGATTCTGTCTGATCGCGTTGATGATGGTGATGTACGTAACCTCGTTCGCCGCTCCGGGTCCCTTCTCAGGCATCTTCCCTGCTATGCCCCATAGCGCGTCCATGTCCATCGCTCTCGCGCAGACTCGTAGCGCAGCATTCGTGTGGATGATCGAGGGTTCGACTCTCGCATTCGGTGCGGACAGGGAGTGGTATACAGAGAGAGCTTTGCTCAGAACGCCTGACGTGTGTGCATTTATCGACAGCCCCCGCAAGAGGATGGTGTATGTGTATGAATCGGGGAACTGCGCGCGTTTCTTCATCTACATGATGTCAGTCTGCTTTCTGGAGCCTCTTCTACGGTAGAGCACACTTACCTCATTGTACACCTTCAGCGCATCGTTCACCCTCTCGTTTGCCAGATAGTGATCGATAATGTGGTTCCAGCTCACAATGCACATCATGGAATGGCTCGCCATGCGCGTCAACTGCAGCATCTCCGTGACCCTCCCTTTGCCCAGCTCGTTCTTGACAAAAGTAGCCAGCTCTAGCGGGTCCTTAAGGAATCGCAGTTCTCTCTTGCGATTGTTCCAGTCGGTGTCTGACATGTTCGAATCGCGCTTCCCAATCTTGGTTATGTCGAGCTGCTCGAAACCCTTTCTCACCACCTCATGCCGATCTTCTTCCCCTCTTGTACCAGGTCTTGCTGGCCTCCTATTATCCATCCATTCCGACCCCCGCCTTACTATGTCCGGTCTCTCTGCCCCTCTTCGCGCAATGTGTAGTGGCCGTTTTAACGTGTTCCTCTCCCACTTCCTCTGGTTCGCTGCCATGCCCGACTTATTCCATGGCTCTTCATGTCTGCGCGACAGCTTCTCCACCTCGGCAAGGTTCGTTGGCCTGGCGTCCGTCTTCCTCACGACGCCGTGTGTCCTGGTTTGAAAGAGCCTCGTCTGGCCATACCGCAGCGGTGCATAGTGGGTCGGGATATCGAGGGCGTTTCGGAGACAGGTGCGACGATTCAGCATCGGGGAGGGTGCGGGGTCGAATTATGTAGACAAAGTGCGTAGGGCGGGCATAGCATGGCAGTTACAAAAAGTTCTGCGACTTCGGCCGCGCGGGCCGAGATGCCAAGCCCACGAGGCGCGGCTCTCCCGAGCCGAACTTCGACCCTGCCATCACGTTGTACACGATCAACCGCGTTAGCAAGCCTTTACGTCAGTTCCCGCACTGTATCACATCGACGCCGTCAGAAAACGTGCGGAAGAAACTAATACTCTATTTCAACCTCCCCCATGACGTCAATGCCCTCTTTATATTGCACTCCCACACGCAAGGGCCGAGCAACAGCCCTGAACCCTCCCCTTCCGACCCTCTGGAGCACTAACAAACCCCCCGTTGTGAAGCTAACGCAAGCACCACACCAACACCAACACCGACCTAGCAGTGGTCTGATCGGTCAAGATAGCCGTAGGACCGTTGAATCCTTCGCTCAACGTGGCGCTTAGTAGTTCCACACGAAGGATCCGCAAGCGTGGCACGTAGGGATGCAAGTGTGCAGCTCGTGATGCTTTGGTGCGAGGGTCAGCGTTGGCGAGGACCGCATATGGTGTGCTGTAGATGTGTTTGCCTGTGTCTTGTGCTATACATGTTACTGTTGTCGTTGCTGCATTCATCTTACCACTTTTGAGTTCCCCTGTTTACTCTTTGCCCAAGACAGGTGGCATGGTCGAGAGGGTAAACAGATCTGCATCCCAACACGGTAGGTTACACAGCCAAGTCTCTCCCTCGACGCCCCGAAATCCTGTCTTTCGCTAACTACGCTTGTGTAACACACCTGTTGGCAAGGTTCTCCCACGCCAGGCTCGCATGCGCCCGTCCGTTAGTTTCCGCCGTCAGATCGACCGCTATCCTGTGCTGGCGCAAGGTACTTTGTCCCTGGCGTTAGCCTTCCAACGGCGGCCGCCAACGCAACAAGGGACTTTTATTTAGTGTAGTGATTCACCGCTAATGGCAATCTCGCATCTAGCATGCCAGATCTTAGCGTTCTTGTTGTTAGAGGCTTGGATTGAGGCTGAGCTAAATAGTGAGTGTGCCAATGTCCATGCAAGCCATGTAAATTCTTGCAAAAAGCATCTCTCACTCGTCATGCACTTCGGACGAATAGCTTAATTCGACACTTGGCCAACATGCCCGACGCCTCTTGCAGAGGTCAGGCAGCAAAGCAGCGCAGGCGAGCTGGAAAGTCCAACACTCGCACTCACCAGTCTCAGCCCGCCGCATGATTCGTAACACGTCCAACTTGCATGATTCGTTGCACCCAACGAAAAGAGTGAGTTCTCCGAGTCTGTGGTCCACAGTGCGTCCTTGCAACGTCGTGCGTGTATCCCTGTGTATATTCTCACTACTAATTCTCGCATCTTCGCTCAGTCAGACATGTGAAGAACACGTAGTGTACGCCAACGTGACTGTCAATTCCGCTGGATTACTCACTGCACCATCATGTGAACTCACGAGTGAGACTGCAGATTTGTAACAATTCTACCATAAGCCCAGCAGGTTTAACTCACGCATCCTCACTTACAAAACACGTACCTCTGCGCGTACAAATGGTGAGCCAGTATTCACGTAGTGTGACTAAGAGCCAGACACAACCTGTCCTTGTGTACGACTCCTGCACTTCTGGGTCATGAATCCAGAATTCACAAAGCAAGGATGAGCTAGATATGCATAAATGCTGGGATCCAATCATGTGTATCAGAAGCAGAGTGAGATATCGTACTAAGTGGCCGATGAGGCACCAAAGTGGAATATTTACTAATACGAGTGTAAGCATTTCGCTGTGGCGGGTATGTTGCATATGCAAAGCGTCTTTGTGTGTGCGATGCGAGTGTGACGGCCGAAGCACATGACTATGGTGATAGGTTGTTGTTGTGAGGAAAGTAGGGTCTCTTGTCATGTCCGGTACGACACATGACACGGCGATCCGGGATCCTTGCTTTCTGCAGGGTCACATCAAGGCGAGTCGGATCGAGGTAACCAACCTCTTTGATGTTGTTCGTTCCACGTTGTGCGTAACGAGATAAAGGTCGAGGAGCCGGAAAAAATAGTGATTGGAAGTCATGATTCCGCTCGAAGGGAACCTGCGTTTGTGAATCACCGGTTCGGTTCCTTAGTTTGGCAGAGACAAATCAGGTAGCGAAGAATGTGTAAAATTGTTTCTGGTAAGCGCCGTTCCACATGCATGATTTCTAGGCGCAAAAGAAAATCCGAGAAGAACAAATTTTGGTATTGGGCAAGAATGAGCAAGACGAAGGGAAAGGTAGACATGTAGTTTGACCAGCAGTCCCAAATAGCTCTACCCTGCAGCAAGAACATTTCGCGCCACCACCACCAGCTCGTTCCGCCTCTTTCTCTCCCATCCTTTCGAGAGGAGTCGCACACGCAAGTAACGATCAAGCGTGCTCTCTCAGCCATAAACATCTTTAAAATTAGAACATACAGCCGCCACCAAGTGAAAATGCAAAGGCACCGCAGGAAAACGATGATGCCAAAACCATCCCATGCTTCCGGGAAATGAATGCAAAGAACCTCCTTAAAGAAAATCGTGATATTTGCAGACCGGCCAAAGAAAACGGGGTGACAGAGATACTTTGTTGTACAGTTGATACTAGGGGTGATTCTCGTGTTCGTCCAATTTCGCCTCTTTGCACTCGTCCGACGGTTGAACATCGATCATGAATTGAAGTCTGGGGGTAACGTATGGTGGCTTTCAGCTGCCGGTTGGACATCGATCGTAGGTTGGTGATGAAGAATCGAAACCTAATGATTTTGCTGATACATCTGCGGATTCTGTCCGTACGGCGATTGGGGATAACTGCTGTTGTTACTATTTGGACTGTGGTAGGCGTTGCTGTTTGGAGTAGCATACTGCGCCATTCCCTCGGGAAGACCCGGACTCTGCGTTCCGTACTGAGGAGCAGCCGTGTTGCCAGAAGCAGCCGGCTGATAGCCAATGGGTGGAAGCTGAGGATGAGAAGGTGGTTGACCTGGCACCCCAACGGCCTGTCGCATCTGCCCATATACTGGCGGCTCGCCGCCAGGGGCACCCTCATGCGCTGCCCGTTGTTGCTGCTGGACATGTTGCTGCACGTCGGCGCGGTGGCGTTCTTCGTCGGCCTTACGCGCGGCCTCTTCTTCCTTCTTCTTGGCTTTCCATTCCTTGCGAATTTCCTTGAATTCTGTAGTGAATATGTTAGTGTGTATAACAGTGTCAAAAAATGTGCCAAGGCGAAGGGGCATGGTTAGCTTCCGTTACCAAATGTACCCAATTGTGTGAAAACTCCACCCAGACGGGTTCAAGGCTAAGAGTCTAGCGAGTGGAGCTTGCAAGGACCACAAAAGAACAAACGAAGACCTGGGATATACAATGACTGCACATACCTTCTGGTGTTCGCTTCGCTCCGTGGGACTGCATCGTGACGTGCGCATTCAAATGATTCAAAGTGCCATACGCTTTTTCGCAGCCATTCCAACCACATTTGTACATGCGCTCGATTTCTTCGTATCGCCGTCTCGGTCGTTTATGTTGTTGCGCGCCCGGGATTGGCACGAACGAGTAAACCGTCGACAATGGATGACCTCCCTGCATAAACTGTCAGTCCAATACCTCAACCACAAGAGCCAACCACAGATTCAAATTGGGAGAAGAATGTGACCGGACAATCAAGTTGCACAAGCTTCAGGACTACTTACCGTAGGTGGTCGCTGGACAGGAGAGACCATTGCTGCCGAAGGAGGGCCTGACGTAGCAGGGTGAGCATAGTGCATGCCGGGTTGAGGGTATTGACCCGCCCATTCAGGTCGTGACGCGTACATGGGGGTTTGGGGATGCCCGGGGTAATGCTGCATATCATGATGAGGTGTGTAAGGCGAGTATTGCTGTTGGTGAGGATAGGTCGGGCTCGTCGCGGCGGCGATTGATGGATCTATAGGTACATCCGAGTCAGACTTGAGTTGCTGTGGTTGTTGATGGTCATGTGTTTGACCATCTGGAATAGACATTGACGGACTCTGTTGTTGCGCCATACCGCCTGGTGCTGGCCCTTGAGCGCCTGGTTGGTACGAGCGCTGAATGTACTCTGGGAATGACCCTGAGCGCGCAGAGGATGGATTCACGCTGTAGTCTGAGGTGGGCGTGAGGTTTGAAGCTCGCGGGTCGTGACCTTGTGGAGGATATTGCGCAGCAGATGCTTGATCTGCAGAGATGCTCTCAGAAGCTGGTTCGGTAAAGGTTGGGTAGGGCGGGCTCAAACCTGACTGCGGGTAATCCTGTTGTCTTGCGTCCATAGACTGTGTACGTGTTCAAGAGTGCAGTTGCACGGGTGCTTTAGGCTGGCAGTAGTTGCGCGTGGTCTGGGAGGAACGGCTGCAGAAATATGACGGTCGCAAGCCGTCTTCGGATAATATACCGCGGTCACAAGAAGACAGACGACTAGGCTCTTGAAGTGTTGGCGGAGGATAGCCAAGGATTGCGCACAGCCAGGGAACGAGAGGAAGGTCGGGTATAGCGTCGAAGTTAAACACGGGAGATTTGCAGACGGTGTGTTTTCCACGGCGACCAGGTGGAGGGACAAGAGGCTCGGCAGTTTTCCAGCCGTCAAATAGATAAACGCACGGAAGATGCAAGTTCGAGGGCAGGGGGTGAAGGCTAGCGCCAAAAGGTGCCCGAATCGCGGACAGGTGCAACGCAGAGGCAACACGAGAGCGCTAGTGGTGAAAGTGCTCGTACAGCGGGTCCTTTGAGCGAGGCGTGAATTTGGAAGACCGCTAGCGGGAGCAAGGTCGAGATGGGTGCAGGTCAGTGGCGCACGCCCTAGCTTTGAGATACCGCCAATCGAATCGCTGGGAGAGGTTCGGTTCTTGACCCAGGCAGATTAGCACGCTAGATGAGGTAATGAATGTCCGGTTCGCGAGCAGGGTGACTGGGGCTGACCAGAGTGGTAAAGCCGAGCCGTGGCAGTGGGAATTTGTTACTGTTCTAGGTAGGCTAAGACAAGGTTGGGCTGGCGTTGTGAGGAAAATATGGAACGGGGGTCTGACTTTGACAGTGGTCGACTGTCCACGTTGCGCGGGGGAGTGTGCGCGCGCGCTGGTAGGCCGGTGAGAGCTGCGATTGATGCGGGCTGTGAGGAGCACGTTCGCCGATGTGAGTGAACGGGTGAATTTGCTTGCAGGTGGCCACAGAAGAGGTCGCTATGCGTGACGTTGACTGGCTCCTCTCTCACTGGATGAGAACACGACAAAGAGTCGGTCCGTTGTCGGTATCGATTACTGAAAGTTTCACTCTGCAAGTGCACCTCCCTGCCTCTTCGTGTCAAAAACTCAACTGCGCCGAGCGTGCCGAGTGTTAAGATCTCAGCCGATTCTTCCGCGGGAAAAATTGGGTGACGATTGTGTGCTGCTGCGAAGATCTGCTGGGGCAGCGGCACAGGTGGTCCACGAATGTGGGCCGTGAAGGGCAGTGTTGACGCGCGAAGGTGACTCGCGTGACAGCAGACAGACAGACAGACCGACGCGTGCAGGTGCTGTGGGGGAACTCCAACGCGCCAACAAGGCGGCGGTCTCAAAGCTCGCGGCGGGTTGCACTGCGGCGCGCGAGATCTGATGTGCCTGGGGTAGCGGGCTATTGCTTGATGACGGGCGTTAGAGCAAGGCACCGGACGCAACGGAGATGGTGGTGAGCGCGCTGAGATTCGCGATGTAGACTAGACAAAGAAGGCAAGCGTGCTATGGTGGCGATGGAAAAGCCCACTCAGACGAGCCTTTAAAAAAAATCCGGCAAATGCCAAGGTGGATGACTAACGCGCCTGGACGCCGGTGGCCGTTGCAGCCCCTTGCGATGACAATCGCGATGACTGCCTGCGTTGCTGACGGCCTTGCAACATCGTGCTTGACGTTCAAAGAAGAATGCAGCGATGCCATGAGGCTGAGGCCTAGCTTGCGCGCTAGACTCACGGCGCTTCAATGCCTAGTACCAAGGTCGTTAGGTGAGACCATAGGCGATATACACAGCAACATCAAATGCCCCCAGATGTTCGGCGCTGAACCTCACCACCAACGTCCTCCTCCAAGCCATCATGATGAAGTCAGTGTGGCGACGGGGGTCCACGCCTCTCGACCCTCGGCAGGCGCGGCCACCCAGGCAGACTGATGCGCGCAGATATTGGACACGGCACAGCTATCAAGAACGGCAATGATGCCCAAATGCGAGCGCGAAGCGAATATGTTGCGGTGAGCGAAAGCAAGCATGTGGAGCGAAAAAGGAGGGCGGCAACATTACTCCAGGGTTGTTGTTCCCATCCCATGCTTGTGTGCTCACTGTTCACCATCCATCCGTCGTTCGAGTCACGCTTATCGTCGCAGTCAAGAGGACGAGGGGATGGGCCTGGCACACTGCTCCCTCGTTTCCAGTCTTCACTCCTTACCTTTGCATTGTTCGAGCATTCGTCAACGAATCGAGTGGGCCGCTCCCCGCAACATGCTTTTTTCGTGTTATATAAGATACTAGTCATATCTGTCAGCAGACTGCCCAGGGCTGCGTCCAGCCACGTAGCTGGGACCATCCTCCGACGGTTGGTTGATGACAGCACAAGAAACGAACGTGTAGGGGCGGTCAGGATGCGTGCCAATCGTGTAAAAGCGGGGCCATGGACGCTCTCTTGCATACCAATTCGCGACGCGTCGTCAAGTGTGATGACATGCTCGGTTCGATATCACAACACATTTCATGTTCAACCCAGATGCTTCTTTGTTTTTCTTTTGATTGGGTCGTGCAGTATGGCGTCTGATCAGCCCCAGGATAGATGGACAGCAAATATTGCTAGCCTAGATACACATGCGCCGTCGAGCGGGAGCGGGAACGTAGACTCGATCGCAACACGACCAGCACAGCGTCGTGAACCATCATGCCTTCTATGGTCCAGACGTCAGACACTCATCCTTGACCCTTCAATACCACGTCTCCTTGCAAAGCCTTCGTGGTAACGTTGGCCCGTCGAAAGAGGTCATCATAACGTCAAATCACTTTCGAACGGATAAAAGGCGCATCTTCCATTCGACGAGCATGTTGTCGGATAACAACCACTAATATTGGATCGCAATGTTGTACTTTAGCCTACGGGACTAGCGGCTAATGCCAACCCACGGTTGCGCACCCAGGTAGGTACGTTTTACGGGTTTGGGCGAGCGGTTGACACTGACAAGGGCGTTTCCAAATCCATCACGAAGTGGGTTCCGTGGTTCTCTCGACCTGTCGGCGAATAGAGGCAGAGTAAAGCCGAAGTCGCTCACGTGGCTGGGACGATGTTCCAAGGTTGGAGCCCTTTGACATTTACCTTGACGCGTGTTCGCTACCATGCCAGATCAGAATTCAAGGCCAGGCTGGAGGACTAACAAATTCATGCGGCAGCATCACCATCAACTCCAATCATTACGCATGCTCAATGTGCAAGGAGAAGTCTCCGCTGACGTCCTCTCCGCCGACGATGGATCCCTGCAACAAGGCCACAACATGCATGCGGCCGACATGCAATTCGTCCACTAGAAGCCAACTAGAACCCTGTACGCAGGACGTCTGTTGGAGATCATGCGCGAGGTGTTATGGCAAAGAATCTGGGCCTGTCGTACAACAGGAAGATTTTTTAGCAGGCGACAGCACAAATCCATTAGGTACGAGGAAAAGAGCGACACATCGTTGTGCGTGCGTCATTGTTGTCGCATAGCACGATTTCTGCTATCAAAGTGGTCGGCTGCATGGTCATATTCCTCCACCATTGCGCTTTGCCTCTAGCAGTCGTGAGATCGTCTGGAACCATCGTACAACCTTTTACGGCAACTCCGCCTGGCGGTGCTCTTTGAGATCCACAAACGAGTCAATACATAAAGTCGATCGCAGTCTTGTCAGGTCCCCGCCTCCTGCATTTCTCTCCCTCGGCATTAGGCCTCTGTCATGACGCGGTCTCGCAGGGAACCGTCCACCCTTCCGCTTTTGACTTTGCAGAAGCAGCTCTCCACGAGCCGCATACCCGACAAACTTTCCGCCAAAGAGACCCGTACCACACTTCTGGCACCTTCTCTTGGCAGGCATATGAAGCTGATCGTATTCTTCGATTACGGTATCATTGTTGATCAGTGATCATCAGGGATTCTGACGAATGTGCCAAGATCCATCTGCTGTACACTTTCAGCTGCATGACATGCGTCCCAGAAACCCGAAGAACGACCGATTTTGGCGCCCGGGCGTCCGCTATTCTTGATGTGATATCGCGTGAACGACCGCATGCACTCATCTCACTGCACCCAAACTGCTTGGCTTGGTCGGATGTCACCCCTCGTCTGTTCTTTCCTCTATTCTTTGACCGAGATACTGTGTTGAACCAACGGAACCTAGTGTATACTGTGTCCATACAACTTCAGTGCGCCAATGCCTTGTTCTTTGTTGATGTTTGCAGTTCGCTTTATCTTCACGTTACACTCGATTTTTGTCGCAAGCGCAGGCGCAGCCACCGCGTTCCTCTCAATTCATTCTGGTTGCCCACGTGTCTTTGGATGGAACTATCACCCACCATCTAACCTTCGGATGAAGCTTAATCCCGCTGCATGCACCAGCACCCAATGCACGGGATCTCGCGCTACCTCCGTCGAAAATCAATAAAGCTTGTTTTCTTTAGCTTGGATACCTCGGAAGATGAAACGGAGCCCGCCCACAGGAACCACGTTGTGAGGCCTGTAGGTCGAACTCGACTTGCCTTGCACGCCTTTCTGTTTCAGGCCTGGATAAAGTTGGATCTCGACCGACCACCAGTCGGACTATCCATCAATCAGATCTCTGTCAGATCATCCGGATACGAGGCTGAGGCGACTATCGAACGCGTGGACACGCGCACTCCGGGGTACTGTGATGCGTCTACAATTTGCGAAATGTTTCGGCCTTCATTTTAAGATGCAGGAAAGAGAAGATCAGCAGAACGCTCTTTGAGATCAACGGCCTTGTGACCGGCTAAAGCTCAAGACACGGGAATGATTTGTTCTCATCAAACCCAACGCCACGCAAAGGAGTATCCAAGATTCGGACAGAGGTCGTCCAAGAGACCTTTCAAGACGCCAATCATACACATTGTTTGCCCACCATACTCCCAAGCGCAACAAAGAAGTCATCTCCAATCGGGTTTACTATGTATACCTACCTATCCCACACAAAGTGCGATCCGTACGATGAACACGGATAGGTTCTGGTTAGTCAATTAACTCTAAACGCAACTACCCTGCACCCGTCACACAGCTGGGTTGCAACTAACCGCACATTTTGTTCCAATTGAAGGAGGCGATGCTATCATCAAATCCGGTTCTATCACACCCAAAAGTATGTCACTGCGAGATAACTATTACTTTGCTCAGATTATCCGTTGGCTATGAGCTGTGTCGGATTCGCATTGCATGTGTGCATGGGCGCAACGCTCCAGTGTAAACTACAAATGAGAGCCTGCGGAGACATGCAACCTGACGCCATAGGAGAGAGTTCCCCATGCATAAATGGTCACGATAATGACACAGAGATCACGCTGAGATATTCTCGGACAAAATCGCTTTGATTGCGCACAGAGAAACATGGGACATCTCGCTGCAGCGCATCATGCTTGCATTGCGCCGTCAACAACTCTGTCTGGGTGCTATTCAGTCCATAAGAGTCAACCTCTAAGGATTTGGCTTACGCCAATGCGGACCTAATCCGCCCGATAACAAGCAGCGGGCGATCCCAGACACCGTCGTAGTGCTGGTTGGAGACGGATCAATTCTAGTTGCCACTACCTCAACGCTACATCGGTACAGCATTTCATGCATATCATCCGTGTATAATTCTAAGAGGATGTTCGGCCGTCATTGCTGGATAAGCACCAGCTTGCGAGCCCTCGAACACTACTACAGACGTCATAACTCAGTATTCTACCAGTGTACGACAATACACACTGATCTAACGCTGCAGTTGTCGTCTTCTAAGACGCGACTCTTCATCAAGTGACCGCTCTGATATCGCAACAAAGAGTGCCTCAATTGATACCGACAAAGACTTCTTTCAAGTCCAGTGCATGAATTCATAGCGAGCAGTTCTGACACTTGCTTCATTTGAGATGGCGTGTACAGGATCAGCATACTATCATGGAGAAAAGACCACAAGGCTCTTTACTGTTACCATTGCCTGAACGAAACTTGTTTCGATGTTATCCCATACTTCTTCGTCAGTGAATAGTAGTAGGGCTTGTCTAGTATGAGCGCTCACCATTCTCATAGCGCTCGGCGCCTGGTGAATCATCTCACTTCACTTGTAAACCCTCTTCTCAGAGAGTCTTTGCTAGTTGCCAGGTGCCTAGATCAATCCCGGCATTGACCCCCTGCCGAGCCAGGTTTGCATCAGATGCCGGTAACGGAGGTGGTCGTCTATAACCACAATAACCACTGTTTCACCTTCGAAGAAGACGCGTTTAGTTATGAGGCCGGAAGGCATGCGAATTGTCCGGATGATAGCCGCAAACCATCAACCCATATGTTTCCATTCCGGATCATCGTTCTGTCGGTTAGATACACAGTCTTTCTCGCAAACGTGAAAAAAAAAAACTCCCCACACAATATATGGGACGATATACTATAGTTGCTGGACGGGAAGTAATTCAAGTTCAATGGGGGTTAGTGCCCTTCTACCTGAGCAACACAAGACCCCCAAGATCCCCGATATCCACACAATTTCATACTATCTCCACAGCATCAGTACTAACGCAGTCTTCTCGGTGTCAGTACCAACTCGTTTTCCTGTATCCGCAATCTCTTTCAGTTCCGCGATTTCTCTACAGTCTTGTCCATGGTCTTTTCACAGTGTCGGTCCCAACTCAACTCTCCAAGATCAACATGGTCGCGGGTCGGTCTCGCCGCAGTCTTTCCACAATCAATACCATTTCAGATCTTTCACATTCATTGTTCACAGTTGTTCATCATATGAACTACCCGCAGATCCCCAATCTTTGCTCAAGGCTTCAATGAAACCTCGACCTGAAATACGATCGGGTCTCCGATTCCTCAAACATCTCCCGACCCCTCGCCACGTTTGCGTTTCTATGATGCCCATAGCTTCGTGTTCCCGCTGTTTCAGCCAGCCAGACCGCTTCACAGTCACTACCAGTAGCTCAACCGCTTCAAGGTCAGTATCATCAGCCTAGCCACTTCACTGCTCACCATCACGTCAAGTATCCCGAACCCTCGGTCGTCTTCCTTTGATGCCCGACTCTACTTCGCAGAAACGTTCACTTGGCGCTCATGCATCGTTTCTTTGTTCCTGCGGACCAGTCGTCATATTTACACCTCTACCACCCACCGCGCCGACAATGCCCTCTATACTGATCATCAACATCGATACAACTCATTGGCCATGGTCGTCGAGATGATGCCTTCCATCCCAACTACACGAGAACACCGATGCATACTATGGTACCCCCGGGAGTACCTGTTGGGACAACCACGGATTGGTAGAACCGTCTTGATCCGAAATCCCGACGAACTCAAGGTCAGCACGCGAGGCGAAGATGGGCTCATAATTCGAGGAGATACCACAACGTACCGCGATATAACGAAGATAACAACCAGTATCTCCAGGACCTCCGTACTGGATAGATCACCATACTGTACATTCTCAGACACGATTACGTTTTGAGATTATAATCAATTGGACAGCCTGACGTCAGGGCACGTATCATCAGCACACGTCGCTAGATCTTCAACCCCTCATACTCAGCCAACCCCCACTACTACCTCTCGTTCCTCTTGCCCCTTCTCTCTCTCACACACAGAAAGTGGAAGTGGTAAGCCGGCAACCGCGGATAGAGAGATCTCAGCTCAGTTCACATCGATCGTCGAGGTTGAGAAGGGGAGAGAAGGGGAGAGAAGAGGAGAGGAGAGGATGACAAGAAAATATTGCTTAGGCCCGTATTTCGGACCAGACAATATAGTACTGTAACATCACATTTCCTTTCGATAAGTAAACGATCAAGGGCCCTTGATTGGTTGCGCAGTATAAAACCGCGTATCGAGGTTCTCACATCGCTCTGGGTCGTACCTCATCTGAATATCAATTACTCGGTTATACTGTGCGGGGCCCACCTGCTGACCTGACAATATAGGGTTCTGGAACTTCATGGACAACGAAAGAATATATTATCACCAGACAGCAGGTTCTAGTATGAGTTGTATGAATCTCAGGCTTTGGAATTTTCGAGTGCATGTTCGTGTTGTCGGCGCGTGAGTGGTAATTAGTTAAGCTGCAAAGTCCTAGGCTGCCCCTCACATGCAACAGGACACAAATGAGTCAAGTTGCGACCTATGACAGCCCTGAACAACGGTAATTATACTGCAAAAGGTGCGGCCTAAAGCAATGTGAAGAACGGGAGTATGGCGCTACGAAAACAGATCTCTTGATTAGTTATATATTCTCGATCGGAGATTTGGCTCTAAGCTGGTGAATGTATTGCCGTATTCTTACTCTGGGCCGTGCCCATTGTTTATGAGATATATAGAATTGCAAGAACTTTGTTTACTATAAACACTCTTCCCCTTTCTAATTGTGTCAATCTAGATATTGCAAAACAGTTACAAGTTTTGGCGTTTTACGTCTGCTCGTATGTTATAGTGAATGCACATTATTGCCGTTAATGCATGCTACTTTAAAATGGGTCAAAGGTCTTTGTGCACAAGTGAAGTTAACAAAGCCAGTGCGGTTGGAAAAAGTGTATTCTATATGTAAACTATTACTTGACAGAAACTTTTGAAATGTAAACGCCACCTGCTCCACGATGCAAAGCGACCAGCCAGAGTGATAACTTAAGGTCGCGTCTGGTGGCCTCGAAGAAAGGGGGCAATATCAGTCTAACAAATGGATGTGCCGTACTGCGTTACCAACCTTATCCTCCCATGACGACCAGTGCTCTGTTTCCTTCGGGGTATCAGCATACATCGACAAAGACTGGTCAGGTACTGAATTCTTGCGCGCGAGTCGCACAAGAGAGGAACGAATGAAGCGATCCTGAACGAAAGAAATGTCTATCATGAACGCCGTGCGAGTGTGCAGTGAAGCTTCTCGATCTCGTTGCAAATGATGTCGTGGTCAAGAGTTTACCAGCGGCTGTTGCGAATGGGGTCAGAGTTGCCTCCGCTCCAGCCTTGAAGTTAAGTCAGCGAGCTACTCATCATACAAGAGTCTGAGTGTACGTACCACCACGACCGCCACCACCACCGCGGCCTCCACCTCGGCCGCGGCCACCTCCCCAGCGACCGCCACCGCCTCCGCCGCCACCGTAGCGGCACATCTCATGTAGGCGAGGGTCAATCTGTTGCTTGGACTCTGTAAGAATCTGCACGAGATCACGGGCCTGCTTGGAGTCTATTATACTGTTAGTCATGTCCAGCGCCGTCAGCAAAGAGTGTACGTACTCTCAGGGGTGAAGAGCGTGATAGCAGTACCGGTTGTACCAGCACGAGCAGTTCGACCAATACGATGGACATAGTCCTCCGAGTTGTTGGGGTAGTCATAGTTGAACACGTGGGTAATGTTACGGACATCTTAAAACGCAAGGTTAGCAATTGGTAAGTGTGACGGGCAAAACGACGATCAGGATGTGATCGCGTGAAGCTGCAGTATGTTGCATGCAAGTGTCTCAGTGCGCTACAACGATGGTCATGGCATACGAATCCAGTGGGAAAGGCTGCGGATATCTCCTGGTCCAGAAACCCTTGGAAGAGATTACAACTTGTAGAAGCACAAGTTCAATCATCTCAGCTTGTCTCAGTAATACCTCGGTAATACGTGAGACAGAGAGCGGCAAAGAGCGAATACTTCGCCAGCGTGCCCAAGGATCCCTGGTTTTCAGATCGAGAAACTCTTCAAGCCCTGGACGATGTCATGGAAGCAAATGTAGCGAGCGCACAAGACAACCTAAGCAGAGCACAATGGCAGTTCACGCATAATAATAGTTTGGGAGGGAGAGGGGAGAGGGGTGGGGGGGTTTGCAATCATACCAATACCACGGGAAGCCACGTCAGTGGCAACCATGATGGGGCTCTTGCCAGTCTTGAACTCGTTCAAGACCCAATCGCGCTCGTTCTGCTGCTTGTCACCGTGAATGGCTAAAAATTCATTAGCAACGTCGTGAAAACAAGACTCGAAGGAAACTTACACAACGCTGGCCATCCATCCTGGCGAAGGAATCGGGTGATCTCATCAGCGACTCGCTTGGTACCTGTAAAGATCAAGATCTTGTTTTCCTTGTCGCTCATGATGGTCTCAAGGTGCTTGGCCATCCTGTCGCGCTTCTCGAACTCTGAGACAACCTCAACGATCTGCTGAATGCGGTGGTTGGCGGAGAGATCCATGGAGCCAATGTTGACTTGGATGAAATCCTTCTGGTAATCGGCAGCCAGCTGACGAACTTCCTTGGGCCATGTAGCAGACCACATGCAAGTCTGACGATCTGGGCGAATCTGTCCAATGATTTTGCGAATCTGCGGCTCAAAACCCATGTCAAGCATGCGATCGGCCTCATCGAGAACAAGGTAGGTGACACGACGGAGGTTGGTCTTTCCAGACTCGAGCATGTCGATAAGACGTCCAGGGGTAGCGATGCACACTTCGACGCCCCTAGCGAGGTCGCGGATCTGCGGGCCCTTGGGAACACCACCGTAAACACAGGTGTTGCGGATGCGGGAAGACTTTCCGAACTTGCTGATTTCTTGTTGAATCTGAACAGCCAATTCACGAGTAGGCGCGAGGATCAGGACGATGGGACCATCACCGGGACCGAGCAGAGGCTGAGCGTTGATGTGAACGATAGCGGGCAGACAGTAGGTCAATGTCTTTCCGGAACCTGTCTCAGCAACACCGACAACATCGCGTCCAGAGAGAGCCATGGGCCATCCCTGCGCCTGGATAGCAGTGGGCGCCGCAAATCCTTGTGCCTTGACCTCGTTCATGACGTACGCTGGGAATCCAGCTTCGTCGAACGATGTAACGGGTTTAGGTACGTTCTTGCCAACGACCGCCATCTGGTGCTCCTTGCGGTAGGCGTCGACCTCGTCTGGTGTGCGTCCGGCAACTGCGGGATCCTCCTTGTAGAAGGACTTCTCGAACTTTGGCATTGTGTCGAGATCTGAGAAACTGTTAGTTTAGTTGGCTGTTGATGTAGACGTTAGTACGCACCCCACTGCTGTGTCTTCAGGCCCTGGCCAAGGGCAGACATCCTGTCGCCTCCACCTCCGCCGTAACCACCGCCGCCACCACCGTAGCCTCCACCGCCGCCGCCGCCGTATGAACCTCCGTTGCTGCCGCCATAGCCACCGCCGCCACTGGAAGAAAGTCAGCTTGATTCGATTAACAGGTAGCGGTGAGAGAGAGGCGGGGACTCCACGCTATCAAAACAAGTACGTGACCGTCTGCTTGACGTGCAGTAGCAAGTGAAACTCGCACGGTCGTCATACCAATTCTGTGCGCAGAGTGGTGAGAAAAGAAATAACGAATGGATGGGGCTGCCAAAAACCACGCCACTGATGCCCTTCCCGTGATGGGGATGGATCGTCCTACCCATACGATGCATGCTGGCTTGTGTAGTCATAGTTGGAGGCGCCGCCGCCATATCCAGCGTTGTTATGGTCGTACCCGTTGGAGTAGCCGCGTCCGCCATCGCGTCCGCCGCCGCCATAACCGCCGCCGCCGTAGGACATTGTGTGTGGTGTTGGGGGTTTCTGTAGAAACCGGTGTCAAAGAACGGTGAGGGAACGTGTCCTAGACTTTGATGTCGCAAAGGGGTATTATGTGCAGAAGAGCGACTGAATAGGGTCGCAGATTATGTAGGAGGAAAGAGTAGAGAGGATGAGAGTGGGTGATGTGGTGAGAGAGAGAGAGATGAAAAAAGTAGTTGCTGCCTTTGCCTCGCCGGACGCGCTTGCCCAAAATTTCTGTTGTGCCAAGGACGCTTTTGCCACTTCCGGCTTAGGATGAGACCCTTATCGGCATATGGAACCTCGTCACTCCAACGCATGCAGCCCCATTTTTCAAGTGCTGCATTCTTTTCTCGAGTGTTGTTGTTCTATTCCATCTTACAGCGTTGATGTGATGGTCCTCATTGTTTTCAATTGTTCACCTATGTTTTTATCCCAACGCTCAACCCCATGTCCCAAAAGCCCCTTTCCATCTGCGGTAAATTAGCTTTCGTGTCAGCAACATCAAGAGCGATGGACATTACGTTTGTCGCATGAACGAATATTTTCGCGAGTTCCTCGACCCTCGACACCGAGAGCTTCATCGCATGCTCCTCAATCAGATCTGAACCTCTCGTTATCGCGTCGAGATACTCCTGTCCCACATAACTCTCGACCCACTTCCAGTATTCGTTACCTTTCCTGGTGGCCTTTGGGTCTTCATTTAGACGTTTCGCAATGGCCCCATAACCAATTAGACATGGGAGCATGGCGATTTGCAGGGCAATCCAGTCTTGGGATTGACCGATGTCGAGGACGTATCTCGTGTATGCAGTAGTTGCTGGGACATTTGTGAGTGATAACAATCATTTGCCACACGAACAATGTCATACCTCGGTCCTCTTCTTGCCTTTCGATGTCCTCCACCTCCAGTCCATACTGCTTGCAGAAGTTAATGTGCAGCTTGATCTCCTCCTGTAAGGTTACGACTTGTTGCACTGACCGACCTATGTCAGCTAGAGAACTAGACTTATACGCCGACAGTGCGTTTGCTCTTGCAAATTGTATCTACCCCACTGTCAATTGTAGCTCCGTAAGCATATCTGAGAACAGCATGCAACTTGCCAGAAACAAATAATCCTGGATCATGTAGTACCGGAAGTTTTCGACAGGCAACGTTCCATCAGCCATCTTGTGCACGAACTCGTGTTCAGTGTACTGCTTCCATGGTCCTTGAACATCCTCGTGGTCGAGTAGGTACGAAATGAAGCCACCTCTAACACATCTTAACAGTCAGACTTGGGAGGTGTCAAGGGATACTTACGGTGAAAAAGGTAGTGTATATGTCGAGTGGAAGTGGTTGATCGGGCCACTGCCCTTCCCAATACTCTGGCTCGTCTTTATCCCCGCTTCGATATACAAGCTCGCCTTCTTCACCGCATTCACAACGCTCATACCCGAGGCGACGTTGCATGCAATTGCAGCTATGCATTTTCATCAATACACTTCATCAAACAGCACATGAAACAATGCGGAAAGAAGACGGTCAACTTACAAGCCAATGAACACCCCGTGCCATGTGTATTCTCACTCTTCAAATACTCACTTTCAAGCACCGTCACTTCATGCTCTCCCACCAAAACGTTCACTACAACCTCCCTTTCGCTCTCTTCTTTGCTGACTACCCTCCCTTTCGTTAGTGGCAGATGTCCACCTTTGAGCAACACCCATTTAGGGCCCAACTTTTGGATACGTCGTGCCATAGCGACAATATCGTCGACATTTTCTGGGTCTTTGGAGTCCACGTGGGCAGTTTCGAGCAGCAGTTTCGCTTCAGGGAGGTTGGGAGTCAGAATCGTGGTTAAAGGGAGGAGAGTAGTTATCAGCGTAATCACAGCGTCTTGTGGGAGAAGTTGGTAGCCCGATGTGGAAAGCATCACCTGTTCGTGTCTCAGCATCGAAGAATTGCAAATCAACCCGATGTTACTGTTGATAGAAAGACGCGTAAAATGAACATACAGGATCCACAACACTCGTGCTAACATGGTGTCGACGAAACGCATCGGCGACGACTTGGATAGACTCTGCGGAAGCCAGCATACCTACGACGACATCAGCCATCAAATCACGACAACCACGTAGACACAGTCATGAAATTACCAGTCTTGACAACATCAACCCCAACATCTTCACAAACAGCATCGATCTGCTTCCTCAAGAAGTCAGGCGGCGTTTGATGAACATCTCGCACACCAAGCGTGTTCTGCGCCGTCAATGCAGTCGTAGCAGTCATCGCATAGCACGCATGTGCAGCAATGACTTTTTGATCCGCTTCGAGCCCACTGCGATGTGCTTGTTAGTCAATTGGCTCATCAGGGTGATGGGTAGAACAGTTCGTACGCTCCACCAGAGCTGTCTGAGCCGGCGATCACCAGGATTCGTTTCAACGCCATGAAAACTAGATGTAGAACAGTTTTGTAGTCTAGAGTCTTGGATCTGGATTGTCAAGAAAAATGATCAGGCAACCTTCCTTCCAAAGCCCCGCTATCCGAAACTAAGCGCGACCCACGTCATCGAGATGTAACATTGTATCCCGTTCATGAACCATCGAGAGTACCTTTAGGCATGTAATGGATACTACGGAAGAAATTCATGTCTGACCTCTGTTTTGAGCCCACGTGCAAGCCACCCGTTACGCGAATCTATCGACGCCGTTTTCCTCTTCCAACCTCATGACAAGTGGGTAGCCATGTGAGAAGAATCACTATAATTTGTATCACTATTACTCCGTTTATGAGCGACGCTGTTTGAGGCTTAATCTGATTCCCAATCGTACTCAGAAATATTCGGATCTGCATTGATGTGATTAGTTTCGACGGCCATTTCACAGGATCGCTAACTGCGCATACCTCTCCATGCCATATACTCCAAAGTTCCACCAGCCTTCTTCGTAAGCCAATCTCTCACGATAGATAACTCCTCATCGGACAATATAGTTTCAGGATCTGCCATATCGATCGTTAGACGTATACCCTGATTACCGGCTTCAAGTCGAGACACAAAGTCAAGTAGTCCGTCGAGCGTGAACTTCGAAATACCCGAAAGGGTCACATTCCGGGTGTTGGGCAGACTCCCAATGCTTTCGAGAACAACATCATTAAGCTCCAAACCACTAACGTACAACTCTTCTAGCAAAGTGAGGTCTTTGGCGATAGCGATGACATGCTCATCTCGGAGTACCTCAGGAAACAAGAGCCAGAGCTTCCGTAATTCGGTTAGTTGTCTCAGCGAGTCTACGAGAATGTCGAGATCGTCCCTGAACATGCCGTCGGTCTCCCCGCTGAGCGATAGGTATCTCAATGAGGTTCGTTGGTGAACAAGTGCTTGGTGGAAGGTCTTGTGGTCCTTTAGTACGTAGGAGTCGATTTCCAGGTTGCTAAGTTGGATGTTGTGCTCCAGTAGTACTGGCGTGATAATTGCTGCGCCAGATTGGAGTCTAGTAAAACCGACATGTTGAAGACTTGCGCACTTGCTCAACCAGGCGATCATCTCCAGAAAGGCATCGTTTTGGGTACCTTCTAAGTCGAGCACTCCGTGTGTGTCCTCGATGCGCAAGATCTTCACTGCAGTGCAGCTTTGCAGTAAAGGCAAGTGTGGAAGTGAGTCATTCGACACACAAATCTTGAGATGTTCGAGAGATTTGCCATGATGGTTGAGAGCGAGGAACGTCTCAGCGCCGGCGCCCACGTCACTGATAGTGACAAGCTTTTTGAGGGAGTTCGGTCGCATCGATGCGATAAATCTCGAGAATTTGTGGTCGCGATTTTCCGATGACCATTTGTAAATTGTCAGCGATTTGAACTGCGGGCAATGTTCGTACATGGACGCATGCATCAGCTCATCCTCTAGTGGTTTGCCATCCCAGAGCTCTAGACTTTGCAGACGAGGGAGACGTGGCGCCCATCGCATAAGCGCATCCGAAAGAAGTTCGCCGCTGATTGTTTCGAGGGTGGGTGTGTGTTGAGTCACCACTTCTCCGATAGCATCGATGATATCGGCGATCTTCAACAGAACGTACTTCCTCCCCTTGATGTTCGTCCGGGTTTCTATCTTCTCGAACTGCTTCAGAGGACCGGTAAAGAATTGTCTTTGTGAAGTCATCAGCATCTTATATCGTTACTTTAGACTTAGGTCTCAGGTAGCTTACTTGGCGACCTTACTCATGAATTGCTCCTCGTCGAGCAGGTAACCAAGATCGCGGAAGTCGAGTGTCCTGATATAACGACAGTATGGGAACAAGGTCGCACCAAGACTAGACGCAACGATTGATTTCCACAAGATAGACCATCTCTGAATCGTCAAGAGTTTTGTAGCAATAGACAAGCCATGGGAATCCTCGCCACCACCTCGAACTGGGGCATCATGGTGAGACCTGTCAATGTGTTAGTTGGATTACCTGTGATGGTCTGTAGCAAGAGCGTTCATGGAGGCTAAAATCACGCTTGTTTAGGGTAATTTGAGTATGCACAAACAGTTCGGCATCTTCAAGTTGACAAGTGTGGAGTTTTTTGAAGCTATACAGGCTTGTACCTATGGGCCCAACACATGCAGAGCAGCTAACTCCTGCGAGGTAGGCTCGCTGATTGTTGCCCCATATAGTAGCAATGAACGGAATAGTGTCACGTATGCAACATACCGATAGAGATGGGTCAATGCAGGCACAGCAAGGTCACGACCAGCGCAAGCGCAGTTGAATAGCGTATCAAACTGTTCCTGACTTGCTAACTCCTCGCAAAGAACATGTAAGACGTCGCTTGGAAGTATAGGCGGAGCCATTTTGGCAATGGACTTGTTGGTGTTGGCAGAGTCTACAACATTTCGCGTGACGTCGTTGGCGCGTGCTAGCGTGTTTTTACGTGAACCGCCGCCTTTTCGTTTATCCGAACACAGGAACACACCGTACGCGAAAGCTCTCTATTCTCAGTGGGAAAGGAGGACAGTCGGACGGAGATGATCGTCAAACATGGTGGTTCTCAACTTCACACTCACGCCTGAGGCGGCGTCCAAAGTCCATGACCTTCTTGTCTGCCTTGGAAAGTTCAGCGACACAGTCGCCATCGAAGCACGTCGAGAGAGGGTAGGCTGACAATATCCCTTCATGTAGTTCCAATGTTCTTATACGTCTCATCTCAGTTCACATTCACCGCTCTCAATCCATCCAAGTCTGCCTACGCTCAAGTCACTCTTGACGGCAAGCTGTTCTTCACACAATATGAGTGTATACCTAGCCACGGTGGGCCTGATGGTCGATTTACGTGCAGTATGTATACGAAGGCGCTGCTGTCTGTATTCAAAGGGCGTCTATATGATCCTCTAGGTCGTGACGGTGCTATAGACCGCTGCGAGGTCAGTGTTCAAGAGCGGGAAAACGAAACGCAGTGCCGATTTATCGTGAAGATGGTCTGCAATCAGGGCGTTATCAAGACGTACAAACTTACGTACGAGGCGGTCGATGTCATGCATGCGCTGTTCGATCGGAACGTAGCCCGCAACACATGGAGTATGCATTCAGGCGCTGTGAAAGAGTACATCGAGTATTTCGGCACGAAGACGGAAATGCTTGACATTTCTGCAGGAGAAGACGGACGGTGTGTGTTCAAAAGCTACACGGAAAAGATCTCGAACGGGAAAGAGATACTTAAGCATCCACTGGCTACAGCTGTAGCAGTCAATACCTCCGATTTTGACGACTTCAACGTCCAAGCAGGGCTACACATTATCATCAGCGTCAAGGACTTCAAAGCTATTGTCGTCCATGCGGACACACTCAAGACAAGCTTGAAGGCATATTACTCCCAGCCGACGCGACCGCTGCAGTTCAGCTACGGATGTGATAGCTTACTCTGCGAATTCACGCTCATGACATCCGGCGATCATACCGCCGCACCACCAACATCCACACCAGTGCCCCAAGTCCTAAGCAGACAGACCTCGCACACCCCATCCACAACAACCGAGCGTACAGAAACTCGCAGCATACGATCTGACATGCCTCCACCCGTCGAGCCAGCATCGCGACGCGACCGGTCCGGTCGGCTGCGTTACCCAGGCTCTCGACAGAACTCATCAGCAGCGCAACCCCAGAAGTCATGGCCGGAATCTGAAAGTCTGTTCGTCTCTGAGGGTGCTCAAGGGCAAGATGAGCAGGATGAACAGGATTTGGCGTGGGAACCATTAGACTACGAGAAGGAAGAGACATTGGGCTGGGATGCAAGTGCAGATCATGATGCGTCGGTGTTTCCAACGTTCCAGGATAGTGGTAGCATGTCGAGGACGAGTATGGCGGACAGTAATGAGGTGCTTGAACCAACGCAACGGGTGTCGCAGATTAAAGGGTTGTGGTAAATGTATTATTCACTTAGCTATGTTGTACCATACAAATCTGAGATGAAAGAAGATTCACCGCAAGCGATTCCCTGAATCTACTTGAGCCTCTTTGTTCAGTGATTCTCTTGCTTATCCAATATTCGAGCCCGTTTCGGTCCTGGAAAATCCAACACGGCTTATCGATGATAGCCTGGTCGAAAGTTGCTCCGAACTAGGCTATGTATTGGGTTCAGTTTCGCTCAAAAGGCGCATCGCACAGGCTCATGTGGAAAATGTGTATCCGGTGACCGATCTTGTAAAAACTGTTCTTTTTGGACAACTCAAGGCCCTTCTACTCTCCAACTCTATGTCATCAACTTGAAAAGCACAACCAGTATTATGGTCATCTATTTTTCTTCGAAACACCTCCCATTCCAAATCATGTTGTTGTTTTGGTCGTTCGAAGCTCTGATTCATCGAAAACATATTAATACTATCAACCCAGCAGGTCCATCTGAGAATATAAGAAGACCATTCTTCTCGGGCGATTCCTTCGCAACCCAAACCTTGGTTCTTACACTAAAAGATGCCTAAAATGCATTTTATGGCTCTGTTGGCTTTGAAAAAACTTCCACATCGCTATTCTATGGCGCGTGCCAAAACCTTGCGCGAAGATTTCATGACATGTAGCAATACAGGCATGTTGTAAGATAAGTACCACTATTTTCCAAAACTTGAAAGGGTGGATGAAGCTTAGGAACGTATCTTTGAGAGTACTCATGACACGACCGACTGAACTTTCCGCAGCACATGTATCCGAATTTCGAAGGGATCTCAGTGGAAAATATTTGAGCATTATGATTTTAACACTACCGCCAAAGCTATGAAAACTAAGATTCAAATTTCATGCCCTGATGGACTTGAACGGTAGTCCAGAATTATCATCATCCCAAATGCATTTGATTACTCGTACACGCATACCCTAAGAAACAAAAACGCGACACGATTCCTGGCAGAACCGGAAATACTTTTGACGCACAAGAGAGAGGTTCCACCCATGGCTGGAGCAACATAACAAGGAGACACAGTTGGATTGTACTTTTCAAGTGGCGGCCTGGTCCCTTCTCGTCACGTCGTTGCCATGCTGGGCAGAAAGAGAAAAATACACGCGAGGATCCAACCGAAAGGCAGCAAACATCCCGTTTGAGAGCATCCCACAAGCACACAAAGATCAGTCCTACTCATTCACTATCCTTGGGTCCCTGGAAGTGACCAGAAGCCACAGTACCCACCTGTTGTTGTTCTTGGGAGTGTTGAGTGGAGGCTGGTGGGATCACTTCAGGCCGTTCGTTCCTGGTGGCATAAGTACAGTTTTTGACACAGCTAGACAAGTGTGTGAAAAGGCGCAATTACTAGTAACGGCCGCGAGGCGGGTACTCAGCAGGGGCGTCGTAAGGGGGACGACCTCCGGGGCTGCGTGGACGAGCGCCTCGTGGAGACGGAGGACGTCCTCCTCCTCCCTCGTACGGACGACCTCCGCCATTCATGTATGGGTCGTCATATCGGCGAGGTGGTGGGCCGGCCCTGGCATCGTAAGGATCGTCAGGGTATCGCGCGCGCGGTGGGCCATACTCATCGGGCGCCATTCGGCCGCGAGGCGGGGAACGGCCATATCCTCCCTCACGTCTGTCATAGAATTCACGCGGGGGCGTGCGTCGGCGGTAATCGTCGCGTCGGGGGCTGTAGCCACGGGGAGGACCGCGGCGATCGTAGTAATCATCATACGGAGCGGGAGGGTAGCCACCGCCGCCGCCACCGCGACGGCCCATGGGCGAGCGAGAACGGTACCTATCACGGCCCCTGTCATCAGGACCACCAGGGCCTCCGTAAGGAGCCCTTGGCTTGAAAGGAGGAGGTGGGGGCGGATCAGAGACGTCCTGGGTGCAGGTGACTTCCTGACCCTTGAACTCACGGCGATCCAGCTTCTCCACTGCGGTCTTCAGGTCGGCGGCTGTCTCGTATTCAACAAATCTGCGCCTCGTTAGAATTCGTTGTCGAGAGATCAAGGGGTGTACTGACCCAGTGCCATCGCGCTCGCGTCCAACTTCGGAGTAGACGACGTCCAGTCCAGACTGACGGGCAAAGTCTTTTAGGTCCTATACATTCGAGATTAAGCCGAGTCCAAATCCAGTAGCACAGCAACGAGGACACGCGAAAACAAAGCCATGTACGGTCCAGAAACCGGGGTGTTGGCCCTATCAGGGAACAGAAATCCAAGGATCGGGGAATCTAACCTGCCAGCTGGTCTCCACCGGAAGGTTTGCTATCCTCATCCGGAATGGAGTGCGTCGTGGACGCGGGGGAACACGCTCGTTGGGTGTAAAGTTCTCATTGCGGCGAGATCCGCGGGCGAACTGGACGATCAGGCGCTCACCCATAAAGTCGGAGCCATCTGAGTACGAATTAGGCGCAAAGTCACCAAAAAGGCGATGAATAGGATAGGCTACTTACGGAAGGCTGCATGAGAGGTTAGCGCGTAACACAGCTGGGAGTGAGGCTGAAAACTTACCAGGGACAACGTCGCGGGCGTCCATGGCGTCCTTGTATTCAATGAAGCCAAAGCCGTTCATGAGCTTGATCTCAGTGATCTCGCCGGTGCCATGGGTCTGGAAGTGAGCCTCGACTTCCGCCTTGGTGGCATTGCGAGGGAGGTTGCCCAGGTAAAGGCGGGTAGACGAAACCTCGGTCATAGTTGCGGCGATGGTAGAGTCTTGACCTGCTAAAATCTAGCCTGGAGGGGACAGTGAGCGCAAGTCGACGACTAAAGGAGGGACCATCAAAGGGACGCGGGTATTGGAAGCCATGATGCGCGGAACATGCGAACAGGAAAGATGCGCCGGAATGTCAACGGCCCGGGCGACGCGCAACAGATACCAGCAAGGCGCGCGGAACAATGGCCAATGGATTCAATGTAACAGGCGGCGGGTCGTACCTTGGGAGACAGAGTCGGCGCTGGGAGTCCTGCTGGAGGAGAAATGGCCTTCACAGGGAACCTGAGAGCTCGAGGGCCTGGGAAGAACTCGGGCGATCGGCTGCGTGCAAGCGCTCGAGTCGCGATAAAACTACTGTCGCAGAAAGCGCGGCAGTGAAAAGGCGATAGAGATGAACGTCGAGCTGTGAGATGTAACAGCCCCGGAAGATTGATGGGTGGGTGGCTTGGTCATCGCAGCACAAATCGTGAAGACGGCAGCACTCGAACGCCTCACTAGCTCACTAGTGGGCCTTGGCTAAGTCACGTGCGAGGCTCTCCAACTTGTGATGACGGAGTGTGATTTGTTTAACGATGACCGCACGCTTACACGCAAAGTCGAAAAAATTTACGATACGTGTTGATATATGGTTGTGTAATGTTTTTGCTGTTTTGCATTTTCATTGTGCAAGTCGTGCGGCATCATCTCAAGGCAATTCATATATACATTCCAGCCTTGCTATCATACACACCAATTGCAAGCTTATACGTGGTCGTTTGGCGCACGTCTATGTGAGCACGTACTTGGGTCCCTCACCACCCTGGGGTGTTTGCCAGTTGATATCTTGGCTAGGATCTTTGATGTCGCAAGTCTTGCAGTGCACACAACTATCCGCATTAGCCTCGATCTTCAATCAATACCAGAATGGACAAACTTACTTTTGAGCGTTGATCTGGAACCTGACCCCCAATTCTTTGCTGTCATCCTCAATATACTCGTACACGCCAGCCGGGCAGAACCGGTTCTCCACACCCTTGTACTTGGGCCACTCTTTCGCCGCATGTGCATCCCAGTCCTTTACCTGGAGATGCACAGGCTGATCTTCCTCGTGATTCGTTCCGCTCCTGCTGACACTCGTCAAGATGTCGAAACTGATTTTACCATCAGGCTTCGGGTACTCGATTTTCTCGCACTGGTCCGCGGTCTTGGTGTTTGCATGGTCAGGCGTGCCATGCTTGAGTGTCCAGGGCGTCTTGCCGCGGAAGACATATGCCTCGAGACCTGAGTAAACGACGCCACCGTAAATGCCGAGTTTAGTGTGGAATGAGGGTCGCATGTTGCGGACTTGCTTAAGCTCTGACCAGACGCTCGATTTGCGCATCTTGTCCTCGTAATCAAAGAGGAAGACAGTGCCGCCGTCGGTATTGCCCTGCAGGGCGTCCCATGTCGCTTCAGCGGCGAGCATGCCTGAGCGCATCGCAGTGTGCGTACCCTTGATTTTTGGTACGTTGACTAGACCGGCTGAGTCTCCGAGGAGCGCACCGCCAGGGAAGGCGAGTTTTGGTATCGACTGAAATCCACCCTCGATCAATGTCCTTGCGCCATAAGATATGCACTTACCGCCTTCGAGCACGTCCTTGTAGAGCGGGTGATGCTTCATCTTCTGGAATTCGCCATAGGGGGCCAGCCATGGGTTGGGGTAGTCCAGACCGACCACAAGTCCAATACTGACCAAGTTGTCACCAAAGTGATACATCCAGCCGCCTCCATATGTGTCTCTGGGCAGAGGGTATCCCATGGAGTGGGTAATCTGCCCAGACTTGAACTTCTCGGGCTGAATCTCCCACACCTCCTTGATTCCCAGACCGTATGTTTGATGCTGGCTGTCTCTCCGCAGGTCGTATTTCTTGATGACTTGCTTTGACAAGCTACCGTGACAACCTTCGCCCAACAGTGTAACACGGGCATGAAACTCCATTCCGCGCTCAAAAGAGTCCTTGGCCTTGCCCTCACGCGAAACACCAAGATCATTGGTGGCGACGCCCTTAACAACCCCTTCATGGTTGTACAATATTTCTGACGCAGCAAACCCCGGATATACCTCCACGCCGACTTCCTCTGCGCGCTCGCCGAGCCATTTGACCATCTGGTTCAGGCTTATAATGTAGTTGCCGTGGTTGTTCATTTGCGGAGGCTTGGGCAGAGGAATGGAGTTATTCTTGGTGAGGTAGCGCATGCGGTCCTCTTTTGCGGGCGTGATATCGAAGAAGCGCTCTGGGTTGTCTTCTGATCTCCAGTTTGGGAGCAGCTCGTCGAGGGCAGAGGGCTCAATAACATTGCCAGACACGATGTGGTCGCCCAGTTCGCCAGACTTCTCCAGCAGCAGCACCCTGAAGTCTTCATTGCCTGCCGCATTCGCCAGCTGCTTCAACTTGATGGCAGCCGACAACCCCGCGGGTCCTCCACCCACAATACAGACGTCGACCTCATCGACTTCGCGTTCTATCGACTTGGGGTCGAATGTATCGTCTACGTCGGCGAGTCTTGTCCGTGGCGACGAGCTGAAAGCTCTTCTTTGGCCCGCGATTCGCACTGCAGGACGATACGATTCCCACAATGATTGTGTTCGTGCAGACGCATATGCCAACGACCGAGGGGCAATGCGCGAAGTTCGCGGAGTGGCAAGCAATCGCCGTGTAAGAGTAGCGGGCAGTGATCTGGAGGCCATGGCGCCGTGTATAAGATTCGTATGAAACGAGTCGGAGAAAATCACAGAATAATCAATCAAACCTGCTGCGCGCAAGCATCACGCCAGAGAGGTTTCCTCGACGATGTCACCGACTCCACATTCTCAAATGAAACGATTGAGGCGTGATTTGTTTCCGAGGCTAAGTGCGGACTTTGACGGTTCAGCCTTAACAACTCGTGTGTTGTGATTGGTTGTGCCCATTTCTCGGTTATACGCCGTACGGCTATACCAACTCTCATCATCGAGGAGTCCACCACAAGCACGTGCAAGTTGAATCCCCGCAAATTCTCGATATAGGTTAAACACACTTCTAACGCAGCCGAATTCAAACCGCTTTCACAATGGTGCAATGTTCAGATCCCCTACGTAGCACTTCAGGTCTTTTAGACTTGCCGTTGGAACTCCTCCAGTGAATTATGCGCGAGTCAATCTTGACCCGCGGAATGGCGCGTGGCGCAATGATGGCGAGGGGAAACACAATCCAGAAACGAGATGGACCCATACAAGGTCTGCTGAGCCACCAAAATCTGCGGTTCATTTTTGCGACGTTCTGTTCGGCCTTGTCTCGCTGACTATGAGACTCTCTAAGATCACACTCCCACACGGTCATCATACAGCTAATTGAGACTGTTCAAGGTCCATGTCGAACGTTCATCTCATCCAAGAATGGTATCCCTCTCATCGTGTCAACTGCCCTGGTTGCAACATCTACTCTGACGATGTAAGTCAGTCCTTTTATATTTGTGGAATACCAACGAGTGTCAATTGTCATCCTTTTGGGTCTGATTGTATTGTGGCGCTACTCATTGGCGTATCTGTGGTATGTACCATCCTACCGATATGAGTCCGTAGAGAGACTTAAGAACGCAGGGTAAAGTGTTCAAGTCAACCCCTACAGACAAAGCCGGTTCCCTTCTATAAGCCTCTCTCTCGTCAGGACACTTATTTTTCCGCCCACGCTCTCTCTTTCTTAGTCTTTCATACTCGCAAGATCCACCTTGCACTTCCTCGTCCAAGCAGGCAGTGTTAGAGTTTCTGGGAAGACTGGTTTTGTGGGTGGAAGAAACGAAAAAAATCTGCTTGTAATCGCCAGAGACTCCACAGCACAGAGTTGACTGCCTCAGATGTCTGGGACAAGTGCGGGAGGGAGGCCTCAAATATTGAGATGCTCAGATACTCGTTCTTTCACATCGTCTCTCTTCAGTGGTCATACACATACTACGCTGAATCAGAAACGAGCGTTAAGCGGGTTCACTTTCACCACCCAGTTCGGTTTTAGGAAATTCTTCACAACTCTTCTCGCAGGCGCCTTTCTCCTTGTCCAGTCCACCATAGTTATAGTAGCGCACAGAACCTTGGTTTTACAACAGCTCCTACCAAACTTTGCCTGACAGAAATGGCGAAACGAAAGCCTGCCGCCACTGTCGATGCTGACAACACGTTCGACTCCGGGTTTTTCTCTGACGACATCCAACCTCCCGAGACGAAACGGCGCCCCAGGGCTTATGCTACAAAGGCGCCCAGACGCGTCTCAAAGCAGTCCATCAAAGTCGTTACTGATGAGCACCGGCTGGCGACGCCTGCTCAAGGCGGGAGCTGGTAAGCACTATCTATGCTGTATGTGACAAATGGGAAGCTGACTGGTCGTACAGGCGGAAAATAAGATCTCCATTGCGCGACCCAGCCTATGAAGAGGCGCGTAGAGAGCAACTACACTCTCCTTCTATACGTCTCGGCAGGCGATCGGACCACGATGTGAACGCCAGACTTAGCAGCATAGGGAAATCCCCTGTTGTTCAGCGTCGCCTTCTCGCCGTCGAGAAATCCTGTTCATCTCAAGATTCCATGCCATTCAACCAGAAGTTCTTGGGTGATTACAAGCGCGCTCGAGTCGGAAGTGAAGATGGGGTGCCCAGTCGTGAGAAGATCGTTGCGCTTCTCAACAAGTACCCGAGCGTAAATGACCAGTCTCTCATCACCACACTGCTCCAGGATGTCGTAAATCTCAAGGATGATCTCGAGGAAGCGAAGGAGAGTAACAGGTCGCTGAAGCAGGAGAATCGTATCTTGATGGAAATGGCAGAGGAAGTCTAGATATTTCCTTGGAGCAACGACGGCCTAGCCGCTCGAAACGGAATGCACTAGACTGTTCAGAGGTTACTTCCATGTACTCAAATTACCGGTACATATTGGATCGCAGGGCATCTTGGAAACGTAACGAAGGTACGACCTGCGTCCGTGCGTATCCTGTTGTGCGGAGAAGATGGCGCTTGTGATGGTGCGAGAAATCCAACAAAAACGCGAGACCATTTGTCTACTCTTGTGTACGTGAAATTTGCCTTTAAGATGACAGAACATGCCACTGTGTCTTTTTTTTATGCGAGACTTAAAACGTGAACCCAAAAAGGAATTTAAGGTTATCTCCCAGCCAATCAGCCACGCGTACAACGCGCATGAACACGTCTAGCGCTCCCGTGTAAGGAACCTCCCGCGTTCCGTCTTCACATTCGACTGAACGTGAACAAGTCTCAGACGAACGGTGAATATATTGAATTGGAGCAGAGAACCTGAGTGATTACTAGGCACGACCGTGTGTTTGTTTGGTTGCCGCGCCTTTCCCTGACCTCCACTCCTTGGCCCCCCGCAACTCTCCACCTCAACTCCACACCCACTCTCACATCCTCCTTTCTACCATCACTGATCGACTTGCCCACGATGAAGACGCTCCAGGAGCAGCATGCGCTCCTCAAGTTCTGGGCTGATGGTACTGACTTCGTTCTCGATGCGCACAAGTCTCCCAAGGCTGAGTTTGCTCGTTTGGCGCAGCGGAAGCGCTGGATAGGCGGTGATGCGAACTGGAAGACTCACTGGCAGGCATGTTTTGAAGAGGCGTACTCGTATGGTGTTGGTCGTAAGTTTTTGTTGTGTCTGCCCAACTCAGAGATATGTTCTTAGCGAATATTGTAATGTACACCTGGCGAGATGAGGCTGATCATACTGTAGGAGCGCCTACCACTACAGCCACCATGGAGTTTTCCGCTGTTCCCGCACCCGACCTTGTGGATCGTATGCGTCGTCTCTCTGTGGGTTCTGATACCTCTGAAGCTTTCTCCGTCATCTCCTCTGTGCTAAGCGTCCACTCTCTGGAGTCCATGAGCGGAGGTGTCATGGTCGATCAAGAGCCCGAGATCCTTCAACCTACTAACAATGACGACCTTCCTGCTCTTGCCACGAGGATGCGATCTATGGATATCAATCATAGCACGGAGTCCACCACCAACGCCCCGACCTCCCCTCTGCCTGTGGTGGAAGCACCAATCATCCCACGGACCGCCCCGGCTTCCGACACGACCTGCAGCCCGTACTGGTTCCGATTTTCCGGATTCGTGCCAAACCCAACCGTCACCTTCAAGAACGAATTCGTCCGCCTCGCCAAGCACCAATCATGGGACGAGGAGATGCGACGCACGCAAAAAGTCGAAGCCCTCATGGCCGAAGTCAACTTCTACTACGGGACGTGCATGAACCGACTCGAAAGCTGGCAAGAGCTGTGCAGCGAAGTTCGCATAGAGAAGATCCCCACGTCCATCACGCAGTGCAAGAAGGTGCGTATATCGTATCCCATATGTATTGAGTGTGGATATGCGAGTGGCTAACATATTCCAGGCACTCAAGTCCGTCTACGTCAATCTCTTCAACGTCATCGATCATCGACGGAACCCCGAATTCAAAGTCAAGGTGTGCGGGTCGTATGCTGAGTTTGTCAAGTACACGCGGAACGGCCGCACGTTCCCCAGGGCGTGTGCAAAGCAGGGCGGCTTTATCAAGGTCTTTCTGAGGAGGATCTAGGGGCGCGTGTTGCGACTGGGACTTCGCATTCAGAGCGGTTTCTGTCGCAAGAGCGAGCCGGCTTGTGTTTTACATGATTTGTCTCTTTTTGGGTCTCGGGCATTGGTATAGAGTCGTTTGTGCTGTTTGAGCACGGCGTTCACGGCGAGACGATTGGTGGGTAGACTGTACTGCTCTCAGGGCATCTCATTGCGTATATCTCCATAGAGAGCAACGCTACAATCTTGTGGGTTGCCAGCTTGAATATAGATAGTGTGGGTTTAACATTGAATAATACGTTTCGGCTTTCGATGTCTTGGACGCATAACATGTCATGTAGAGCTCCCTCTGGTCACGATATCCCACCCAAGCCTGCAGATATCGTGATTCTAGCAGAGAAAATAACACATTCTTCATCATTCACGTCTGCAGACGCCGCGGCAAGTACCCCAAACTCAACAGCCCAAGTGCATTTCCAGAAAAGGCAAATGCCCTGCTATCCACCGTCTTTTCGAAAGCTGTAGAAGATCGCGTTCGAGACAGGCCAGACCAGACCAGACATATCTGGCATTTTTGTAAGGTTTTTGCGTGTGCTTGCCCGAAACAGACAGACATAAGAATCATGAAGTAACAGCTGATAATCCCAGACAGAGAAAATCCCAAGCACATATACCTAACTTCATCCTGTTTTCGCGGAGACCTAAGATACATAGGCGTTTTTGTAAAGTCCCACCATGTAGAAAGCGTGCAGATAGATATAAAAGCGCAATCAAGAAGGAGCTTTTCGTAGAAAAAGGTCAAGACTACATAGTTAGACAACCAGTTGTTCTTACAAGCGCACGCCCATTTCTTCGCGGGGACGAGTATTTTCGTTGTAGTCTTCCCTCTAGCCCTTTCTCTCCATGGTGTTGATCTTATCGTCGTTCTATTCCCATCTCCAACAGAAAGCAGGAGAGAGGCAGAGAAGCAGACATAGACCATATCGCGTAGACTTTTGATTGCGTTCTGTCTCCCCCCTCTTCTCTCCCATTTTCTAATTCTGAGGGCCTTTACGCACCGGGAAAGCCATGCAGATGACTCGATTGCGCTTTTTGTTCAGAAAAGTTATACGCGCAGCATCCAGGACAAGGAGTTCTTTTTGGTGGATATCAGTCGAGGGCGCGACATACCTGGTGATGCCACGTGTTTTGGAGGGGTTTGCTCACACATCGCAAGATCCTGTAATGCTTTCATGTCTTGGGCAAGACAGAAGCTCGGGTTTGTGGGTTTTGGTGGAGATGCGACATGTCGCTAGAAAATATAATCTTTCGGGAACAGAAGAGAAGAGAGCACACATGGATGACAGAACCGCATGTTTTTGTTCTTGTTTCGGAAAGGTGGGAGATGTGGAGGTTGCAAAGAATGGGGTTTAGATGGGAATTTATAGTAGAACGAGTATGCCAAGATCTATGTGTGTGTGTATAGTAGCATTGGAAGGAGTCGACGACGACGATGATGGTGTTCATGATCAGAAGATGGGGCTAGATTAGATTGAAAGGAACTAGGGGTATCATACGTGCAACATGTCTTAACAATCCAGAGCATATAATTCAGACCTCCTTCTCTGCAGGACCCGGATTCTTCTCAATATGCTCCGCCTCCTTCTTCTCTTCGTTTACAGTCTCCTTTATAGCCTCCTCCGCATTTATGTCTTCATTTACATCATCTCCCTCAACACCCATGCCCAACTCAACGCCCAGCTCGTCCAAAAACCTCTCTGCCTGCCCTTTACTCCTCTTCTCTCTCAACCTCCCCTTCTTCTCCCTTACCATCTCCCTCCTCCTCTCCACCATATCCTTCCTCTCCCGTCTAACCTTGTCCGTCTCTTCCCTCTCCTTCTCCAGCCGCGCAATCTGTTCCTTCCTCTCTTCCTCATCTTTGCTGAAGTGGAAGAAGCCCGTGCCCCGCTGTCTCGCCTCGGCCCTGCCGTCGAAATGCGTGTCCGGCGGGGGTGTGAGTGACTTATCGCGCTTCGCTGCGAGTTCGGCCATTTGCTCTGTTATCGTGGCGTCGGGGTTGAAGGCATTGGTCTGGACCGTGTCGCCGTAGATGATCTGGTCGGGCATGACGGGACGGGCGGTGAAGCGATCGGGATCCTCGACGTGCTGGCTGCGGGACGCGAGGGCGGCGGCAGCGCGTGTGCCCTTTCTCGTCCGCCCAAACTCATCAACGTACTCGACTAGCTCCTCTTCTTCGGAGGCTTCCGACTCGGAGTCTGAATCTGATTTCTGCCCCGAGGCTTGCTGCTCAGCCCACTTGCGGTCAAAGTCCACACCGTACTTGTCGGCCCTGTCCTCGACATCGCCTCGTTTTAGCGCGTCGTAGAGGCGGGCTTTTTCTTCCATGCGGCGCTTTGTGCGCTTCCATGCCTGCTCATCCTCGCCCTTTTCGTCTGTCGTGCGCCCGCGGTGCTTCTGGGTGAAGTCGCTCTCCTCCTCGTCTTTCAGCGCACGCTTCTTGACGTTCTTGTTGTGTGTTTTGAAGATGTCTTCCTTTTGCGGGCGTGCGCGGCCGGCGGTGGGTTTGTTGGTTTCAGTCGAGGACGACTTGATGAGCGAGGAGAGGGTCGAGGAGAAGGAGAGGGTGCTGGAGCTGGAGATATCCTTTGCCTTTGTGCGAGATTTTGGTTTCTGGCCGTAGAGGTGGGCGTCTTTGGCGGACATGGCGGAGGCGTGTTGGCGTGTCGAGGCGTGTGAGTTTCGCGTCAGGGAATGATGCGATGTCGGCGGTCGGGGCTTGCTGGCTGGCGTCATTGCGGGGTGGGAAGGAGCTGCCCCACGTAAAATAGTAAAGGAAAGGCCGATGCGCGGTAGCAAAAGTCTGGCTTGCTCTGAAGTTTGAATTCTGTATTGAATAACTACACTTCTCCTCTCATCGTCTATACCTCACCCAGCAATTGACCCAACACACAACATGTCTGCTCCCCGACAGGTCTTCATCGCGGTCATTGGTTTGTAGTCTCCCTCTAAACTTCCACCTATTCATCATGTACAGAGACTGACACGCACCAGGCGCCGGCGGCGTGGGCAAGGCATTCCTCTCCCAGCTCTCGACCCTCGCAGCGAAACTCTCCCAATCGCCCACGACACCCACAACCCTCTCCCTCCTCTACCTGGCCACGTCGAAAAAGGCCCTCCACAGCCCCTCGTACGATGGCTTCCCTCTCTCGTCCTGGGAGTCGTCGCTCCAGTCCTCCACAACCGCGCCACTGGCCCTCCCCCAGCTGGCCGAGTACCTGAACGAGTCGCCTGCCAAGGTCGTCCTGGTAGACAACACCAGCAACCAGAGCGTCGCCGATGCATACCCGTCCTTCCTGTCCAAGGGGATAAGCATCGTCACCCCCAACAAGAAAGCTTTCTCCGGAAGTTATGACCTGTGGAAGTCCATCTTCACTGCCGCACGCAACGGCAGCGGAACAGGGGGTTACGTCTATCACGAGTCGTCTGTCGGCGCCGGCTTGCCCGTCATATCCACACTCAACGACCTCGTCGACACGGGCGACCAGGTCCTGAAGATCGAGGGTGTCTTCAGTGGCACCATGTCCTTCCTCTTCAACTCCTTCCAGCCTACAACAGGCGGCGGCGGCAAGTTCAGCGCAGAGGTCACAAACGCAAAGGACAAAGGCTACACAGAGCCCGACGCCCGCGACGACCTCAATGGCCTGGATGTCGCCCGCAAACTCACAATCCTCGCCCGTCTCGCCGGCCTCCCCATAGAATCCCCGACCAGCTTCCCCGTTCAGTCGCTCATCCCGCAAGAACTCGAGTCCTGCACTTCTGGCGACGACTTCCTGGCCCGTCTTCCGGAGTTTGACGGCAAGATGGATGCATTGAAGCAGGAGGCGGAGAAGGAAGGCAAGGTTGTGCGCTTTGTCGGGAGCGTCGATGTACCCGGGCAGAAAGTCAAGGTTGGGTTGGAGAAGTTTGACCTGGGACATCCCATTGCAGCACTGAAGGGGAGTGACAACATCATTGCCTTTTACACAGAAAGATATGGCGACAACCCGCTCATTATCCAGGGCGCAGGCGCGGGCGGAGATGTCACGGCTATGGGTGTTACAGCAGATCTGGTCAAGGTGTTGAGGTTATTGCAGTAGGCCTAAAAAAAAGTATTGAATTGGGAGTTGGAAAGCATACAGGGCTCTTGAAATAGTCATCCTGTCTTGCACAACCACATCTCACCAAGATCAACATGTAAAAGCAGCTATCGTGAATTTAAACACCAACCGCAGCACCCTCAGATAACGCTGCGACATGTCCAGTCTGCAGAAAACCCATGTTCGCCATCCCAAATACGCCGATAATTTTCCATCAACACCCCACTACACACCTCTCTCGAGCGCGACATGCGAAACACGTAGATAGTCGACATTGCGCAATATAGACTGCATCCTACATCTGCATATGCAGTTTCACAATCCACAATCCAGACTCCAACGCAGTGCAATGCCATGCAATGCGACGCAGCAAGCCACACACGTCGCCCCTCCACCACAAACCGGCAGTCGGTGTGTGTGTGAGAGTGTGGTACGGAGCGGTACGGAACGTAAGTATCCATCCAGACGCACGGCGGCAGAGAGTGGAGCCCAGAACAACGAACACACAAAACAACACCTACCTACGTCTCTCCTACATCAGCGCCACGTCCATGCCTACGCGCTTTCGGCCCTTCCTCTGCGTATTTGTGTGCGGTTTCCTTGGAAGTGATGCCTGCGCCTGCGCTTGCGCTTGAGGCCCGACTGATAAGACAAGGCCAGGTACCTACGTAACCTACCTCTCTACCTACCTTGCTAGCCGAATCAACGTGAACATCTGGGGTATCGGTACCAGTATCGGCGTCGGGTTGCAGTGCCGGGTCGGTTCCCGAGGACCGGTAGGTAGTCGCTCGCGTGTTTCAACCGGGGGCGCAGAAAGTGCCGGATAAGAACCGTAGTTGTATGTCACCGTGTGTAGCGCCGTGTGTGCATGCGTGGCTTCTCTGATTTGGTTCGCGAGGCATGACATGCGCTGGAAATGACTTGCTGAGACGATGACAGATGGGTTCGTGCATGTAATGTGTGTGCGCGTCGCTGAGTCGTGAAAAATAAATAAAACGTGTGTGTGTGAGTGTGTGTGTAGGCAGATGCAGATGCCGATGCGCTTGACATGTAGGGAGGGGCTCTAGACTGAAATTCGTGCATTTACTGACCGGGAGGAGATGGGAAGGGGGGGTGAAGGGGGGGCTAGGTAACGAGATGGAAAGGCGGTAAGCAGACCGTCTTTCTGTCTGTCTGTATTGTTCAGACGAACTTGCCATGCGCGAAGAAGAAAAAGTCATTTTTCGAGTCTGATCGTGCGTCCGAGTCAGATGCAGGCAAGTCCAGTCCAGTCCGAGAGGCGATACCTACGCAAGAAAACACGACGCCGAATTCGGGTATCCATGCATTCATTTGGCACAACGGACAAATCTCCGTCGGCCGTTCGTTGCCTGCCCTACCTCGACGTGATTGAGCCGGAAAATCGGCAGATGGCATGTGCATCGGCTTACCAGTGAGTAGGTCATTCCAGCACGACGTACCGCGGGATCAAGACACTGAACCCGTGGGAAAGAGAGCTTGTGCTGTAGTGAGCTGTAAAACCGGTAGATTGGAAGTAGGAAGCGGGCTTATGAGGTCTTGGGTGAGTCACAGGCGTCTGGGCAATTTTCTGTGTCGAAAACGGTCGATAGGTGGAGAGGGACGTCCCGCACGCGAACAAATCTTGGCTGACTGCTTGTTTATAGCGGGTTTGCGGGTATGGGCCAAGGAATTGTTTCGACGACGTGTACTGAATGGCTAGGAGAACGACCGCGTGATGGTGGGGCGTTTGATGCATCGTGGGAGCGGGGCACGCCGTCTGACTGATAAAGTCACCTTCTGTTGGCAACATCGTGGGCCTGCAAAGTCACCTTCTAGTACAGGTTTAAACTATAGCAATGTGCGTTGTCTCATAGTGAACCTGTCAGTAGAAGATGAATACACTTTCTTATCTATATTAATACCTCTCTCCAGCTTCCCCATGTGAGTAGCGTGAACCACGTCTCTTTGTGTGTGTGTTTTGCTAGAGAGTTAGCATTTCCAAGCGCACGTTTTTGGTGTTTCCGCGTGTGTGCGGGGTCGATGAGTCGAAGCTCCAACCTAACTTGGCGCGCCGAGATGTGCCAAGATGGGAAAAAGCGGAACAATGAGCATGGGTCGCTCGACGACACGACAGGCTGCATGACGGGCGTTGAGGCTGTGCTGGATGGAAGCCCGACAAGGATACTCCTGCAGACAGGGGGCGCACAGGATATTCATCCCCTTCTCGAACATTGTGCACGGTTTCGCTCACGGACTGAAGCCAATTTGCCATTACAAAGAATAAATCAAAAAAGGTCCATGTTTCGATCCTCGGGCAGCAAAAGCAGGATTAATTCAGACACGAACGGCCAACGTCGCCGGTCCGAACTCGGGGCCTGTGTAACGGCTATTTCTGCCTGGGGGTAATGTCGTCGTCGACTGCTTTGGGGGTTATCGGCATGTGCGCCGTCCAATTGAGGTGATGCGTCTCACCGTAGATTGCATGTGTGGCTGCAGATACAGACGTTTAGCAAGCGTCAGCCGAAACACCAAGGCACTCATCCCAGCGTACGGGCGCTGACGTCGGTGTTACGGCAGGCTTCGACGTTACGCGTTGTCAAGCTTTCGGAATTGTTGCTTTTGCGAGCAACTGGGTTTGCGCTGCGACACGGGGCAATGGGGCAAACTCGTCATCAGGAGAAGGTCAACATGTCAGTTCGTAGGTAACACGGTGTTAGCGAATAGATGATCTGAGGTCCTGAGAGGGGTCGTCGTCGACATTGATCATCGTGAGGAGATGATTTTGGGCCACAAGATGGCTTGGGTCCGAAAAAGTGACCGTTTCATGTTGCTAGGTCCGCAGGGGGCAATTGATCAGCAAACACAAACTCGCCTCGGACTCGCTCCACATACGACAGCCCGTGACCATGCCTTTTGAACCCACTACTGGCTACGTTACGGCGGTACGTACGACGTTCCCGCTTAATTTAGCAGCGCCAGCTCACTACTCCAATATTCAATCCAACGGACAAAAATGTGTACCATGGTGAGCACAGTAGGCAGTTCTCCGGCCTTTGTTCGAGGCGCAGCTGCGAGGATGATCTGTCCATTTGTCGCCGTGAATCGTATTGGCGACCCCCGGTTCATGCTGCTGAAGGATGGTCGCACATTTGTCAGGGCGCATCGTCGTGTCAAGAATATTTGCTTCGCGATGGCACCAGGGCAGCCGAGAAAAGCACACATGCCAGCATACCCATACCAACCAATAGAGTATCCACGTTGGAGGATGCTTCGCCGATTGTCAACACGCACTGTTATCAGGAGCGGTGAGACGTGTACGGTTGGTAGGCAGTTTGCCCGTTTGAAAGGTTTCCACGCGATCCGGTATTCTGGCACAGATCTGCCCAAGGGGCTTGTCACCAACTTTCTAGCGCTCTGTTAGCGTAAGTTCCGCGTGCTTTGTCCCGGCGCCGCGACGGGGGACTGATGGACGAATACTCGTCTAAACCAGTTTTGTGTAGTGACAACTCGTGGACGTTGTTAGCCTTTCATTTGTCCACTGGCGCTAGACCTGCTCCCATGTCAGTGTCAAACCCCCTCTCCGCTGCCCAGTCGAGCGGTCGAGTTAATAAAGAGTGCTGTTGTGCCCCCAATCATCCAGCTCACCACCACTGCCTGTCATACGATTCACACGCTCCTAAACTTGTACCAGCTAGATAAGGCTGATCTCACCATCACTTGTACTGTCCTCTCACTATCCCTGTCAACAAGCTTGTTGCCTGGACCATTCCTCCGCCAGCCCTACATCGCTCACCTTATCGAATCACATTCGTCTGAAACACCCTGTGCTCCCTCGGTCTCGCCACCTATATAGTCTGCGCCGCTCCTTGTGAAAGGGGGATTTTCCGCGATCAGCATTCACATCTTGGCACACGGCACGCCTATCGAATTCCACAGCTACCTGGCATTCATAAAATCAATCTGCCACCCGTTGGATAATTTCATCTCCACCACTCAAACTCCAACCAATCTCCCTCTACTTTTTAGAGACAAAAAGCATCTACTCCAGATCGCCACCTACTTTACTTATCTTGTGGCACTTCACCACATCTTCTATAACGACTCCCCCATCAGTCAAGATACTGTCTCATAGTAGATCACCTTACAAACGCATCTACCTCGATATCACCTGAACACATCAACATCATGTGTGTCGCCGAACTTTGCAAGACTGTCTTGCCATGCCAGCATCGCTGGTACCATCTTGTCCGTCCTTGCACTCCCTCCAGCAACCTGTCCTCCTGCGGGAAGAAGTTGGGCATCTCAGGGTGGGAAGTCAAGACCGACGACTGCCCTTACTGCCAAGGGCACGTCTCTTCCCTAGAGTACCGCCTCATTGGTGACGGACCAGCTCCTCCCGTCGGATCTCTCTCTGGACTTGCGCGTGCGCACTCGACCACTCTTAACGCAGCGCGTCGCGACATTCGCCTGGACAGTGTCACCAGGACTGACAGCGTCACAAGCATTGGAAGCAAGAGCAGTCTCGTTGAGGCTGCCCAAGAGAAGAACCGCGCCATGAACTCCAGACTAGACGCCTACTTCTTCCCCTCTGCCGACTCACCAACATCGCCTGTACCCAGGGCTCTGCGAGATGACGACGAGGATAGCAACGCCGCCACATCATCCACACCCAGCGACACCTCAAGCAACGACCACGACAGCGTTAGACACGCCTCTATGTCGGGAGCGCCTTACAAGGTCAACCTTCTCTCACGCATGCGAAGAAGGTCCAAGCGCATCTCTGGCATGTTCAAGTGAAGCGACTTGCCACAGCTTCATCAAACTTCCACAAACATGTCATGTCACCGCCCATTCCACGCGGTCTGAACAACGTTCAGGAATCGCATCATGAAGCGGTTCTAGACTGCAACTCCACCGCTCCACTTCGCGGACTCCCTCTCCGCTAGCCGCTCCTTGGCTCGGGAACAGCCTGACTTGGTCGCCACGCGACTTGTCACATCTCACCTCTCACCGACACGAAAACTCCGCTCTTCTCTTCTAACTTGTCCTTACTGTTTCAGGATCGCTTGGTACGATTTGGATCTCCATTGTTCTACTTTTTTTTCCGGATACCCACATTGTTTTTCTCTCGACTATACCCGAAGGGATGCTGGCGCAATTGTTTTTGCGCTTTCCATTCGGCGTTTTTATGTAATAGACAGGGCAATATTTGGGCAGCGAGTCAAAAGGGCGACCTTGCAGCGCATCACAATTTTCTTTTTTTCTATGCGTGTTCGATGGGATTTTCATCTGCGTCGCAGGGACGGCACGGGCTCATGGGTTGTTTGCATGGGTATCGCCGTTGGGCTGCGACGGGATTGTTGGTTGTCAGTCAGTCTACGAGGCGTCCACGCACGAGCTTCTCGCTTGTTGCTACGCCATCATGTCTACGAAATTTCCGTTGCGCACCTGCTTATCAGGAACCTCTCTCCGAAATGAAACATGTTTCGAAGCTACTCTATCTGATCAACATCCCGCTTATCCATACACGATTCATTGATTGATTGATTTTCCCATGCTCACCGGCTCGATATTCCTGAGGCGTTAGGTCCAATAATTCCCGTATTCCCTGCACACCCTGTCACCGCCCAGTCATGCACATTGTTCGTTCCGCTCCGCTCGGGGCACACCGCTACCGGGTTACTTTCGGAATCCGAGTCGAGTATCTACCAGTGGATACGCACGTGTTTCACCTCGGCAAACGTCCCGCACACAAACACAAACGACATATCCCGACCTTCCTAAAACTCTCGTCTGGACCACACACATAAGCTCAAGCTTTGATAAAATGCCCAAGCACAAGCACAAGCATAAGCACACCGGGAGCTTATCTGCCTTGGCAAGGCATCCATATTAACGTTGTCTCAGTCCATCTACGAAACAGGCAGGATCGAATTGTCCCAACAAGCTCTTCCGCATAACTCAATCTAACAGCATTAGACACGTAGCTTCTGGAGCATGTATAACGCATGTGTTAAAATTTGTCAGTCATCGTTTTGCTGTGCCGCGTCAGCATGTTTGACGCTCCTTGCTTACCCGCTTCTGCCTATTCCAGCTGCATGCTGCAAGGAATCGATGGATCTGGAATGCATGGTTACCTTGCAGAGTACACGCAGAAGTTCATGTGCTGGTGATCAATCGACGTGTTGGAAAAACTGTATATTATCAGAAAAAGATTGTGGCAGGGATTCTAAAACTGCATCGACTATCATGCAACATCGCGATATCGATCTGATAATATGGGTAGATGGTATGAACATGGATTAGAGCTCGACTATCTCTCTCGCATAGCAGACTACTGTCAAACGATACAACGTCTCTATGACGAGAACGGCAAGAGTTGGGAGTCACGATAACCTCTTGGTCGTATAACGAGTGTAAGACTGGTACACTTGTTTTTTCCCTCCTTCTCCTTCTGTATACTCAAGCCTTCTCACATCCAACCACCATGGCGTATACACCGTACGCACAACTGAGCTACCACCTTCTCTTTGAGTCATTCGGTCTATCAGTCAGTCAGTCAATCAATCAATCAGTCACTGTCGCACCATCACTCTCGTACCATCAACCATCGCCTCACTATCACGCATATCACAGCCCCCCCGGAGCTCACCGTCCCCACGCCGTCCACTCAAGCCTTTCCAAGATGGGCCACTATGTCTTGCATCACCCCCTGCCACCCCATCGTCTCATCTCATCTCGCACAGCATGAGCGATCCCCCATACACAGCATCCCGCAAGGCGAGGAGAAGAAACAAGCCTATCCAAGACCACAGCCGATCGTTACACCCCGTGCCACCCGCGCCGCTCTAACACGCTGATCACCAACCTCCCCCCGTCCGTCTCGAGAGCTTGTACCTACTCAAGCATTCTCCAAGCCACCACCTGAGCACCGCAGATCGAAGCGCCGTGTTTCCCCAGACCGCACATCATGACGCAGATATCGGCCGTCGATCTACACGCCGGACCTGACAATCCCTTTTTACACTTTGGACAATCACTGCACCAAGCCTCGCGCCAGCAGATCAAGCAAACCACCAAGCAAGTGAAGCGTGTGCTTGGTCCCTCCTGATCTGCACCGCCAGACCGGTGGCGTAGCGTGGAGATATTGTAGATCTGCGCGCTAGTGCGTAGTCCAGCTGCGCGCTAACATCGAGAAGGGAATGTGCAATTGCCATACGTAAAGTAACCTTCTACTCGCGGCCTAAACAGCAGCATATCGTATCTACGGTATCACGGTCAGTGATCAGCGTTTGCAAAGTAGCATACGTGCGTGCGTGTATAGTCCTAGCCATCTTCCGTGTGTCCGCCGCTCTTATCCAACGGAGCAGAATGATGAAACCGCTCCTTCCTCCGCAAGGGGCAAGCGAAGCGGGAAATAGCGATCGACAAAACCCCACGTTTTTGGCGTTTGAAAGCGAAGCGCAAAAGTTCAAGCATCACAAGGTCAGTTGGCAAATATACTGTGGTATCCGGCAAAAGTAGTGTACATGGCAGGGGTGTGAGTCAGGTGGAGATCCGGAGTTTCTAAACGGCTGTATCACGCAATAATACATCCAAAACCATAGTAATTTGTATTGTATTCTGTGTTCCTACTACTACTACAACTCTCGTGTACTATCTAATATTACTATCTACCTTACATCTCTATCACATCGTCACTGCTGTAGGAGAACACATAAAAATTTCTAGGTTTGCATAACATATTGTGAGATGTGTGTGTAAAGAATTGACTGTGTTAGGCCTAGCGCATTGCAATTTCCGAGTAGAAGTACCCCTGCCATGTACACTACTTTTGCCGGATACCACAGTACTTTTGAGCTTGTTTGACCGGATCTTTGATGCGGGGGCCTTCATATTCAGGGCCGGGGACAGGTCCGGCGGAAAACGCCGTGGCTTGGAAATATATTATGGAGAAGGACTGCCGATCAAATGGGAAATAAACGTTGGTTGGGTTATTGGGTGATGAGATCGGGGAATGTGGATTGTGAGAGAGGATGTGACGTAACGTGACGTGACGCGTGCGTATTTCATTTACTTCCGCTCCGACTTTCAGGAGTTTGACTTATGATTGATAGACATGTGATGAGTGATTTCCGCTCCGCCGCCGCCTCCTCTTTCTTCCTTTCTTGCTTGTCCCGCTCCACTCCGCTTGCAAGGCCCAACTCTATCTACTTTTTGCCCTTCCCACCCTGATACGTGATGTTGTATTGAAAGAAACTATCCCATATCCCCGTACTGCCCTGTCTCGTCGGCGGCGGCGGGTTTTGCTTCTTAGGACTTGTCGATGGACTTGCGGTCCGGGTGACGCTTCTGCCCATACTGTGTGCGATACTTGGCGTCGTGGCAGAGCGTCGGATAAAGTGCGCAGGGCCCGACACAGATGACTTGCGTCTGATCTCTCCATAATTTTGAGGAAAGGGGAACTCCTGGAACAAAGTCAGTCAAGCTGCTGTGACGCGAGGGGAGCTTAGGTTTGTGGAGAGTGTACCTAAGGTCCCCATAGCAGGTCTTTCCGCACATTTGCACCCTGATCCTCCAGCAATCTGTCCACACCAGCACTACTGGCTGTCGTCTCCCTCAGATGACTGGGACCATGGGCTCCTGCAGGACTCGCGCCGCGTGTCGCTACGTTTGAGTTTGGACCAGAGCCTGAATCCACACGCTCATTTGATGCAAATCCTTCACGCGTCCCAGCTACAGGCGCACTCTTCTTACTCGTATTGCTGCTGCGACGACTGTCAAGCGAAGCGAGTTGTGTCGCTGGATCCATAGTACTCTTTTTCTTCACCGGCCGCATCTCGCCCTGTCCCATCTCCAAACTGCTCTTGACTGTGACTTGACCCTTGATACCAGGAGTACCAGGAGCCATAGGTTTTTCCTCGGTGGCATCAAGGAGATACCAGCGCAGGCCATCGCTCAGTTCGAACGGGTTATCGTCTTCAAAGGAGATAGCATTGCTGGAGGCGATAGACCGGCCGTCCCCATCGAGTGTCTTGGAGAGGTCCACAATGCGCTCTTCGACTTTGGATATGCGCGCCACGAGCCACTCTTTGCCGTGCAGGCGGTGTGAGTCCTGCTCGCGAAGGAAGAAGTGGGGCGCGCCGACGTTGAAGGCAGCCCAGGGGCGGTGTGCATTGTTACGCGTAGGGAGGAAGAGGGCAAGATCGCCGTCTTTGAAGGATCGATAGGCAATCTTCTCATGGGCTTCGGCCTGGAACCGGTGAGATTTATCGCGGTAGGCGCGGGCTTCTTTTTGCCATTTACGCGCGGTATGCTCCATGTCGCGCATGCGTTTTGCAACTGCGTCGCTAAATATCTCCGTATTGAACAGCTCTAGTTTGTTTATCAGATCCTGGTACCGTTGGTCTTCCTCTTCCGGGCTTGTCGACTCGGTCCATTGCAGGAAAGATAGATCCCCTACGTCTTCTAGGTAACGCTTGAGAGGCGTGGGTGAAGATGCCATCATGCGACTCAATCCGCCAGTGGTATCGGTCATCACGGTACTGCTGTTGAGCTTCGACGCCCGCTGGAGAACCATCTCGCCGTTTTCGTGAGTAATAACGAATCCAAGTGCTTCCAGTAACCGGATGAGACGTTCGTGTTGTGTGTAGAGGCGTTGGCTCAGCTCTTTCGCACGAAGTATGCGCTGTTGGGTACGTGATGAGTCTACCTCTTCAAGTTCGAGAAGTTTCTTCTGCAGACGCATGACCTCGACGTCAAGGCTATTGGCATGTGACTTTTGTTCCGCCAGGTCGACCTGTAGACTCCCAACTTTGGCCTCTTCCTCCTCTACCCGCTTGCGCAAAGCTTCTGACCCAGTCTCGCCTTCTGCAAACTTCGCACGAAGCTCATGGAGATGCCCACGCTCTTCCTCAAGCTCTGCAGCAATCGACGTAGATTTGGATCGTTCAATACCGAGATGTTCCTGAGCAGATGCGATGTCTTTTTCTTTTGTCGCCAGTTCGGTCTGCAGTTTACTCTCTTGTTCATGGGCTCTAGCATGTGCGTTGTCATTGTCTGACCTTGCTATCGCGATAGCTTGCTCCAGCTCTTTCTGATAGTTGGTTGAGTGCCTGACTAGATCCTCAAGCCGCGCAACAAGGTCAGAATGATCGTCAGGTACGCTGGTTCCAGGAGACAAGTGTTCGAAAGCAATCCCCAGGGACTCAAAGTACTGGGTCTGAGTACGAGTGCGCTCATCGAGCTCGATTTGGAGATCCTCTAGCTGTGTGCTGGCCTGTCGACGCTCTTTGGTAGCCTCAGAGCGCACCCGTTCGAGCTCTGATGCAAGCTCATGTATCCTTGCATCAACTCCGGTGCGCTCGTTGTCGCGACTTCCGAGAACTCGGTCTAATTCGTCTTCGGCTTCTTCAATCTTGCTCTTGTAGGCGCTGACCTCCTCTTCGAGCGACCTACGCTCGATGGCGAATTCCTGCTGCTGAGCCTTCATATTCTCCATGATGTTCTCTTTAGTAGACACAGCTTCTTCAACTTGACGTCGTAGATCTGTGTCCTCTTCCTTTCGAGCCTGTGTTTCTTTCTCGAGGTTGGTGCGCGCCTCCCTCTCGACTGCAAGCTCCTGTTCAAGTCGAACAATCCTACGCTTCTCATCCTGTCCTTGGGTTGTAGAGAAACGTCGAGAGGACACGGAAGATCGTCTGGAAAGCTCATCGTAAGGTCTAGGAGATTCTACCGTAGGAGTCGAGGGGTCTCCAGGACTCTGCAAGAATGAAGGCGGTGCGCCACCGATCGAAAGTCGACTAACATGGTTTTGGCGGTGTAGCAAGTCCTCAAGACGTCGCACTCGACTCTTCGAGCCCTTGAGCTCATCTTCAAGCTTTGCGTGCGACTCACGAAGAACCTTGAGGTCATCGTCACCACGGACCATAAGTTGTGATCCTTTTCCAAAGGCTGGCTCGTGAACACTCCCCATTTTGAAGTTCTTCGCCCGCTTGATCTGCTGCTTGGTGGGCCGGTCGAGGTCTTTGATGGCCTGACTGAGAGCTTCAGCTTCCGAGTTTTGACCGTCTAACCCTTGCAAGCTTTGAAGGTACTCCTGAAGGTCTTCTCGTGCAACCACGGGCCAAACATTTTTGTCAGGTTGCACATTCATCTCGAACCCAAGGAGACCGCCCTGCACAGCGTCGAGATTTATGACGTCCGCAATGGGCTTCAACCACCGCTTACGTCGTCGCTCTTCTTCTTCTTGGAATGTCGCCATTTCTTCGGCGAGCGACGATGTATCCTTTTCCAGTCTTTCCGACCATTCGCGCCTTCGAACGGCTTCGACGAGAAGCGTACCATATACGTATGGCAATCGACCCACGAGCGATATGAGCTCGAAAGCAGCAACTCCTTCCTGCGGTATGCTGATCGACTCAAGTTCCGCATTGAGACTCGCGATCACAGATTCGATACTGGCAATACCCTGCATGCTCTCCACCCCGTTTCGAGCTGCAATGTTCTTTTGTTCTACAGACCGCCGCACAAGGTCGCTCATTTCAGCGCTATACTCTTTGATAGCCGGGAGGAAGTTGCGTGTGTGTAGTAGTGCCATTTTCGAGACCTGTGCGACTGATTTCGAGTTTGCCTCAAGGCCCATGACGTGCTCAAAATCGGATTCGACCTTTTTGGCAACCGCATCGATCTCGTTGTAGAGTCGGATAGGCTCCTCAGAATCGTCTACGAGCGATCGACTCTGGCTTTGACCGACAGCACTCAGCAGCTCGTGGTAGTCTATGCCAATCTTCTCCAGCTGTGTGCTCATACCAGCCATGCGCTTTCCGAACGACTCCCGCACACGCTTGCTCATGACCGTAGCGCTCTTGACAGCCTCGACGTCTAGGAAATCCTGCAACGAGGCGGTTGTATTTGGAGGAGTCTTCCGGGCACTTTGCACCGCCTGTGCCGAACGCATCTCCTTCGCGAGGAAATGGGCGAACTGTGGCTTGGCCGGCATGGACTCGAGCTGTCCAAAATCTACGTCCAGTCGGCGCAAGTTGTCTCCCGCTTCTTTCTCGACGCCGTCAAACCACTCGCTTGCTGCCTGGTACTTCTGCTCCAACCCTCGGATGTGTGAGTCGTGGTTTCCCACGGCAACGTGGGTTCCTTTCTCTATCGTGGCCTGTTCGGCGAAGTGTTTCGAGGCTATACGAGACATGGAGTGCGACTTCTCGAGGGCCGCAAACGCCCAGTCGCGGCGTGCCTGGAAGAGGGCCTGCCATGCTCGCAGATCGGTGTTGTTGGAGAGGGTATTGGGAGGGTCGTCGGGCATGTATGGGTCTGGGAGAGGCACGAGGAGTGTGGAAGCCTGCGCTCTGTGGGAGAGAGTGCGATCATAGACAAATATCTCCTTCTGTGGTTGAGGCGGTTAGCATATTGTGCGTATCTTGGAAGCACACTCGCACCTCGGTCAGCAACGCCTGCAGCTTGACATGCTTGCCACTCAGCGTCAGCAATATCTGGGCCTCTGGCGGAATCTCAGTAGCACGCGAGATCCAGTGCTTGAGCGCATCAACCGAGCTGAAAGCAACGGGATCAGCATCGAGACGCTGGCCCGTGTGAGCTACAGCAATCCCCAACGACATCCGGCGCGATCCTCTTGCTGTTCATCAGGCTGTTGCAGCAGTTCTATCGTGAGGAAGTTGGAAGCTTGATTGAGAGATGGCTCGCGGGAGCACAAAGTCCCGCCAAGCAGGTTGCTGCAGGGATCAGCGGCACGGGCTCGCGATGATGCATCATTGGTGAACGGCGCGTGAACATCTCAGTTCGCGCATGAGGATCAGTCTACGCTGTCAAAAGACTGTCATGGCGACCAAGCAAGACGTTGAAATGGGAGACGCGACTGCAGATGTGCAAGACCCAAACGATCATGCAGATCTGCTCCAGACCAGATACAGCGACGCGTTCGCCTTCTCTGATGTCGAGAAGCGAGCCCTTGAGCTCTACGACCAGTTGCGGGAGCTTGAACTGCAGCAGAGCCTCCTTCAGGCACAGCAAATAGGCACGTCACACTGTTTTGCATGTTTTGGTGCCAGAGTCAAACTAATTTTCTGTAGCACATGTGCCTGATGTCTCAACACTCTCAGATGACGCTTTGCAAGAGCAGCTGATCATAGCCCAACGCGAGGCTATGGAGGCAAAAGCAGAATATGAGATCCGAAACCGAATTACCCACAACGTGCTCGTCATGGACCCGGTGCTGAAAGCTGTCCATGGAAGTGAGCAGGCAAGTTTTATAGAAAAGTAAGCACAGCACAAGTCACCATGTGGAAGTTAGTCTCACATCGCCTAGACGCATACGTCCACTAATCACAGAGAACGATGCCGTCTCAATGGTTCATAGCTCTCTGGCCTCAAAGCTTGCATCTTCCACCAGGGCCTTAGGTGTAGCCGAGCAGGCAAATGTCATTGCAAATCAGAAGAACCGAGAACTATCTCAGACAATGCTAGCATTGGCCGAGGATATGAAAGCACAATCAGCCAAAGACATCGAAGATCCTCGACTGCGCAACCAGGTGCAGGCAGTGGAAAAGGAGCTGAAGGAGTCCAGGAGAAGGGTTCAGACATTGAAGGGAATCCTGTCGGCCATGATTGTTGGCAGTGGAGTCAACTGGGCGGCGGACGAAGGCCTGACCGAGCTTGTTATGGATGATGAGGAGGACGGATGAACCAAGCATAGGCAACCAGCTGCGTTACTCTCGTCGGGACAGAGTCTTAAATTTAAAAGATGCCCCAGACACATGTGCAGTCTGGTCGAAGCTGTGCACCGTTCGTTTGTCTTTGGACTTTTAGAATGCTGAACCAAACTTCAAGGCCTGATGCCATAAGTAAGCTAGACGTACAATAGTCGTTCTCCAATATGCAAAAGTTCTGCATAAATGTTGTATGTGCTTGTCAAGCCGTTGCAAGATCGCGCTGCACCTTAGTTCTGGGTATTTGGACTAACGGAGGAGAGGCTGAATACGTTATGGTGACGTTTGTTTTTTGTGTGAGTAAGCCCTCGGCGCACTTGTAATCCCGGAATTGCGTGCGGCCTGCGTATTCATCGTCCTGCACGTCGACACCCGACAGACATCATAGTCGCGTTGGTAGAATTGGAAATTGATATCTACGAGTAAGAATATTGAAAGCTGTGTGTTGGGCATGTTTGACAAGCTATATTGACGCGTGCACCGAGCGTGTTGGGGTTGGAAAGGCTGTGGTCGAGGCGCGCCTAGGTACGTTGCGGTGAGCTTCACCAAGCAGCCTCCACAGAACTCCTAGTCAAGCCCGCTCCGTAAAACAGCGCAGAAGTAGTGCACAATCAGTGCAGGCGGAGTGAGCTTGGGAAATCTATTCGTCGACTGGGGTACGTTCGAAAACATTGCACGTAACACCTTGAAGCGGTTGCGCGATGGGGGAGAACACCACCCAGCCACACTATCAAATAAGATAACGTCAAAGGGCCACTTTCTGCGCACCTGACGAATAGTAGGGCAATGTGTTTGGCGTGCAATCCAAGCATGCATGAAACAAGCTGGACAAAGGGCGAGCGTTCTTCGATACGGGCAGCTGTGTCTGTTCTGGCGAGATGCTGAGTGCAGCATGTAAACCTCTACACTCGAAACAACAGTCAGAGGGAATTGGAGAACAGCTAGGCAATTCACCGGACATTGCAGCGTGAAGATTCGTCATATTGCGTGTAGCCCGTTTGCCTATGCGAGATGAGCAGCTGTCGCTCGAGGAATGAGGGGTTTTGTCATAACAAAACAAGCAGCAGCGGGCGGGTCATAGCGCTGGGCTCCAGGTAGTCTTCGCCGCCCGCCCGCCAAAATCTCTCACCCAACTCTCTCACCCAAATCCTCCATACAACTTTGCAGCCAAAACGCGTGAGGTAAGTTTTCGGTTGCATTTCATCATGTCGCTACAGTACCCAGCAATACCCAAAACCTCAACACAACTCCACACGCTTTTTTCTGCTTCAAAACGCGCTCCGAACACGCCTACTGCCTGTTCTTTGCATCTTTTGAGCGTCGTCGCGTTGCAATTCTCGTCCATCGCCGTCGCCATTGACCACTATCAAGCACATGCTGACTGCAATACAGACTCCAGTCAACCACGCGCCTTACCTGAATTTCAACAACAACTGTAAGTACCTCGCGTTTCTCTCAGCGTAACATTGCGCATTTTCGCGTCGCATCGTGGTGTTTTCGCTCGCGTCACCAACACGCGCTGTGCATTGTCACTCACCCATCCCCATCGGCTGGCAGCGTCCGTAACAATGTTTCACTGGATTTGATGTCACTGCGATCCTGAACGGAGGCTGTCTTTCTTTCCTGATTGCCCTCTTTCTCACGTATCATCTGCTTCAACTCGAACAGCAACTAACAACAGAAATATAGTCCAGTACCTGCATCATGCCTAAGGAGAAGTCTACCCGCGGCAAGGGCAGGGCCGCTAAGGCTGATGTCGCCGGCAAGAAGAAGAAGGGTAAGCTCACGTGCATGATTGCTTCCAATCTCGGCTCTGACGAACGACAGACCCCAACGCGCCCAAGCGTGGTCTTTCCGCCTACATGTTCTTCGCCAACGACCAGCGCGACAAGGTCCGTGAGGACAACCCCGGTATCAAGTTCGGTAAGTCTACGCTTTGCCAATCCCGATCTTCTTTTCTAACCATCTCTAGGCGAGGTCGGCAAGATGCTCGGTGAGAAGTGGAAGGCTCTCTCCGAGAAGCAGCGCCAGCCCTACGAGGCCAAGGCTGCCACCGACAAGAAGCGTTACGAGCAGGAGAAGGCCGCCTATGCCGTAAGTTCTTCTCCACGTCCTGCAATAACAGTATGACTAACGAGTCTCAGGAGGCTGCTGAGGCTGAGGAGGAAGAGGAAGAGGAGTCCGAGTAGAAAGCTACTTTACCTGTGCTTTCTATCGTTGATGTATGCTCTCACTCGGTCGGCGGTCATGGTGTCTAAGGCATGATATCGGTTTCTGCGTCATTCAGCTTCTTAATGGGTTCTTTGCGGAGGCAGGCCGCAGTGCAGCTCGACCAATGCGGACATGGCTTTGTCTCTTCCACGCGTCTATGATATCTGGCGCCTCTACGCCACCAATCGTCGGCGAGGAAGGGACCACGAAGCGTAAGGTCTGGTCTATATATGTAAATTAGTCAACTGCGGTATGGAAATCTGTGCTATGACCTGTTAGTGTTGTGATGGTGATGCTTGTGATTATGAAACTCAAGCGTGTCGCGATGAAAGCGCGCGTCGACATAACGCTACTCATGCCTCCATATTTCAATTGCCACCTCCAGCCGTGATTCTTTCGCTTCATCTCCGGTAGCACACACACTAATCCTTTGTTTTTTCAATGGGGCCAGTTTACGTACCCACTCTTTGCATTACCGTTTCACGGTCTCCTTCATCTTCATCTGGGCCAGTTGATTTCACCAGAACCAAGGTCCAGATCACCCCCAAACGCTTGTTATGTGCTGACGACGAACCCCTCCATATGTCTTGACAGTGATGAACAATGCTCAATGAATCTCGATGGGCTACATATGGGATGGTGTATAGAAGTGTGAATTTTGGACGATTGGACATCGAATCAAACGACCAAGCGTCTGTAGCCCAGTGGTTAGGGTATCGCCTTCCCATCGTTTCAACGAAGTAGGCGGGGGTCAGGAGTTCGAACCTCCTCAGTCGCATGTTTGTTTTTGCACTTCCACTCGCTGTGACTGAGTTGGGATGTATGCGCGGATCTACTCATTCTCTGTGTGGATGGAATTGCTGTGTCACAACTTATTTATTTTTTGAACAAGAACTTGGTCTCCGGAACAAGTCATCCAGATATCTTCGCGACTTGACTTGATTCAATGCAGGTTTGCGCTGTAACGATCCCGTAGGTGGATATCTACCTCCTCTCTTTGAGTAGTTTCCATATGTCAACTCGCCCCTCTGTGACGTTGCCTGACTGCAAACCGAACGCCTTGCTATGCTGTTTTCCAAATCTCCAAGAGAACTACGGAGAGCTCCAAACCCTTGAACCAGACTAACCTCGTCCAGCCCCATTTCTCTGTTGGTATGTCGCTTTTTTGACATTACGTCCACATGGACACGCAGTTCAACCCATCCCTCTGACAAAGCTCTCACTCCCTTTGTAACACGACCATTACACCCATCATACCCAGCATGACCTGCTTCAACCATGGGTGCTCGCTCAGCAATATCGTCACGTATCCAACAAACGGAATGAAGCCTATCACGCTTCCGATAACATCCTCTTTGCGGTTTAGGAAGGACTGGCCCGTGGCGTAAAGTTCGGTGTCGTCAGCGAGATTGTTATCGCCTTTTGTGAGGAGCTGGAGGGGTGTTTCGCTACTTTTTTGTCAGTACTGCTCTAATTCCAGATCAACCTGCCATTCCCACTCCAAGTTCCAAGTTCCAAGTCCCCCTCTTGCTCGATTCCAAATGTGGGAAGAAGGAGAACAACTCACCCTCCACCATACCGCCGAACAACACGATGCACAATCGGAATGTCCTTCCCCTTGACATTGTACACCACAATCTCCCCCACCTGTGTATCCAACCCCCGGTTCCATAGGAATAGCAGGTCGCCGCGCTGGAACGCGGGCTCCATGGACCCCGAGAGCACGACGACGATGGGCGACGGCGAATCGCTGGCAACGGACAGCCCTTTCCAGAGCATGAAGGCGGTAGAGAGCACGAGAGCGAAGTTTAGGACTTGCGCGGCCAGCTGGCGCGGTTGCATGTCTGAGAGACCGAGCATGGTTGCGGTTTGTGAGGGTGGACAGTGGGTTGTTTTGGAGGGTTGGGAGAGGCGTGGGAGCTTGACGCGTTCTTTTCCAGCGCGCTTTTTGAGAGACGTAAGTTGCGAGTGCTGTCGCGAAGCTACTCTGTTCGAGAGCTTGATGCCAGATGTCCTTTGATTCGTTGATTGGTTTGCGGCGGTTGGCTTATGTAACCTCCGAACTCCAACTCCGCGTTCGTTCGCTTGCTCACTCCGTCTGAGACCAGTGTCGGGTTTTCGCATCTTTTTGTCCAAAGCGTTGATAGCATTGCGTTATGTTGTACTTCGAAGTACGGCTGTGACAGCGTCATTCATTTTAGCAGCATGATGAGTTGTTGTCTCTTGTCTGCGATAGTATGTTGCTTCGGCTGACTTTACCTCGACTTGGTGCAGCACATAGTCGCTCTACCAACTCATTAAGAAGGCAATATCAGTTCTACATAAACTATCCTTCTCTTCGTTCTCTTTACCTGATTCTTGATTAACATGACTGGTGTTTCTCTTCGTTCTCCATCACTGCAACACACTCTCTTTACTTATCACACATTAACTCTCGTCTTCACAACGCTCACGAGAGTGGCAACAAAGTACTGAAACTTTCATAACCGGTATCTCACCTCTACGCTTGCGCAACTTACTTGCAACCTGCCAAAGCTCGTAGTCGGCATCAAAGTCCAGTAATCGAGATCTACCGAGCATACTTCCTCTCAAGTATCAACACCAGTTGCACGCCTCTCTCTCACACACACACTTACACACACACACACACACACACACACACACACACACACACACACACACACACACACACACTCTCTCTCTCTCTCTCTCTCTCTCTCTCTCTCTCTCTCTCTCGCAATTGATCCATGCAAATACACAGAGTACGACCATCACAGGTTCACTCGACATACCTTTGCACATCAACAACTCCACCAACACTATCTATAAGATGGTTTCGTATACGCCAGGACGAATTATACACTACCGACAGCATGGCAAAGAAACTCCACTTTGGCCTGCAGTGGTGTGCACAGAAAATGTTGCGCCCAATGAGTTTCTTCAAACTCGACCCGCAGCGTACGTCACGCTGATCCTCCTCATTGGAGAGTATCTTGAGTTGTAAGACTATCTATAACATCTTGATATATTCTACATACTAACGTCGCTAGTCGTTGGGCACTGACCTCGGAGATGAATGAATATAACCCGCAACTCGTTTTCGACGATGAAGAGCTAATCGAGAATACCCCGGGACTAGGGGAAGCCTACGCCATTGCAGATAGTGCCCGCGATGCAGGTCTTGGACTTAATCACTGGAGAAACGAAGTACGAAAGATGACTGTGGTCACATCATCAGACGAGGAAGATGCCGACATGAACTCTGAGGAAGATGACTCGGATATGGATGAAGACATGAAACAAGCCATTCGTGCCAGTCGGGCAGACTTCTTGGCTACGAAGAGATCGATGTCTTTTATGCCTTCAATATCTTCATTACAGCAGCAAGAGAGGCCTTCTCGTAAGAGATCGAGCTGGGAAGACGAAGGGCCGTACACAACATGCCATGATCCAGACTTAGACTTTGACGAAGATCTGCAAAAGGCGATTGCTGCAAGCAGAGACGAATATTGGGGAACAACGTCTGGCGCCCTTCCCACGCCGTCTCTCTCTCCGCCAAGACCGCCTAAACGACGAAGAGATTCTGATCTTGTAGGGAGTTTCGAGGCCTCCTGTACGCCAAGGCATGTATTACTTTCCCGCCGACGCGACAGCACTACAAGTCTGTCACCAAATCTTGATAACAACTCGCGTCATCAGAGATGTAGGGACAGCCCAATCCCAACAAGAGAGAATAGTGCCGACCAACAACCCTCCAACATCGACGGCAACGTCATCGAGGGAGATCTGTAAGTCTACCCCACTCCATTCACAACCCAAGACTAAAGTCCATACAGTTCCGAAAGCAAAGAGTACGTCGAATTCCTCGTCGGGCCCGACAAAGAGGCCCGCAACATCCTCAAATCCTACGTCGACGCCTGCCCCGCCTTCAAGAGAAACTTCCTCGGCACCAGCTACCTCACCACAAAAGGCGAAAATGGATGGGCCCTCGTCCACCCCAGTCTCCGCGACATCGACCCGCGCGACTTCGAGTTCATCGCGCAGTTCCTCGAGACGCGCGATTTCGGCATCCGGTTTCCAGACAGCGACGAGGAGAACACGAGCGCCATAGCAGAATGCTGCGCCGCGTGGGATGCGGCGGAGAAGCTGGGCATGGAAGATATGCTGGACTACATCGCGCTGAAAGCGCAGAGGTTGGCACCTTGGGGTCTTGCCGAGGTCCTGTGGATGGCGATTGCGGTTTATAGGACGCCGGATGCTGCGTCTGCTGTGCAGGGAGAGCTGCGCGCTATGCTGTCTGGGTATATGGCGGAGCACTTTTGGGAGTATATTAACGACGATAGTCTGGGCGTCGTGTTCCAGGAACGTGTGGGTTTGCTTCCGGAGCTTGGGCGGGATGTCCATTTGATGATCTCGACGACACTGGGCCGGCAAATCGAGCCTGGTTATGGCGGGGTGGATGGAGAGATTGGGGCGAACGAAGACGGTGCGAGTGACTTGGCGATGAGTTGAGTGAGGTGTTTCGAGCTACAGGTTCTCCTGTCACACTTGTTCTGCTTACTGCTCTATTTCTGTTCCCTTCTGCGGCTTTGTTTTTGCGTTTTGTTTCCGTGTGTTCGAGTCCACCCCAGAGAAGGGGTTGAGAACAACTGGGTGTTTTCTGAGCTGGACTCCTCTACTTCTATGTTCTTGACGGGAGCGACGGCAACAACGCAAAGCAGAGCAAGAATCCTGGGGCTGATCTAAGGGTTGTTTTGTCTTGTCAAGTTTCCCTCTCAGTGCATGTCATTTGCTCAGATTTATCTACTGCATTCTATTTCTGTGCAGTTCGTCAAGATGGACTTTGGGCACTACATTTGGGGTTTGTTCTGGGAAACAACTGGACGAATTACGTCTTGATTTTAGATTGGAGTTTTTCCTGCTTAATCAACCATTTATCATTCTTAATGTATTTGGTATAGCTTCAATTGAATGGTTGTGATTGATGTGTGGTGTACGTATTTCCCCATAGATCAGTCATGCAGCTCTCGCTGTTACTGATCACTCATTTCAACGCGTTGGACGTCCAAGTACGAGAAATACTTCGATTATGCCTTGTAGCAAGACGAACCGTGTTTCAACATCCATGCCTCCTTCAACGACCTATCAGTTTAGACGTGCGTCCTTCGGCGCCGATTCTAAGAAAGAGCGCACAGTTCTCATCTCTTCACATCTTTACACCTTTCTCCTGACATGAGCTTGCAACGTGCTTGATAACAATTTGTTTTATTTAATTCTTTGATTGTTGCACCTGCTACTTTTGCGTTACCCTGCGATACTAATACAAGACCAAGTCCCCTCATCCTCTCCACCATCCCATAACCAACACGCAGTACAACCAAACAAACAAGGAAAACGACAACAAAGGCAAACCAACCCACTGAGCGCCGTCAAGTGAGAAACCCCCATCCACCCAATCCCATACCAATGATTCCAGTTATATTTTTTACCCTGACGAATCCCCCATTGCCATTCCCAATACCCATGTCTGTTGCGCCGCGCCGATCCATCGAGCTCAAAACCAATCTCCCAGATATTCCCGATACAGCCTCGAAATATCAACATCCCCCTCAGCAGTGAGGGGCACCTGGACGAAAGCGAGGACAGCAACGACCGGAGAGCCGGTGCCTGTAAAAAACCCCTTGTTAGCCAGCACACAGCAGGTAGTCTAGGACCTATTTCTGGCGCTGCGCCGGGGCTCGCCGTCGGCGGTAGCGGCCTTCTTTGGCTGCTTCTGTTTCTTGGGGGCGGCTTCTTTCTTCTCCTTTTTGGGACGGCCGCCCTTTTTGACTTTGGGCTTGTCCTCACCGTCTGCTTCGGCGGCGTCTGTCTTGGTCTTTTTGGCTTCTGGCTCGTCTTTCTCGGCGTCTGAAGCGTCCTTGTCGGAGGCGGGGGACTTGCGCTTTGTTCCGGTCTTGGCTGGTTCGGCCTTCTTCTTGGTGGTCTTGGTGGGTTTCTTCTCGGTGGGCTTGGTGGTGTCTTTCGCGTCGTCCTTGGCGTCATCTTTGGCGGCGGCTTCAGGCTCATCCTTGGACTCCTCCTTGGATGCCTCTGCTTTCGAATCCCCGTTCGTCTCAGGCTCGTCTTTCTTGTCCGACTCGGCTTCTTTCTCCTCCTTTTCCTCAGCCTCCTTCTCCTCGCCATTAGCGCCGTCAGCCTTCTCCTCAATAGTGAGCTCAGAAGCGCGCTTCACGACATCATTGCCAGATCGCTCAATATGAACGGCCGGATCGTCAGGCGACGCGTTCTTCTTGATAGTGTTGCCGCGATTCGACTCAATGGCAATCTCGCCCTGCTCCTTGACCTCGGCGACCTTACCGCCGGGGTTCCCACTGCCCCAGCTCCATGAGACTGCGAGTCGCGTCAGCAAATGTCGAGCGTGTTGATGGTGCGCGTTTTGTGCGCGCGTGTGCAACGCGCCGTCACCAGTGCTTTGCGCCGTGATGCGCGCTTCGTCGGCAGACAACGCGCCGAAGCAACGCGTGGGTATAAGAATTTCAAGCGCGTACCTTTGTCTCCTTGCTGGATCTCAGTATCAGTCATTTTGAGTAGAATCGCGCAAGCTTCGCAATTCAATGAAGAACAAGTGATGCGACGTGAAAGGTTGTTTGCGTCGCGAATATATCAATTCGGATGAGGATGGCGCGCAAAGGTGAGCCGATAGCGCGTGAAGACTGCGATGCGTGGAGTATGATGCGCAAAGTAAGATGTGCGGAGTGTGAAGAGGGAGGGAAGGAAAGTCAAGGAAGCATACGGTTGAGGTCTGGGAGCTTATGGATCGGAAGCTGCGAAACATAGCGATTCGGCGCGTTGATTGGTTGCGTGGTGGAATACGGGGAATCGGACCGAATCGTCATCGTCGTCTGTGCGTCGTTCGGCTGCATGGCTGGATTGGGAATGTGTGGAGAACGTCAGGTCTTGGGGGGATTGTGGATGAGCACATTGACTTTTCGGAGTTGAAATTGTGCAGTAGGCGTTGAAAGATGTATGTGATTTCTTCCATTACCTACTACGGGAGCTTGTATTATATGGGACTTTCAAGCAGCCCGCGCAGATGCTTCTCGACAGCTTGAACGCGTTCTGATATCTCCGATAGGCCTTGACGCGACAACACAACATCCCCCGCCAACTTCAGAGTCTGATCCCCATACCAATTCCATGCATGTAATCAAACGCCTTCACAAGCCCCACACAATGACACGCCGCCGCTGCCACAACTAAGACATGGAAAATCTGGTGACTACTCCCCCAGATATCGAACTTACCGGGAGCCAGTCTCTCTGGCACGCGTGCAGCATAAAGACCCGCTCCGGCAATATACAAAACACCCTCCAGCACAACCCAACCCAGCCCAACAGACTGACGCATATGCGCAACGCCGTAGAGCCTGGTGCCATGCAGAACAGGGAACACAGCGGAGAGACCCATAAGCACAAACATAAGAGCACGGAAGGGGCGCAGAGCAGGCGTGCGGAAACTAGGATGCGTGGAGACCAGAGAAGTCGCCGCCGCCAGTGTGGTGATCTGTTATACCATCAGCACCAATAAAAGGACACAAAGAAGAAGTGCAAAGAATAAACCCACCATAGCCCAATACCTCCTCATCAACCGCGGCTCCTCCTGAAACCCATAATACAAAACAGGCACAAAGCTCCCCCAGATCAAAAACACAATACCCAGATAATCCAGCTTATTCCCCCACACAGCCACCTCATGCGAGTGATTCTGAATCGTATGATACGTCGCGCTCATCCCCAGACACGCCATCGCGCCCAGGAAAAAACACGAAAAAACGTACACATCTTCTTTCGTGGCCGTCTCGTATCTGGGCGCAAGGGTGCTGTAGAGCACGGCGGAGGCGACGAGGGCGGACAGCGCGCCGAGCAGGTGCGTGTAGATGTTTACCGTCTCGTTGTGGATGTAGGCTAGGCTGCGGAAGGACTTTGAGTACGAGTTTGAGGCGGGGCGGTACCCGGTTTGGATGTAGTGGTTGTCTTGTTGCCAGGGGGGGATTTCGTGCCAGAGGTAGGTTAGTTTTTGGGAGAGGTTCTTTTCGAGGGTTTTGCTTGTTTCGGCGGCTTTTGAGAGGGTGGCTTTGGCGGTGTCCATGGTGATGGTGTGTGGGAGGGGGAGTGAGGGGATTGTGGGTGGATTTACCGATCAAAGGGAATAGAGACTTATGTTGACTTGTCACTGGGACATGTGAAGATACAAATCCTCGGGAGACATTTGGCAGTCACAGCGAGACTAAGCCGAGTATGGTGAACTTTGCGACGATGAGACCACCATCTTGCGAGCAAGATCAATTGATCACGTCCCAATGGCAAACGGATAGATTTCGTTGAGTGTTCATCGACGCGATCGAGGTGGTCGTAAGAATGTACGTCACGCGTCGAGTTTCAACGCTGCCCCTCTGCCCCCCACACTACATCCCACTTTCCTCCACAACCACAGCAAATACGCCATGCGCTCCTTCCTTTCGCGCTGAAATGGAGAGCGCGAACCATATCCTCCTAGACTTTACTTGACACTCTGATCCCACACAGGCTCTGTAACCACATCCTACAATGAAGTCGTCGGACCAGATCCGCCCCAGCAGCCGGCGCGGCGCATCAGGTGCATGGAACCGGCTCAAGCCCGTCCGCGAAGACCCCCTCGAGACATACGGGCTGCCTTCCAAGGGAGAGACGCGGTAATTCTCCACATTCTTCAAGCTAGACACAAACGTTTCTATAGCTGATTATCGTCCAGACTAAATGACTACAAAACGCAAGAAATCTACTTCAACCGCATAATCGAGCGATACATGAAGCTCTGCGCGCTGAACCGCGAACAACTAGACAACCTCTTCGCCACAGTAAGCAGCACGACAAAGCAGCAAAACAGCAACAACACAACCAACAACCTATCCACATCCCTGTCCTCGCTCTCCCTCCACCCCGCACAACCACCACAACAACCAACAACAACACCAACCCCCGCCTCGCCCTCCGCCCAAGAACTATCCACCGTCCTCACCGCGCTGCGAAAACTCCGCGAAGCAATCACAGCCTCAACCCGCTTCGACCTCTTCGCGCGCCGCGCCTACATATTCTGCATCCACGCCGCAATCCTCTGCGCAGACTGGCCCTCCTACCTCCCCGCCCTACACACGCTGCTAACCGAGCACCACGCGCGCAACCCCCTCCCACCCCCGGACCTCAAGGAATACGTCGGCCTTCTGATCCTCGACCAAGCGTGCCGCCAGTCCGACGTGCCGCTCGCGCGCGAGACGAAGCTCCGCTTCCGGTACAAGGACCGCCGCGTTGAGGCGGTGCTGGGCGCGCTCGTGCAGGATAATTGGGTCGTGTATTGGAAGATGAGACGTGCGGTTGATGGGTATCAGAGGGCGGTTATGGGGTTTGCGGATCAGGGGGTGAGGGTGCATGCGTTGAAGTGTCTTGGGAAGGGGTATTTGGGGGCTGAGAGGCGGTTTGTGGAGAGGTGTGCGGAGCGGGGGTGGGAGGAACTGGTGCAGGATGGTGTGGGGTGGGAGTTGGCGGAGGGGGATAGGGTGGTGATTCGGAAGGTGAGGGGGTGACGTGTTGGGTTGTGAGGGTATGTGGATGGATGGAGGGGGTATCATTATCGACTATGTCCAGCCTACTCGTCCTCCATCTCCTCATCATCCTCATCCTCATCCTCGTCCTCGCCTTCACCCGCATCCGCCTCGTCGTTCCAGACATCGTCATCCATGTCGTAATCTCCATAATCCATCTCCTCGTCTTCTTCCTCCTCGCCCTCAGCCCCCTCGGCACCCTCGCCTTTCTCACCCCTCTCCTTCCTCTTCTTCTCAATATTCTCCTTCTGAATGCGTCGCCTCTCCTCCTTCTCCTTATTCCTCTGCGCCCACTTGGTCTCCATGTCCTGCATCTCCTTCTTGCTCTTTGTGATGTACTCGTGCCACATGATGCGGCCACCACAGACATCCTCCTCGACCTTTGTCAGGCGGAGGACCATGCGGGGGCCGAGCTCAACCAGCTTGACAGCACGCTTCTCGACGCGGGGTTTCCCGCCCTTTGCGCGGGCACGACTCGGCTCGTCGCCAGCAGCGAGGCGTTCCTTTTCGCGGCGCGAGAGAACTTTCTGGCGGACCTGGGTGGCGACCTCGACCTCGGCGTCGGTGTCTGCTTCGGTTTCCGAGGCGGACGTGTAGCCTGCGGCGGAGGGGTCGAGCATGTAGTCTGCGACGTCTGTGAGGCCGCCGAGGTTGGGCAGGTCGCGCTTCTTCTTGTCCTTGCTGCCGATGAGCTTCTCTGCGGCGTAGAGGCGGCGCAGGGCTTTTGGCACGCCTGTGATCTTGGTGGTGATGGCGTAGTGGCGCAGGGAGATGGTGCAGGTGCCGCCTTCTTCTGTGGGGGGCTCGCGGTTGAGGAGTAGGACGCGCTTTATCGTGTGCAGGGGTGTCGTGTGGGGTTGTATTGGCGGGAAGAGGCCTTGGAACATGTCTGTTACCAGCTTCTCGAGGTGCTTTGGGGGCGCTTTGTCGCCCAGGCGTTCTCGTTCGGCGTCGGAGGTCAGGAAGTTGTTCATTACGAGCAGCGGCGCGACTTGGAAGTCTGTTGCGCCGGCGCGGTAGTGCTTCATCGACTTTATGATGTCCTTGCAGAGCGAGTAGTTCTCGACGCGGAAGTGCAGGGTTGGACCGCGCGGTGTGCGGGCGAGACGTAGGTTCGTATTGCCGGACTCTGAGCGCGAGAAGAGGAGCAGGTGGGAGACGCCGAGAGGGCCGCACATTGTGGTGTAGTCTTTGAGCTTGTTGGCGCGTCGTTCCTATCCTTGTTAGACACTACCAATATGAGTGTGTATATACAATGTCTACCTTCAATCGCACGGCCGTGTCGGGCTCCATGACATGGCGCACATCCTGCACCAGCTGGCTGACGCTGCTGCCGACGTCCTGGGCGCCGATGCGGATGACCATGCTCTTGGGCCTGCCATCGAGCGGCTGCTTCGTCTTCTGCCGGTCCGTGGCCGACTGCTTCTTCCGCTGGCTGCTTCCTCGGGCCATGTTGAGGTGTGGTTTGGGGTTCGGCGTGTTTGGTGCTTGATTGGTGCTGCGCGCATCTCCAGACTTTTTTCTTGACCTCGAACTCTTGGCGTGCCGTATCGATAAGCACATGCGCCACAGTTTTTTTCCAGACGTGAAGACGGTCGCTCGAGCATTGCACACCAACACAACATGTCCTTGATCAAGAAGAGAAAGCTCAACGGCCACGCCCCGTCGCTGGGTGCGCCCTCGCCGAGAGTACAGGCGCCCAAGACCTCGAAGCCATCCAAGAAAGCCATCCCAACGCCTGCGCCTGCACCTGCGCCGCGTAAAGAAGTAGCACCCCAGTCCAGCGAAGAGGACGACGACGACGACGACGACGAGCAAGAGACAGCCACCAACGGGAAGGAGCATGGCAACACCACCACAAGAAGTTCGAGCCCGAGTCCTCAACCCGAGAAAGAGACGCCCATGAACGGCGCGGACCCCGACCAGCCAAAAAAGACCTTCGCCGACTTGGGCGTGCGCGAAGAGCTGTGCGACGCCTGCGAGAACCTCAAGTTCAAGCACCCCACGCCCATCCAATCCCAGGCTATTCCTCTGGCCCTCGACGGACGCGACGTGATTGGCTTGGCAGAGACAGGCTCCGGAAAGACGGCGGCCTTTGTGCTGCCCATCCTGCAGTCACTACTGGAGAAGCCTCAGGCGCTGTTTGGCATGATTCTGGCGCCCACACGAGAACTGGCGTACCAGATCGCCCAGCAGGTCGACGCCCTGGGCAGCATCATCAACGTCAAGTGCGCGACGCTGGTCGGAGGCATGGACATGGTTCCCCAAGCTATTGCCCTGTCTAAGAGGCCGCATATCGTGGTTGCCACTCCTGGTATGCCCACCCAGGACCATCCGTTCTTAGACTGTACTGACTCAATCAGGCCGCCTGCTCGACCACCTCGAAAACACAAAAGGCTTCTCTTTAAAGCACCTCAAATACCTCGTCCTCGACGAAGCCGATCGTCTTCTCGACCTCGACTTCGGCCCCGTGCTCGACAAGATCCTCAAAGTCCTGCCCCGCGACGGCCGACACACCTACCTCTTCTCCGCCACCATGTCCTCAAAGGTCGAGTCCCTACAACGCGCCGCCCTACAAAACCCCGTCCGCGTATCGATATCCAGTTCCTCGCACCAGGTCGTCTCCACGCTACTCCAACGCTACTTCTTCCTGCCCCACAAGCACAAGGACCTGCACCTCATCCACCTGCTGAACGACAACATCGGCCACCCCACCATAATCTTCACCCGCACCGTCAACGAAACCCAGCGAATCGCCGTCCTGCTCCGCACCCTCGGCTTCGGCGCCATCCCCCTGCACGGCCAACTCTCGCAATCCGCCCGTCTGGGCGCCCTCTCAAAATTCAAAGCGAGATCCCGCGATATCCTCGTCGCCACTGACGTCGCCTCCCGCGGCCTCGACATCCCATCTGTCGACCTCGTCGTCAACCTCGACCTCCCCAGCGACTCCCAGACGTATGTGCACCGCGTTGGGCGCACGGCGCGTGCGGGCAAGTCTGGAAAGGCCGTGTCGTTTGTCACGCAGTATGATGTGGAGATCTGGCTGCGTATTGAAAACGCGCTTGGCTCGAAGATCGAGGAGGAGGTTGTTGATAAGGATGAGGTTATGGTGTATGCGGAGCGCGTGGGCGAGGCGCAGAGAGTGGCGGTTAGGGAGATGAAAGATATTCATGAACAGAGAGGGAAGGGTCGAGGTGGTGGTGGGGGTGGAGGTGGAAGGGGCGGCGGTATGAGGCATGGGAAGAGGGGGAGGGGCGATATGGATCGCGAGGAGGGTTGATTTTGTGTGTTTTAGGAGGGGTTTGGAGTGGACTGATATCCTGGTTGCTTGTATGCATTTTGTCGTCACTTTGAAGATGTAGTCTTCATCCTAATTCCACCTTTCTGATCATAGTTAAAGTATGCTATCAGAATATAACAAATACCATTTCACCCCCGAACCCGCCTTTCTACCTCTCCATAACTGACTTTTACTCTTGAAACAGGCTTTTGTTCACTTTTCGGACGGTTTTATCTTGAAATGAAATGGCAACATATTCTTCTTAGTCTGTTCTGGCATGCTGCTGGCCCGACACGCTAACCATGATTTCTTTTGCCAGGTCGTTTTTTTCTTTCCGTCCGCTTTCTTTTTTTTCCACTTGATTGTTTTGACGGGAGAAAAAGGGGTTGACGCGTGAGTGAAAGTATACATGTTTTTATGTGCTGTCGATATCTAATACTACATACTAGTACTGCATTTCCGTGTTCTCAAGCGATTTCAATGCGTCGATAAAAGTTGCACATCGACCTCCCCTCCTACTCGTGGGTTGGCGTGCGTTCCGTTCCTATTCCCCTCCACGACACGCAACCGCCGCACCCATATCCGCCAAAACGTGCTCCATCCCTCAACCCTCCCACCACCGCTCACCCCCCCACCCCTCCCCCCCCAAAAACCCTCTCAACCTCCTCCAAAACCCCCCTCCTCTCCACACAAACCCGTCTCCGCTCCCGCATCTCCCCCTCCCACATCCCAATCACCGACCCCGACGCCCGCAGCGCACTAAGCAGCACAAGCGCGTCATCCAGCGTCTCGAGATGCGTTGCAATCGCCGCTTTGGCCTCGTGCAGCGTCGTGTGCAGGAGGTCGCGCGTGGTGAGTGAGGTGGTGGGGGGGATGTTGAGGGCTGTGAGGGTTTCGGATAGGAAGGTTGGCGGAGGGGGGGTGGGAGAGGGGGTGCAGGTGGGGGTTTGGTCTTCTTCGGCGATGTCTTCGAGGATTGTGGGCTCGATTGTTTTTGAGGGGGTGGGCGTGAAGGACTCTGGGATTGGGGCTGGAGTGTTGGGTTTAGAGAGGTGGGGTGTTTGCGGGGCGGCGGCGGTGGTGTTGGTTGTGGGGTTTTTTTGCGGCGGGGCGTGGTGGCGGTAGATGTACCTGAGGAGGCTTTTTGGCGCCATTGTTGATGGGGATTGGGGTGGTGTGTTTGAGGGTGATGGAATCAGGGTAGGAAATGAATGGATTTGTGGCAGGAGGCGGCGAGATGTTTGGTATTCATGGCTGGGGGATTCTACCGTCGGGATTCGTGTTGCGATATGAAGCTCGTACTTGGGTGTTTGTTTGCAGGGTGGACTGGGCGTGACGTCGGCTTTTTCGAGTTGCTGGGATACGGGAAAAGCAAGGATGGGGTGGAATCTCGGATATATTCCAGAGATGCAGAACTGTTGTTCGTGTTTGGCTGACGTGTTGTAATGCTTTGATCTACCTTGGTTTCCTTTCTGGATGTCTACATCCCCTGCTGTTGAACTTGGTAAAAGACATCGACCACCCCCATGGCGCATTGGTTGGGTGCTATCCCTTCTACACTTACGGGAACTAGTTCAACTGGACATGTGTTTCTTGTAATTAAACCCATTTGGTTCGGGTCTACGTTGAAGCAGGAAAACATGTTTTCTTAGCACAAGCTTGGGTTAGAAGATTTGCACAGCGATCTGCCTGGAGTAGCAATGTCTTCACATTCAGTACTATCTCCCGCAGCGCAAATTAATGACTACCGCTACTTGTCAACCCGCCGGCAGTGACTACCCAAGGCATATGAGAGGGCAAAGCCGATGGATGGTTTCTACCTGAAGAAGTCAAGAGTTCTGGAAGAGAGGGATCTCATACGCTCTCTTGTTGTTCAAGACCTGTGGAGAGTTGTAGTTGACTATTACCATGGTTGTAGATTGATGGGTCGCCAGACCAGAACTACAAAGCCAAAACTACGTGGTTGCACTTCGACTTGACATTTCTTCTGTCCATCCAGCGGTGTATTTCAAACTGATGTGCAAAGTTTGAACAAAGAAAATACTGGAGTAGTAACTCAGCCCATCTGCACTCAGGTTTATCGATGCGCTCAACGAGCCCAGCAACAGAAACCACTGTTAAGGACCAAGGCATGTATATATGGCATGAGCTAGCTCTATCACCAATAAATACCATACAATGCATGCCCCACACAACTGATTTGTTACGACTACGACTAAAAGTTTCTGTTCGGATACAGGAAAGCCATCATTTTTTTCAACATCGGCACTTTTCTGACCGGCTTAGAGTGTGATGACTAGAAAGTCACAACCGGAGCCAGAAGGCCTTTGCTCAACATCTCTTAGGCAATCCTCTATATCGTGCCTCGGCAAGACAAAACTATCACTAGATAGAATGTCCTTTTCGTGACAAACTCTATCTTGGGTTCAGTGAATCCCAAGTATAGGTCAGCTTATTGAAATACGACTCGAACCACGTACCCCTTGAAGGGTCAAATTGATAAGTCTTGCAGTAGAATTGATGTTAGATGGGTCCAAGAAAAGCGCTTCTGACGTTTGCAGGTTTCTCCGGGGTATATGTCTTGATACTCATCGTTTTCCTCGTTCAAGGGGCAGGAAAGTCATTGAAGGAGCGTTCTTTTGACATATTTGGAGGTTGGTACGGCGCTATTGACGACTGGTGCGTCGTTTCAGACGGTGAATATGGTGTTCTGTGGTGATCTTATGGCAGTGTACTGGACCCGCTTGCGTTCGTGACGGAGTGCACAAATTTCGGATGGAACCTCGCCCAAGAAGAAGGCTGCAGATAATTAGGAGAGATACTTCAAGGTGTACATCTATGGCATGCTAGATTTGTTTATACTGGTCATTTACTGTCTGTCTGTCGGTAAGATCTCAGGAAGTTCATCATGTACATATCTCTTACTAACATCAAACGGTATTCCGGCAATGGCTAGTGGTTAGGGCAACGAGCCCATGCGCGACGAAGTCATCTTCTTCGTTCTTGACAGAGCGTAAATCATGATAGCGATACCCGAAATTTCAAAAAGCTGATATTTTCTTCAGTACGATCGCGATTGCTAGACTAATCCAGACTGTACTCCACCCCACGTGCCTTTTACCTGTCATGCAAATTAATAGGAATGAGGAAATTCTTCACGCAGATGAGTTCCATGAGTTGGGTTGCACAAGGGCCTCACATGAACCTTTACAATGGAGGTGAAGAGTAGCTTCTACCCTGTGTGGAGAACCATCACTGTCTACTAGAAGAATTGAGATATGTTTTAACTTTCAAGCAATTTGGGATCTGCTGCACGATGGCGAATATGGGGTTGAGCACAAGCGAGATTGAAGGAATGGGTGCGACGGCGACGACACCAACTGAAGGGACTCTTAAAGAGACCGGAACAAGTGCGACTATCGGTAGAAGTAGTACAGCGATCAAAGTACTGCGGATTTGGTACAGGCAACGCAGGCTGAAGAGGAGAAAGAAGATCAAGGCCTGAACAAATCCGTTCTTGGAACCGGACTGGGCATTAGTGTCCCGAGTGTATCGGTAGGCGCTTTGGACTGGTGATTTCAACTTCTACGGAGGAGAGCATTTTCTCAATGGCCCACCCTTGCCGAGACCAGGCTATGGCCAGAGACATGGCCCGTTCTACAACCTGGGTGAATACAATGGAACAAGGCTACAATAGCCGGCAGATGCGATGAATATTGTCTCACCCTAAATACATCGGAGAGAATCGACGAGTACCAAGATATTGCACATAGCTACATGTGGAGAGCGATGATATCGCGTTTCGAAGGCCTGAAATAAGGCGCAGCTGAACTGTCCAAGTAGAAGTTGGAATAGCGTCATTCTGCGCTTGTTTCCAGACGTTGCCTATATGAAACAGAACGAACAAGTGCCTGAGAGAGTGATGGTTCTGTCATTTTTGCAGTCTATCTGCTTCTTCGGAACGGATAAATTCCCTTTTCAGGCCTTACTGTTTGCTGAGTGCAGCGTGAATGACAAAAACAACACAGTATTGGATAAACTCGGAAGTCCAATTGTTCAATGGCAAGCATAGACAGATACTAGTTACAGGTCTTAAGCGAAGATCATGTCGTTAGTGACAGCAAACCAACTCACCGTACACTGGATAACACTAGGTACCTACGTATTAGAGTACCCCACATGAGACAAAGAGCTAGAGTGAAGTGCGTAGCACTCTTATATAGATCTCGATTATATGAAATGTTTCAATTGCCGGGTGGCTGAAGAACTGGAGAATCGTTCAGGCCATGCACCATCTAGTTATTTCCTATCTTCGCTCTTGCCAAGACCAGTATCTGTTCCTGAATGTTTTGACCTCTCCGACGTTGTCGCTAACCATCGTTTTCACACTCTGCCCCGTGAAGTGAAAGGACAAGTCGGCCATTCTCGATCCAGCGTGTTTGCCCGGTGACGCCAAGAAAATGCAGAGTAGCAAACGGACAAACTAAACAGAATTAAATGAACGAAGTTACCTCTTACTCACACACATCCAACAACCAAAATGTCGGACAACCAGCGACAAGGTGACCGCGAGCCATCGCGTGATCATATGGAGCTTGTTGATGATACCACGCTTGATCAGGCGGAAAAGATACTGGACGTTGGAGGAAGCCAATCAGTGGCCGAATTGCAGCGACTGTCACAAGAACAAATTCAGCTTATCCTTCAGTACTGGGAGACCCTCAATCAGTTGCTCCAACGACTGGAGGACACGATTCGCAAGAGATGGATGAAGAAAACTGTCCAACAGCGAAGGGAATTCTTACTCGCCGTCGATCCTAGCATTCCAAAAGACCATCGCCCCGACATCGACTTGAAACATGAGCTTGCGAATATGCACAACAGTCGCGTTGGCCGTCGCATAATTTTGCAGCATATCGCATCCAAAGGTCGTGCTTCCATGTTACCACACATCAACTTGGAGGATCTTCTTCGACGACCAGAAGTATTCTTGACGTTCTTGAATTCTCGCGGTCGCATCCATCCCGCTAGGTTCGCGCACACGGAGCTTGTAAATTCTCCATGTTACAAGCTTCCAGACGAATCGCTGTGGGAGAAAATTCGAACACACACGATGGCGTTCGATTATCCTACGAAGGACCAGCCTTATGGGGCCATGAGATACTGGGAGGACAGTGCCAAGGCTAGGCACTTCGTGAATACCGGAAAAGGCATGCATCCAACGCATGGTGTGCAGGTGACAGACATCCAGCTGGGAACATATAGGTTTCTTTTGTCGTGCTGTTTCAACCTTCTCCGTGACTTTGCGAGCGAGAACACCAATATAACTCAGTTGTCGATCAAACCAGAACCTCCGGCTATATCCGAAAACGATGCCAACTACCAAACTCTGGGGGAGGCTGCTTTATTGGCACCCTACCGTGTTCCATCGCAGCTCGACTTTGGCCGATTGCGATCTCTTATCATAGCGCGGGTAGGCGACCTAGCAGATCATGTCTGGGCGATGCGCGAGGACCCTGGTTATTTTGCGGCCTTCTTCTACGATCACAAAGACCATAGGCCAGAATACGTGACTTCCATCACTGGTCAGCAACATGACGTGGTCAAGCAACATCCCCACGTCATGTACGGTTATATCCTGCGGAACATGATCGTTGACTCCTATTTCTTGCTTTACCAATGGCACGAGTGTCTACGTCTTGTGAACACTCTCGACGATACAGCAAAGCTATCTGCTTACGAATTTTCAACGAAGGATCCTTTACCAGAGAAGTATTACGTGAACTTTCTCAAACTCTGGCAGATTCTCTTCAGCATCCACACGGATACGCATGGATGTTTTCGTCAACGTATTCCCGCATCGCCTCCCTTGCGACGTTTCTTTACCAAAATGTACGCAAATAAGACTACTCACGAAAGTCGATTCGCGATCAACAAGAAGGAGGCTGCCAAAGACCCTCTGACAAAGCAGTTCCTTGATGTCCTTCTCGAGATTTGGCTACCACATAAACCTCCTCTTCACCTCGGGTTTGATGTAGCTCTGGACAAGTTAGATAGGTTGGTGTCGAGCAAATCGTCGATCAAGCCGCTCATCTCATCCTTTGTTTGGGCGGATTTCTCGCAGCTTTCAACGTCATCCGAGTGTATTCACCAAATACGATCGTATCAGCCCTGGGCAACACAGATGCTGCAGGACATGGGAAGACGTGATCCGCGGAATGTGGGAGACCGCGAGATTGAAATGGCTACATACTATCTATCTTTCACCAATAAGTGGCATCGCGTGACATCCATTACGCGCTTCGACGACGTCGAAATGATACAACTGGGCGACCCTTCTGATAACAAATTCGCGTATCCCGTTACTGAGCGTCGGAATGCCGAGAACACGAAGGCTCTGCATTCTGCAGAGAAAAACCTTGACGCTTTCTGGAAGGCTGCCGACACATACTGCAAGCAGTTGATTGGATCCACACTTCCATCGCTACTCGACCGCGATATAACCCGAGGACGTTCTTTACGACGGACGCCTGCATGGATCGAGACACCAGCGGTCGGGAGTACTATCAAGAAGCCCAGCCTGCTATCACCACAGTACATCTACCAGCCGTTCTCTGTTCTCGATCATGATCCAGCCAGTGAGATCAGCGGCACGTTCAAAAAGTTCCCCGAGCAAGCCAAGACCAAGGTGAAGACCAGAAGCAACGCCCAATGGTCGGTTACAGCGTCGGAAGATACCACTGACACCAAAAATCAGCTATCATCGGGACCATCGCCCAAGTTTGCCGTGAATAAGCGAGTTCTTAAAGTCTTCAGGATGCTCTTCTACTCTCCGTTCTCCACTGATACCCCAGGCGAGGTGCCATGGGCAGAATTTCTCCACGCTATGGCTTCGACAGGGTTCTCGATAGAGAAACTCCACGGCTCTGCATGGAAGTTCACACCGAAAGACTTGGCCGTTGAGCGTTCGATCCAGTTTCACGAGCCACACCCTGTTAGCAAACTTCCATTCACGTGGGCAAGGCGATACGGCAGACGCCTTGAAAGGGCTTATGGCTGGACAGGAGAGACGTTTTCTCTAGCTTGAGGATACACTGGTGAAGGTCGGATAATGGCCAGGGATACATTGCGACTTGGCTACTCGAGGCTGAATGAAGAAGATCGTTCAGATTGACAAGAATGGAAATGACCATTGGAAATGGCAACAGCGGTACTGGAAACCATGTATTGTAGCCTCTGACAAATTTCATGCAGATGGTATGCACATTATGCCTGGCTGGATCAGAATTGATTACTCATATGGGTGTCAGACGCGTAGGACTCTAGAATCACGTTGGCCGCTCACGCTCCATCTACCTGTCAAATGATCAACGACACGCGCTATGATTGCTCTCCAGGACATTAATATAAAAGAGAGGCTCCATGATGATCCAGACAGTACATTTGTTGGAAGTGATATAGGTTAACAAGGTTCTCTATAATATGTTCCCGTCATTTATCTACTCTAAAAGCCCGATCTCACCATTTTTGTGTATATCGTCAACCTTCTGCATAGCATCACACTTCCCATACATCACAAACATTCTTCTACGATAAATACTTGCATGCTCCAGAGACCAGCTAGAAGCTCATCACTCCATAAAATGCTCCCGACGCTTCGGATCAGTCTTGTCACTTTGAGCGCGCTGCGTCAATCTACGCCACTGAAAACCATGCTCGCAAGTCAAGCATAATGCGCAAAAGTCCCATCCAGCCATGCTACTCAAAGGGAAAGTTGATTCGAGGCTGTGCTTCTCTTATATATGAAGCTGCTGTCTTCAATCTGGAATTTCATTCGTCCACAGTTCGGCACAATGCTGGATCCGACCGGTCCCACACACCAGCGACTCGCAAAACCGCACACTCATCTCCACCGCTACTATTCACGTAGTATTCAGAGGAGAAATCCATAGGACTCCAATGCTTCGATCCAGACGCAAGCAATGCAAGGTGGAGTAAGAATAAGCAGAACTGAAAAAGTTACCAAGTTGAAGCGGAAAAGGTGTGAGCCTCTGGCATTATATCAGGTATGTTTGTCGTCGATCCCTATGAAGTGCATCTGTAGGATTTTGTGGAAGGTCGGTAATGTCAGGACCTTGATAGAGCAAACTGGAGTTGTTCTTATCGGAGAATTTGCGTGTGGCTAACACTTATTAGGACTTTTACTCCGCAAATCAGCAAACCGACGATCACAGTGAAAGTAGACGACGTATTCAAAGTGGGGCTGTGACAATCCATATTCGCGCCCATATAGTTTACTCCACTAACGCGTCCTTCTCTACTCACCCCACTCAACCATCAAGCAACCATGGCGCCCCCCAAACACCTCGAGACTGAGCTGACAAGCGAAGAACTCCTCGCACTCGACGCGCTCTGCGCCCCTCTCATAGCGGCGCTCGATGCCTCAGATCGTATCCTTGAAGCAGATCGCCATGCGTTCGAGAACAGTTCAAGGCGCTTATCGACTGTTCCCTTGTGCAAAGACTTCCAAAACGGCCGTTGTTGGAGAGGCAACACCTGCAAGTTCAACCACGTTTCACCAGGAACTGCAAATGCTCTCTTCGCCGATACCATGACCTCCCGCGAGCAACTTTCAGCTATACCAATATCTCGCGATCCGCGTCCTGGCAACTCTCGTCCCACATCGCCCGTATACGCCGCAACTACTAAGCCTATCACCGTGCAACGTACGATGCAACAGAGGGATATCGGAGGGCAGTCAAAGGGAGCTGGAAAGGTGCGGAAGAGGTCGACAGGAATTAGGGCTGAAAGAAGACGCGTAAAGCGACAGAAACTGGCTGAGAGCGTGGCAAAGGACCAGGGGGCATCGAAATGAGCATGTTGGGTTGTGTTCTCCAGTATTTCGGTGGCTGGACAGGTGTCTGTCAGAGAGAACCACTATGGTCATCATGCCACATGTGACCGTTGCTTAACACACGTCAATAGACGCTCACCATCTCTGACATGGAATGTCAACGGAACGATATCCTAAATTCTATAAATTCATGAAAATTACTGCCTTGGCATCTCAAAGCATCTGCTCGCTTATCAGGTCCAAATCTCAATCAGAGTGAATGTGGGTGTCACATGTTAGCGGGATCCGCTAAGGGCATTGGCCACGTCCTGACTTTTTTTGCCTCAAACCACTATTGACTCTGTTATCAGTGTAAGTAGAAACACTTGAACAGTTGAAAAGCAATGCCTGGTATGAGCTCACGAGAATTTCGTCCGTGGGTTCTCGACTTGGAAAATATGACTTGACCATCGATCACTCAAATTCACAAAGGCTTTCGTCGAACATATGCTCAACCTGAGGACCTCACAGGTTCCTAAACATCACACGGTGACAGAACAGGTACGCGAAGTAGAGGCGTGCGCATATATAGAGCAATTCCAGCAAGATTATCTGAAAGTTCATCGCGTTGATCATCAACGCAAATTCAATGCGGCACAACGAAAGAGTACTATGCTTAAAGCCGAGTTTGACCATATATATGTTTTATCCTGAACCAGTAACCGATGGTGCCTACGTGGATTTGTAGCCTTTTAACATGATCTCTGTGATTGTTCTTCAAGATTGGCTGGTCAATTTTATGATATAGAGTAGGAGCATATGTACACCAAAGAGCACGCTATGTCTTAGTTACCAAAATACTCATCAAAGACGTGTAGATAGACCTGTGTTCAATAAACCTCCCATGTATTTCTTCCATCGTTATTATCCCGGATGTCTCCATCCCTTGGCCAAAAGCTTCCTCATGTCAAGGTTCTCCTTATTCAAAGCACCAATCCGTTTTTCGAGCAATCCGTTTTCATCACTGATCTTTTCATCCAAGTCTCCGCCTGTTTTCCCCGTCTCCGGTGCTGTCGCTTGTGTTTCATCGTTCTTCCCATTAACTGGCTCTCCAAAATTTGTCTTCGACAGTCTTTCGTGCTTTAGTTGCTTCTTCAGATCGTCGTTCTCGTTCTCCAGCTTCTGAACCCATAGTCGCAGGCGTGTGCTCTCTTTGGTTGAGTCTCCGTGCATGGTTTGATTCGCCTTTTGATACTTGCCCAGGACTGACAGTTTGGCTTTGCTTGCTTGGCGGGTAGACATCTCAAAAGACGGTACACGAACATCCTGCAAGGCTGATTGAACCATGATACCACTTGGTAGTGGATGTAATATGCCATTGTTGTTGTCTGCCCAATTTACAGCCGGATTCATGTAGTGCTGTTGGAGCCCACCATGTTCGATCTCCTGATTCGCGTTCCCGATCAGCATCCCGTAAGGCGAAGAAAGATGTGCAGGGGATGACCTAGTTTGCGCCGCTTCCTGTAGATTATTCCCAAATGAATCTGCAGTATTCGTTTGGTGGGTTTGCCGGTGAGGTGTTTCGCTCTGCACATGCGCACGTTCCATTCCTCTGCAGTCGGCACGATGGTTGCTGCTCCGATAGAAAACGTCCTCAGTCATGACTATCTCACAGCCTATGCATTTGACTATCGGTCTGCAGACCAGCGAATGTTCCTCAAGTTCTGTACTCCAGATTGAACGGCAACAGAATGCGCAATGGACACGACGGGATTCATCTCCTAGCGATTCGGTATGTCCTGTTGCTTCTGCTACCTGCTCTATCAGAGGTGGTGGTCGAGGAGGTATCCCCTTGCAGTTGTCAAGATGTCTTCCACGGTGAAATTCGTTTTTCGTCATCGACAAGCCGCAGTACCTACAGATCGTCATCGGTCTGCAGATCTGTCGGTGGGCTTTGATGTACGTTTCGTGGGACCACTGGCTGCAGTTTCGACATTCGACAGGCGTGGCCAAGCTTACTGAGGAAGCGCTCATATACTCGGTGTCGAGCATGTTATTATTTGTGGAACTCTTCGGGTGTGAGCGCTCCGATACCGAGCTCTGGTGTATGGTAGGGTCAATTGCTGGTTCAGCTTGAGCAGCATAGCTCTGTTCACTCTCTTGAACGAGTGGTTCTGGAATGGAAGGGGTTTGAGACTGCCCTCGAGAATTCATCTTAGACTCCTCGGGTTTATCGAACTTCTCGTACTTCTCATGTGCTTCCAGTTCTTTTCCTCTACTCCTCGAATCCAGGGAGTTTGTTTTGGAAGTAAAGTTCAATCGACGTAACAACGTATCGCTATGATCCTGGCGTTCCTCAAAGCGCGAATGAGGATCCAGACCAAATTTCTGCATCTCCCAGCTCAAGTTAAGGGTATGCCCGCCATAAGCATCCAAGAAACCGGGCACCGGAGCGAGGTTCATGTCCTTCGCGAGGCCTGCGGCAAGATCTTCGAGCTCCTCAAGGCTGTTTGGAATACCGTGGGCGACGACTGCGACTTTCAGATGTAACGGCAAGTTTGTCGAGGCGCTGCGGGAGGAGGGGTACAACCATTTGGCGGCTTCAGGGTTTTCACCAGAGGTCGTCGCGTTGGAGGTCGAGATGTCTGTCTCCTTTGGAGTAGGAGACAGATCTATGGTGATATCCTGATCTGCTTTCTTCCCAAAACTCACTCTCTTTCGCGAGCTTTGGTGTACTTCTGCATCTTCTTTCTCCAGGACGACAGCTGGCGAAAAGACGGCCGATAGATGCTGTCGCTGACTATAAGCAGCTTCCAGCTCCGCTTCCAACGTTATGGCCCAATCAGCTGGCATATCTTCGTATTCAAGAGCAACGCGCTGCTCTTCCGCCTCCGAGGAAAGGGTCGTTGCATTCTGAAACACTGCCTCGGTTTTTTTTCCTTTGTTTCCTTTCTCCATCGTTCTGGAATGATCTTGTTGCTGTTCTTCCTCATCCTCGCCACCGTACCATGTATGTTCATCGACTCCAGCCGTCCAGGATCCCTTCGTTGCACCGGTATTCGATATCAGGCGGGAGACGTCTGGCGTATATGCAGTATCGATAGACACGCCAGGTGAGTGTTCCTGTTTGCCTGCTCCTGTATTCGTACTATACTCCTTCGCGTTCGGATCCACAAAAGGCCTAACGTGCAATATCACAATCTCCTCTTCGCGCTCACGCGATAACATTGGATAGCCTGAGGATGGGGAACCATTGGGCATCCTTAGGATACTAATTGGAGAAACGGGAGAAGTTGAAACTCGATTCACATCTTCTTTTCGGTATGGCGTCTGGTCGTCTTCCACCGTGAGTAATGGAGAACTAGGTCCGAGTGGATTGGGAGACTTAGACTGCCCGAGAGAGCCATTCCGTGCTCTGTGTGCTAGCTTTCTGCGTTTGCGGCGGTTTTTTGGTACTAGGGCTTGCGTAGCATGGCGTTTCTGTACCATGTTTGTGCTGGAATCTGGAGACGGAGACCGAACTTGAGTTGTTATGTGCAAATTTCCAAACTCACAGCCGAAAGTATGTTGTTTTCTCGGTCGAAGTGGTTGCGTTGAAAGTTGCGAGTCAATAGAGTTGAGTCGAAGATCTTGAGGTTGGAACTGCAAGTTGGTATGTGGGTGCAGACGCAGCGAGCTCACGTGTTCGATGAAAGATCCAGGTTACATAGCTAATAGCATAGTCACATGTAGATATGGGCGAGTGGAGAGTCTTTTTCCACAAGTGAAAAGGTTGATATGCTGGGGAAAGGTCACTTGCACCGGCAACTTGGAATACACTGGTAGTTTCGTGAATGTCTGGATTGTCGATAGAGAGACCCAAAATCTGTCCACGCCGACGTCAGTTACTTCCTGACCAGCCAGCTCTAGCCTTGATCAGTCAAAAAGCTCATTTTGCGTTCCTCAAGGAGAGTACTCTACAGGTAAGGCAGTGTAGTTTGCACATACTTTTCAAGTAACATCAGCGGGCCTACAACATGGAGAACATGTAAGAAAGGCCATGTAACATCCATGAAAGTTTCCACTCACCTGACCCAGATATAAAGGGTTGACAGGAATACTCGCAAAATACCCATTTGCATATAGCAACCTCACAGACTCGATTTGATCTCTCCATACTGTCCAGAAACTTCAATGAGTATGTTTCCTATGGCCAGTAGTGGCTGAGAATATGTTGATATCCAGAAGCTCTGACACAGTGTATCTGTGGCTGCTGTAACAATATATCTTGCTGAATCGCGAACTCGCTGTGGAAGATCAACGTCAGCAACCGTTGAGATTTGGGAATAGCAATGGAGTATGCAAACACGAAACTTCTATAACGCTAGCAACTCATGCAAAATGTCGGCACATTTCCAACGGGATCCGCTCTAGGCGGATAAGTGATCAAAGTTCGAAGGTTTCTGGCGAGTACGTGATTTTGACCTGTTAGACGTGAAAGTCTAGGTGACCAGCGTGTTTGCACTACCGTTTCGGGACAACTGTGGATCCTTCCACCCACTACAAGACGTGGTCGCAGACTGAAATAACTTGCTGTTGTTTCTATCTCACCTCAAAAATCAACTGCGACAGTTGCCTCAATATGACGGGACACTACTATGCAGCGCGTGACCCAAGGAGCTGGAAAATGAGTGGGAGGTTGCCGGAGACAAGCTTAGAAGATGAGACATATTTGTCGCCCGCACAGCACGACGGTAATATCGACATGGCCGACGAAGCGTCGGAACACAGTCCGCTCGTTATAGAAGAAGAGGACGAAGGAGAAGTAATGAGAGATAAGGATCATGCTGGAGGAGAGGCGAAGCCCCTCAACTCCTCCACCGAAGCGTATACAGCTCTTAGCGAATCTCATCTTCGCCAGTTTCTAACACTTCTAGCGCCTCACTTACCGTCGATCCCAACAATCTACATCACCTTAAACGGAGCATACTCCAGCTGACCGCTCACCTTGCCGCTCGAGCAGCGGACAATGCCATACTGCAGCGCAAAAAAGCCGTTCTTGCCAAGCAGCATCGTGATGCGCATTCACGGCTCACGACTACGACGCAAGCCCTTACTAGCCTCACGAACTCATACGACAAGAGATTGACGGAGAAGAACGATGTGATTGCAGAGAACGCAGAGCTGCAGGAACAAAATGCGCGTTTGAGGGATGAAAACGCGCGGCTTCTTGGGACAATCAATGAGAATACCGCAAAGATGCAGGACTTGGAGAATCGACTGGAGGGGTTGATTGTTGAGAAAAACAGTCTGAAAGGGAAGGCAGCCGAGAAAGAAGAGTTGATGTACAAGATTCAAGAGCTAGAAACAGCCGCTGCGCAGACCAGTTCCACGAGACATGAGCGCCCTCGCTCGCGAGAACGTGGAAAAGGCGAGGTTTTTCACATGGGTGCCCCAGACCTGTGGAGACCAGACTATGAAAACGTCGGGGATGCCTTTCAACATACAGAGGACCGCCATGCCTTACCAAGGGATCGTGCTCGGGAGAGAGATCCCTACAGACGACAAAGCGACGATTATAGACACAGAGAGCATGATCGAGTTCGAGAGTACGATCAAGAAGACCACTGGACAAATGCAAGACGCCGAAGCCGAGCCCAAGAGGACACGGATTGCATACAGGAGTTACACGGACAAGGAGACGGCGTTCGGGATCGCACTGATCCGTTCAAGGGAGGTCCGCGGCCACCGACGGGCCCAAGTGCTGGTGGGAGACGACGAGGGTAGTGAGGGTGTGATTCGGCCATGTACCCTGGGGGCGTGGCGCATAATCCATAGCCTTCTAGGTCCACGTGGTGAGCAATTCGGAACAAGCCGCGTGTATTTAGACGCTTAAGCGACCAAATCTGATCAACTGCATAGATTTCGTTGAACACCTCGGTGGAAGGCACGAACTTGGCTAGACCGCCGCTGCATACTCCATCTAGAACTGCTAAACCACGCAACGATCAACATATGACCAGAAAATCCATCCTTGTGCTTTGTTCTTTCGTGTATCATCTTCTTTGTCGAGTTGCGCAACTCGTACGAGAGACGTGATGTTGGGTAGTGCTAGACGCGGGCGGGAGCCTCTCAGGCCTTCATGATTGGGCGGACGCTGCAACCGACATCGCACCCTCGATGTGGCTTTTGAAGCCGGCTTCTGAATGCAGGAACTCGGCAAGTGGTGTTACCGACAACATGAGGATGTTTGGTGTATACAGTTAGCTCAGATGACCGGGGAGGCTGCTTGGTTCCAGTCTGAGCCTCGTCCCAAGGCTGAAAGTGGTTCGATGCATGTCCGTCAGATCCGAGGTGACATTGCGATAACGCACCCATACGATGCGGTACGGCAAGAAACCACGTGGGTCTAATAAACGCAACCCGACGGTCCCGTCGCGGCGCCTGTCTACCCCAACATCCTTCGAGAAACGACGCGATTTTGTGACAACCGCGCGTTACGGCTAGGCCGCTTAGAGCGGTTCATGAGCCAATTGGACCTCAGCAAGTCGGCTATCAAAGTGTGCATGCACACAGGTCAAATGAGGCGTCCAATAGAGTATATAACATGCCACCCATCAAGCGCCTCGTATTGAGACCCATTTCCCAGATATGCCAGCGTGCGGCCCAGTTCAAGTTGTCGAAAATTACCATTGCATTCGCCAACCCCGCACACTGCAAAATATTGGTCTCAAGATCTCAACTATGGCACCGAGAATGGAGATAATTATCGTAAGGCTGCCTATCACTTACGCTTTGTGGCCTCCTGTTTGACCATTCTGACTTGTGTAGATCGGCGGCTCGTGTGCTGGCCTGATGCATGCTGTCGTGCTCAAATCACTGGGTCACAACGTCCGCGTTTTGGAAGCGCGGTCATCTGAGCAGATCAAAGCAAGAGCCGCAGGACTGAGTCTAGGGCCATATGCGCAGCGTCTATTCACCACGTGGATTCCTGACGTCGATCTCAATTCATTCGCGATCCGGAATCCAGGAGCACAATACTTGGACGCCGATGGAAACCTCCTGAGCGAGAAGCCGACTAACGCCAACGTGACTACTTCGACCTGGGGTGTCGTGACCAGTTTGCTAAGACAAGCTTGTGAAAGAAGGATTGACGGCCACGGGCATTGTTCGTATGAGACCGAGAAGCGAGTTTGTAAGATAGCAGAAGAACAAGGGCAGATGGTAGTCATGTGTAAAGACAACGATGGTGCAGAAGAAATAGCCATAGCGGATATCGTCATCGCAGCCGATGGTGCGCGGTCGTTTGCACGAAGCCAGGTACTGCCTGAGATTGAACCTATATACGCTGGGTACTTCGCATGGCGAGGTCAACTCCCAGCGAGTCAGACGCCACCTGAGCTCAGTGGTGCTCTGGATGGTAAACTGGTCCACCACATGCTGAAGGGCAGCTATATTCTAGTGTAACGATTCCGTTTCGACCCAGTTGTTGATCACGGACTAAGATCTCGACAGATATGCCGCACCCAGCGAAACAGGGAATACGCAGCGTAGTGACCGGGTCCTCGAATACTGCTGGTATGACCCCTGCGACGGGTTGTCTGACGAGTTCGACGACATCATGACAGATTGTACGGGCTGGCGACACTACCAAACCGTACCACAGGATCTCCTCCGTCATGAAGTTTGGAAGGCTCATCTGAACCGCCGAAAAGATGTACTGCCGCCGCTCTGGACTTCGCTTCTTTCACAAGCTAGTCAGCCGTTAGTCACTGCTATCCAAGACTTCGATAACGCCAAAGCGTCCTTTTTTGGTGGAAAGTTGTTGATGGTAGGCGAGGCACTGAGACAGATTCGGCCACACTTGGGAGCGAGTTGCGATATCGCTGCTATGGAAGCGTTGACCTTGGGCGAGATGATACAGGGGGAAATGGATATAGCCAAGTGGGAAAAAGACGTTGTCGACTACGCTAATGGAAAGGCGGTTATGAGTAAAGCAGTGGGAACTTTTGGCATGACAGGAAAATGGCCAGAGGGCTATGTGCACACTTACTTGAAGCAGCCTAGTGCTTGAAGACCCCTTCTATACGTAGTCTTGCATGTCGGAAGTTCAGGATTTGGTGGCGAGAGGACTAGAATTCAGCGAAATATGGGAAAGAAAATAGAACAAGGATAGAGACTTGTACAACCAAGAGGATGATTCTCGTAAGAACTAGAAATCAATGGAGGTTCTGGAGGTCCATGCTCGCCATTACGAGTAACGTGTAAACCAAATCGGGTATTAGGCGACTGAACGGTAGCTATCGAGATTGATGCTGGTCGGCAGCCAGCACGAGGCCCTGGGTAAGCCAATACCTCACCCAATCAGCCATCCTTGGTTGTTTGATGAAGAGGTCGACATGATCTTTTGCCCAATCCCACGACTCAGGGATTATGACGAGTGAGGATTGTCTGGTTTGTGATCTCGTTGACCTCGGATGAAATGGAGCTTGAAGATTGTTGATAGTCCTTGCTGATAGCGGAAGTGTGACACGTGCAAAAGTCTCAGGAAAGAGAACCGTAGGATAGACAGGTGGAAGAAGAAAGACCGAACAATCAAACAGACGTCATTTTTGGGCTATTCCGCCTCGAGGCTAGCGTTCTGATTAGCGTGTTTTCCCAAAACATCACGTCGCTCATCTCCAGGCAGTCAAATGTCCACAACGCCATCAACAACGAAGATGGCATTGTTTCGTCTATCGTACACGTTTGCTTTCAATGGCAGCATGCCTTCTACGAGCTAATCATCTCTCGAGTCACAACAATCGCTGTCGCTTGGTACCCATCTCATAGCCGTTGTTACCGCCACGCATCTGCTCATTTTCTGTTCTCAACTTCCTGATCTCCCTATCCTTAGCGATGTTTTCCTTTTTGAGTTCCAAAACTTCTTCTTCTAGCTTCTGGAGCCGATCATCCATATCCCGGTAACCATTGCTCGATCCCCGCTCAGCCGGCAGTACATCAGGCTGAGTAATGCATACTATTGTCGTTTTCGCCAAGACGGTTGGACGAGTTTCCGCTGAGATAGAGCTGATGTTTTTTTTACTTCTGTTTTGTGGATGGGGATCGAGGCTGAACCTAACCGACTTTGGCAAACGTGCAGAGCTTTGAGCTGGTGAAGATATTTGCGATGAGTTCTGGGTCTCGGTTCGTGCCGACAGTTCCCTTCCTATGTTAGACCTTGGTGTCAATGTTGTCATCCTTTGGTTGAGTTGTTTCGGTGCAGGCTTGTCGTGGTAGAACTGCCGGACGATAGGATGGAGCATGTTCGGGACAATGCCGTTTGTTTTGGGCTCAGGCTTCAGAAGTAGTCCCATTTGCAACAAAACTGCAAACTCGTTCTTTGCGGGACGAACTTGACGAAGTGGTCGTCCAATTATGCGACATGGAATTCTTCTATCCCCATACCAACTCGTAGAACAATAGAGTAGCACACAGCTCTGGATTGATGGTCAGTCTCAAATATACTACACGTGCAGTACCCCGGGCTTAATCCGGTCTCGACAGTTCAGCATCCTCCGCGCCCAAAACTCTACGGGTGACTCGAGCACAGAGGGAATCGAACAGGCAGTCCTTACCTCGCCAACGTGGTTGTTTCTTCCACACATATTACAATCCTTTGAACACTGCGCATGGGCCGACTGGGGATGTCTCGGATCACAACAAACGAAACAACAATCGTGGAAGAAACCTGGACCAAAAATCTGTGACAGACTGAACTGATCGTAGTAAGGTCCTGAGGGTGGTAGATAACGCTCTGCGGGGAACTTCAAAGCCACACGGTGACTGGATGGGTCGGTAGGCGCATCAGGGGGGAGTGTCTGACCGATCGGATTTCCATTTGGTTTGGTCTGCGCTCCTGGCAGGCTCACCGGCAGGCCATTCGATTGTTTTGGTTTGTAAGACTTGGTTCGGTCGACCCGCTTCTCCGCTACATCTATGTGATGTCAACAAAGGTAGTCAAATCTGGAATTATCTTCTGAACCAACCGTGATTTGACCTCATCAGCATCGCTCGTCCAGAAGGAACTCCATGACTGCTCAATAGTCTTGGTGCAGCACCATCTGCGTACGTATAGTCCTGAGGAGGGGCTTTGTGTGTAGAGGCGGATGGAACCGCTAAGCGATCAACAGGTGACTCGACCTTGACCTGCGCTACATCGCCTTGGCTGCTGTTACCACCGATTGACGGAACATTCTCGCCGTAGAGCTTCTCGATGAGCGAAAGGGCACGTACTGGCGCGCATGAAGTCATTGAGCTCTCGCCGGGCAACTCGTTTTTAATTGTTTGCTCTGCAGGCTTCGTTTGGCCTGCATGATCTCTGCGCGTCCCATTGTCTATGCTACCACGGGTCGGCACGCTTGGCTTCGCACAGTAAAGAGCTTGAACAAGATATAGATTCGCCATTGAATGTGGGTTGAATTGGAGGAAAGTGACTTGTCATATCTTGCTGGAAAGTGAGGTGCGAATCACTGTTTGTTTGTATTTATGCAGGTTGTCTTGGCACGTAGCAACTGGGAAAGTGCGCCTGCAGGCAACCTCAGAAAGTATTCCCTACGAATGGCAGGCTCATAGGTGGAGCAGAGGCTTACTTTCCAGTGGTACGACAATACGTGAGACGGGTCTAATTTGCGGTAAACCCAGGATTCGTCGCACACGTATAATACAAGAGTTTGGCATTGTACTTGTCGCTCCTGGCATATCTCGATGAGTCGTTATTCGACACGCACGACTTCAATACTGGAGAACAGCTAAATAATCAGTTGCTCACTGCTTGATTGAATTCATTCTGATCATTGTAATCCTTCAACACCGTTCGCTGGCTGTCCTCATGGCAAGTATTCGTAATAGCTCCAGCATCACCCAGACATTCGATTATGTGTTTGTATGACTGGTTCCCAGAGAGTGTATTGACGGGCAGCTTTGCGAGCGTGAAAATTGCGCCAGAAACACGCTAGTCACCAAAAGTGGAAGGAGTAGGGTTGTGTTTGCCAAGCACAGTTGACCAGTTCGGCAAACGGACCGTCACAGCCTTTCCTCGCCATCTTGTTGTTGTCTGGAAGTCGGGAACGACTATTCACACAGCTGTCTGACCATCAAGAAACTTTAACAAGCAGGAGATCAGGGTGGTCGTCCTAAAGGGTCAGGAGGTAAAGTATCCATGCCTGTGTAAGTGACTTGATTTATCGTGGTTAACTTTTGCTGCAGCGCCCACCGTCTGAGGCCTTGGAAATCACCATATCGCAACCGCAACCTTCCCCTGCTATCCCCACACGTTTTGTCGAAGGCAATGTATTCTTACGTGGCCTCGAGCATGTTCGGCGACGAATCGCACGGTCTCACATATAACAACTTACAGCGACCTTGTGTTTCCAACGATGTGCAGTCGTCTGAGCTCAACACACCCCCACCGTGCCTCCCAGTAACACAAACGTTCAGTCACAACACGCAATCCTACTATTCAGTTATAAAAGAATACGAATGTGCCATCAAGCACAATGCAGAGCTCTGGCTAGAACTACGCAAGGCCAAAGAAGACGCTGAATGCGCGGACAAAGCAGCGCGTGACCTTGCGGCTTGGATGCACGATGAACGACAGGGACTTCTCCAGAGAATAGCTGAGCTGCAAGCAACCAATGATCAGCTCCGCATCGCAGTCAAAGAACAGAAGCCCAAAGGTCGCCGTGAGAAGGTCAGACCGGCTCCCAGAAAGCTACGGCTGATAAACTAATCAAATCAGCGCTCAAGGAAGTATGTTCCAGTCAAACCGCGACATCCATATAAATTCTCCGAGGATGCATTGTTCTCTGTTGACGACTATCTCGGCATGGAGGAAGAAATTGTGGTACCCGGAGATAACAGAATCGAGGTAGAGATGACAAAAACTTGGGGGCTGAATGTGGTAGACGAGGAAGAAGACTCTTATACCCCTCCCGATGCCAGGGAATCTTCTTCGATAATGGATCAGGTCGATGAGCTAATTGCCGAAGAGAAGAGAAGACTGCCTATTACTGAGTACTTCGGTCATTCGATGCACTTCGGTCAGTAAATGAACCTCAACCTGGCAAGAGTGTCATACACCAGGTCATAGCAGGACACGACATGGTGGGCTTCCAGTAGAGACAAATCGAGATGTAAAGCTCCCGTTTCTGGTCCATACACAGTTGCTTTGGTTATCTCGGTACTCGTGTTAAACCAGACCTATTTCCTTGCACAGTGATGTGTATTTAACGACCTACATTTTGATCGTCTGGAAAATACACCTGCTCTACCTTCTAAGAGTCCTGCGCCCTTTCTCAGCCATCCCAGTTTCGCGCAATCAGCCAGTGAACTAGTTCAACTTAACAGTGTCGTGCTCTTACTCTTCTTCCTCCAAAGACGCTATGGCGACCCGATCCTGCAAGACCTTGTTCCCGAGCTCGCGCTTGCTGATCTTCGTTCTGAACCTCAATCTTGTCGAAGATGTCGTTGGCGAAATGAGACGACTTAGCTTAGGCGTTGGTAGCGTAAGCGTCATTGACATCTTGAAAGGAGATGCTGAGGGTAGAGATCATGTGGTGGATATGATCGGGAGGCGACGAAGTTACCCATGGATCTGGGATTTCATGGTTTGTTTACGTATTCTTCATGGTGTATTGCAGCCCCATTGAGATTCTTCGGACAATAGAAAACCATCAGGAATGTCAAGTGGCGGCATCATGCGTTGGCTGTTTCGACGGGAATTTGGCTTGTTAGGTCTTCAACATCCTCGGCCACTCTTTTCTGAGAATACATATATGACCCTTTTTTGCCCTTTTGGACAAGAGAATCACCTCCTCGCCGTGGTCGAAGAGCACGTGTCATAGCATACCACAGAGAATATACATGCGCGACATGAACGCAAAGGGTGATCGTGAGAATATAGGCATGGTGAAACACAAAAAGCGCTTTGAATAAGCTTTGACAAAATGACGCCCGTATATAGCGTACTACAGTCATAGCGGCGGTGAAGTCAGATATTGCTTTGCAACACATGAAAATCTCGTATTAATTCCATATAACATTGCAGCGCTGTGATAAGGCACACCCTGAGAGTTTGGGATATCAGTGTTGAATCATTGAAACAAAGAAAAGAGTAAAGAGCTTGGAAAAGAAAATAAGTTCACAACGCTCCTAGGTATGCAGTATCGGAGAGGTAGAGAAGTGTTAGGTCTTACAGAAAAACGGCTGATTGTACTGGTACGGTCCCAAAGCGTTTCACGGTGAAGATCGCGTTGCGTTCACCGACTTCACTATAAAATCCCCCTCGGGGCAGTCTCCAAACCCCAACCCATAACCCCAACCACTACACGAACTCTACAGCGCCTGCGGTGGTAACTTCCAACGATGGGCAACGCAGAAAGCAGAGAAGCGGCATTGACATCTGTGGCTACTAACGCGTTCAAGGCAATTGTCGCCATCGAGAAAGCCAGACTAAGGGCGAAAGCTAGATTTCAGAAGGAGGATGCGGACACGGACGACGAAGAGACAGCGTCGCTTCTGGGCGACGAACAAGAGCCCGAGATCACACCCTACCAGCAGATGGATGAAGAGGCCGACGTAGCATCTTCACTCGCGAGCAGCTCCAGCTCCAGCTCCAGCTCATCGCGTTCGAGCACACCTGATCAACGGTCTCAAGACTCCATCAGAAATCCGTACACTGCCAGGATCCCCGGCAACATTGCCAATTCATCACGCAATAGCTATGCTGAGGATCACTTCATGAGGGCCTTTCAAGCATGGATTACAAAGAGTGCGGAAGCGTTCGACGACGCCATTGCAGCTCTGCGGAAGATGAACTTCGTCGAGGTCGCAAAAGCAGCCGGGGCATGGGTCAAAGAGCATCCGTGGGAGACCGCCGCGATTGTCATTCCACTTATTCTGCTTGCCTGTACTCCGGCCTTCCTCACGGCGGCTGGTTTCACGGCTGGTGGAATCGCTGCAGGTAAGTGTTTGAAGAAATGATGTGAACCAGGCTAATAGAAAACAGGCAGTATCGCTGCAGGAATACAAGCTGGTATCGGAAGTGTCGCTGCTGGCTCGACCTTCGCAATCCTAACCAGCGCAGGCATGGCCGGATTTGGCGTACCCATCGTTCTTGGAGGCGTTTGGTTGACTTCAAGTGCGATTTGTTGGGGGGCTGTCAGTATCTGGAAGAAGTTTGTAGGACGTGGAGATGGACCTGCCGATGACGATGAAGACGACGACGGCGCTGCCGCAGCGCCTATGATACTGGCCTAGGAAGTCTTCATAAGGATCATGGACAACGTAGATGAGTCAGGAGACATGGCAATCTGAGCTCGACGCGAACGAGGACCTATCGGAGGCTGGAGACGTCGGGCTGGCGCTAAACAGGACAAAGGAGCAACTCTGTTGAGAGTTTGACGACTGGATTAACTATGGAACGAATGAAAAAGTGAACTACACTTGCTTGCTACCTGGGACGACTAAGATGCTCTGCGTGACCTCGTCTTCGTGCTTCTCCCGAGACTCCTTGAAGAAAGCATGATGGGACACGACATGTATCAAGTCCATTGACGTTCTATGCAGTACTAATCAAATAATTGATGGCATCTCTCTCTTAAGCAGCAGTGGCTTGTGTGACGACAAGAATGCTAGTGGAGGTGACAAACGTGCTTATCTAAGACTCCAGACTCACACAGCGGGCAAATTGTCTTCAATAGATACTTAGCAGGAATGAAGAAACCCCGCGCTTTCGCCGTGCCCATGTACTACGTAGTGTTGCAACCTTTACGGGAAAGCCCGCAGTGGGAAACAGCCAAAGTGATTACATGAAACGATGTTGCCAGCTTGGTACCACAATACTTTATAGCAAGAAGCGGCAACGGTGTGAAGGGACGCGATCAGACGCGTGATTTTCGTGTCGAATGCCGACGCTAATGACTAATCATAGCTAGCCAATACGCGAGGAGCCGCCCCTCTCTCCCACCGCGACGTCATGCCTTTGGTCACATCCAACGCGTCCGGTATGCGTTCAGCCCGAACCATCAACTCTCAAGGTCGACAGAAATCTTGCTCCGAATGTGCGAAGGCAAAGCGGCGATGCGATCTTCGACAGCCAGAGTGCTTACGCTGCTGTAGGCAACACCTGGCCTGTTGCTATCCCTCACAACCTCGACCAAGAGCCGCGTTGTCCCCAAATCCCATGATAGATGATCATGACAACTTCAACGTTTCCGATGCCTTGATTGACTGTCCAAGTGCAGAAGCGATGTTGCTCAACTTCGACTTGGACACGGATCATATTCCAATAGCGTGCAACACAGAGCTTCTGGACTTCGACCTGTCTGCTGAAATTGGCTCATTGGGATCTCTCAATGCCTTCTTACAAAAGCCCGCCCATTCTGAAGATCAAATTGCCCCCCGGAGCCTCGTTGGGCAACCATTCTGCGCAACAGACCTAGCCCCTTCTATCAACTCACGGATGGGCTATGCCATCGAGCAACTGAAGCTGGTACCGAAGATGATGGTTGACACAAACGCGACACCCTGGAGCCATCCTATGCTATACAATGCGCAAATGCCAAGATATTTTCAGGATGTTCGCGCTGCCTGCGCTCTCTACATTGCGATGAACAACACAAACACTGAGTTTGTGAAAAACTACATTATATTGCGAGTTGAGGAACTCACGGCATCCTCGATTTCTACAGCGCCCGCTGATTTGTTGACGCGGGCACACGCTTTGATGCTTTATCAGCTCATGCTTATGTTCGGTGGTGATATGTCTCACAACGGACTTGCCGAGACGCTGCTTCCCCATATGGAGCAAGCTGGGGAGTCGCTTCTTGGGTGTGCGTCGCAGCAAGTCGACCCAACAGACCCTGTGCCGCTGTATCCTAGTGTTGCTGCTCGCTCAGCATGGACTTCTTTTATCTTCCGTGAGTCCGTCCGTCGCACCATACTGGCGATTTTCCATCTTATCAGCCTGTGCCGTCTGCGTCGCGGTCAAGTCACATTGTGTCCATACTCCATTTCGCAAAACAACAAGGTCACAATTTCTGCACATTTATGGTTTGCAAAGGATGCGGTTGACTTTGCCGTTGCGTGGAACGAGAAAAATCATTTCCTAGTCAAAGAGTTAGATTTCACAGACGTTTTGAGAGACGCAGGATTTGACGATCTCGACATATTTGCGAAAATCATTCTTGTAGGACTACAGGGTATCGACGATGTCAAAGGGTGGCTTTATATGCGAGGTGGAACTCTGTGAGTTGCGCGCCGTCCTAGAGCCACCTTGGTCCACAGACACGGGACGTTGTCTACATAATCCAACGAACACGGATGTTTGGTGGCCGCATTCTTCACGCCATGCTTTCTTCGGTCTCTTATGGATGGCCACGTTGTCATCCTATTTCCTCTTGCCATGCATACACGCCCCGGGCACGGGCACGTCTGGTAACGCCCACCATCTGTCCACGTTATCCAGAAATTCCTCTTCTCGTTTTCCGCCGATCGTCACGATCCACTCCTTCTCGGCTTTTGTAAGCGGGTGGTGACGCCACGGACATTTCACACCCAGTTCACACGCAAATTTGGTGCAGAAAGTCGCAAAGCAAAGACCGAGGTCGCGGTTTCCAGATGAACCGTAGTGGCGGGGTGTAACCTTTCCGTTGCCGTGCTTGAATCGCTGAGTATCAGAGCGCGACAAGACGAGCGCTTCGTAACCTCGGAGGTTATATGCTGTCGGGGGCGCGGGTGTCTCAAGCTCCTTCCGTGTTATTGATGGGTTGTGTGCAGCATGCTGGAGTTGAGGTTCAGTTCGGGCTTTGTGTTGAACTGGATGTTGACGTTGTTGTGTTCGTGCATTGTCTGCGACGCGAATAAAGTTCGGATCATCGAATCGTTGATCCTGGCCACGCTTATAATCTTGTCTCAACTTCGCGGCGGACGCGCGTTGCTCAAATTGAGGAACTCCCTGCGGCATAGTAGAGTCATGTGTCCCTCCTCTTTCTTTGCGCCACGCTGCAAAGCTGCCCGACGAGGGGACAGGGCTCGTTCTTTGCTTCGCGGACACACCCCTTGTGTGATCCAGGCTAAATTTCTGTTGTCGAGATACTACATGCTCAGCCATCTTTGCATATTGGTGGCTTGAGGTACTGTCTCGAGCAGGCGGCTCTATATACAAGTCTTCGTCGTCCCAGTCGATCTCGTCCTCGACATCGACGTAAGATGGTTCTGATGCAACAGCAGCTCCAGCATATTCGTGGAACTCTGGACGCACAAATCGATCCCACCCGGGCTGACCATCGTGATGCATCGACTCTCTCCCGTCCATCTGAGACTGGCGTTGGCCACTGGCTTTTCGATGATGAGAATCCGCAAAGGTCTTTGGACTAGCCCCATCTCGAACAGGTGACCATTGTCTCTGTGTGTCCCCTAATGCAGCCTGTTGCTTCAACGCTCGTCGCTTGGCACGCGCGTTGTAGCTACGATTGCGTTTACCAGTCCCAGGAGCCGACTTAGGTAGGTGTGGCAGATCTTCCAGAGCTGTGTTCGACCGGATATGTTGCGTTTTCGTGGCATGTTTGTCATGTTCAGTATCTCCCTTGACGGACTGTTGGCGGGGCCATGAACCCTGCGACCGATCGTAGGCGTTATCAGACGTACGCACTGCGGTGTGCCTCACGGGCTGTGTATTCTGAACCTGATGGTGTAGCCCTTCCTGGTTCTGAACCTTGGACTTACGGGCAAGTGATCGCTCCCGCCACTGCTCGTTGCCTCGGTCGTCTGTACGCGTTGGTGAACGACTGCGACTGCGACCGCGGTCATAGATGTCATCGGTATACTTCTGGACACGGGATTGGACAGACGCTCGACCTTGCCGATGGTCTTGTCGGGTTCTCTCGTTCGACTTGAGGGGCGGCCGGAAATACCTATAATCCTCTACCACGGGAGGCGAATTATGTTGAAGCGGTGTTTGCACTTGTACGGACGAGAGCTGTCGTTGACATGTTCTGTCGAACGTCGGAGGCGCCAGATGTGGTGTAGAACGTGCGGCTAGAGGAATCCCATATGGCCCACAATCACCTTGAGACGGCGCACCTGGTAGAGGTGGCGGAGGATTATTTGGTCCGTACAAGCCAGCGAGCTGCGACATCGTGGAATGTTGTTACGGCACGACTTAGATCAAATGATCGACTGTGTCAGGGATGAGGGGCTCATGAGGCGGCACGTACAAATACGTACAAGCTGGATTCTCGTTACACTCGGACCAGGGAAAGACGTTCACCGCGGCTTTACATCCCAATAGACAATACGCGACCGCGCCGCTGGGTCTGTGTGGGCAGCAGCTCCACGTCATCATTTCTCGGTCCTCTTATTATACAAGCTCGGCCGTCCATGCTCGAGAAAGATTAGGATGATCGCCGCTTGAATCTAGTCAACATTAATGCGTTCTGTGCACTTTCTATCAGGGTTTCTCATGGACTGGTCCCCCTCATATCGCTACCACAACGTTGAGGAGGTCAGAAAGAGTTTATATTCTTGGGCACTTGGTCCTTTCGATAAGGGTTTCCATTGAATATTATCACCACTCTATGAGACATTCACATCTCAAAGCTACCCAACCTGGTTCCTGGGTTTGTTCTAGCATGAAGACTGGTTTACGAATGGTTCTGATGTCTTCACTGATCACAATCGATATGTCAAGGCTTGGGTGATAACCTTCGATTGATATCGACAAAAAAATGTACGACTATTATCTCATTTCCTGTTTCCGAAAGAGCATAGTTGGTGTTCGAAGGTTTCATTTGTCTTGTTTGATGAGGTATCAAGGTCTCATATTATTCTGCGGCCCCACATGGTCGTCGCCGAACTCGTCCCGACGTACCCACACGTCCGCCAAATTCAACGAAAACTTTCAAAAAATTCTCTTCCTGTCAAACACCAGCAGCAATCTGTTATCGATCAAGTTGCCAAAGTCATATATATATACTCTTGCCTGTAAGATTGTTCATCAATCAAACAACAGGCCGGCTGGCCCAATGGCAAGGCGCTTGACTACGATTTGCTCGAAATCAAGAGATTGCAGGTTCGATCCCTGCGTCGGTCATCTTTTTGCGTCTCTGCCTTTCACTCCTTCATTCTTCCGAGACTGGATTCTATGGGCAGGAAAGCTTGTTTTCACTTTTTGCGCTACCGACAGCAACGACAGTAACGTACAAGAGGTCATTTGGACACGACAAAGACAAGTAACAGCCTTCCGACATTTTGTTCTAGGTTCGAACAAATGGATAAAGAGAAAGCAATGGGAACAATTCCAGCAGGTAGGTATATTGTTGAGCGGTATAACCTGTACCCAGAGTATGACATGTTCTCACGCGTTACCACACTAGCTCCCTTTTAAGCGAAGACTGCCAGACAAAGTAAGCTGTCGTCTTTGTGGCTCAGCTGCGAAACCATACCTATCAATTTATAAAAGCGTTTACTAGGTGTGTACTGCTATAAATTTAGGAGCAAGACTCCTACCTTACTCATCATTGATGTATCTAGCTAGCAAGCTGTTGCAAGATCTCGCTGCATCTTGGTTCCTAGTATTACGACTAGGTAATTGGGAGGCACGATAGTCTTGCTTGCATCTCCGTAGGCTAGAAGGGCTCACTGTAAACCCTCCTATCAACTTCGCCCGCTATGTTCCAATAGGATTGCTTGCGTAGATATTGATATCTTCCAGATGAGCAATGACCAGAAGAGCCATATGTATATGACTTTCACTCTAGATGACAACACATTCCTCACATCCACCCTGGTGGGGGGTACCACTTCTCAGTCGCAGCAGCAATCGGCTCTTGGATACTGTCCTCTCTACCATCACCTACCTCAGATATGGTACTCAGTATCGATCCTGAGTCTAGACTCGCTACATCCCTTGGTTGAGACTCCAAACAAACTAGCTCGGGGAACACATGACCCTCCATCTCGGCAAATGGCTGGCCATCTGTCGCGTTAAACGCAACGCTATCTGCCTATCTGCCTCGCACTTTGGCTGATCAGGTAATTCTTGGTTCCCCACCTCAGTTATCGACAAACTCACCTCTTTTGCGCGCTTCCGATGGTGGATCAACCACAATAACAGGCAGAGCACGAGTGTAACTAGAATCGCAACGCCAATCGATATCCCTGCAATGACACCCGTGATCAGGACGAACGGATGCGCTGGTTCAGCTACTTGCAGACTCGAAATAGACATGATGACTTGCTTCTCGTTGGTTGCCAGAAACAGAGCCTGATGGACCGAGAAATCGCCCCGCTCGTAGTCGATAGTGATGTACGCCTCTTGTAAGAACGTCTTCCCCAGGGTATACTGCGTCAAGTTGTATGAGCGCCGTATCGGGAAGTAGTTTGTCGCGTTCTCGTAGATGGGATGTGTGGCTTAAGTATGGTATAGAGGTATAAGTATAACTCTGTGTTCTATTCTATTTTGTATCACAAACTGTCTATTCGACTACGTCGTTTTCATCTCGCAATCCTGTACTCTTCTTTACCCGCTAGCTCTGTGGTCCAATTCCGTCTCCAAGATGATTTCGCCGCCAGTACTTGCGCATCTTGCTTTGCTATCTCTTGTTCTCATGCCCTGCTTGGGACGCGTTGTTCCTGGGGCCCGTAAGTCTATCCACATCCCTTGCCATTAATTGCACATCATCCCTGACATGAGCCCCTTATTAGAACCCGACTCATCTCCAACGCAAACGACAGCGATTGAAGACTATGTTCACACGGCGGTTACCTCGACTGTACGGACTTCACCAACCATGCCAACAACTTCACCAACATTCGCAGAATACTGCAAAGACATCACCATCCCAGTGTAAGTCCCTACACACTCCACACTCTCCAACCTCATACTCATATCCAGCAGTTGGGACAGATACAACGCCGGATGCAACCCAGACGGACGCCCTCAAATGCTCAGCCGGGTGAGTGGCATCTGGCTCCGCGACGCAAGCATGACTGGAATCCCGAGTCCTCCATCCTCCGCTCCAACCGTGCCGGCATCGACGACAGAGCAGCCCAAGTTGAAGCCGTTTCAGTTCAGTCAGGCGCAGAGCTTGTTCAAAAGTCGTGCATCAACTGCGATCGCGGAACAGAGTGTACTCGATACGAGTATCTCGCGTCTGGTGGCAGTGACTGATGAAAGGGCTGGTGCGATCTACCGTCGACAGAGAGGTGTGCGAGGTGATCTGGTTGGGGATGGTGGAGATGATTAAGAGTTTGTTTTGCGGAAAGAGCGGGTGGGCAAGTGATACCAATACCGTCGGTCTGTCGCATGTTTTTCTTTGCTCGAGTGGGATGGTACTGGTCGGGGCAAGAGGTAGTTCGGTAATGTGGCGGTTAGGCGGTAGGATGTGTGGGATGCGAAGGGACTCTTCTGGTTGACGAAATCATCGGTCTGATGGTAGCATTGGAAGATACACGTCGGCGTGAAGACGATAACAGAGCAGGAAACATATGGTGCGAGAGAAGGGGAGAAAGCTGTTCAGAGTTGAGCATGGTGCAGCTTTTCTTCGGTCGGTATAATCAAACATGTACTTTCGTACCATGTAGATGTTAGAACGGTGAGAGTGTGGTATGATTTTCTGTACTTAGTGTGGGGTTTGATGACAGTTTCGTTGTTCCCAAGTGAGTGTTAATCTTTTTTTTCTTACTTCTCTCCACTTCTTACCATCGAACTACGACTAAATGTGCTAGAATCAGCCATTTATCAAGGGTCAAGCGGGGTACTCAAGAACCTTCGCAAATAAGCCTGCATAGTCCCAAAGTCGCAGCGCATCAACCCACATTTACGATTACACAGCAGCGCGTCAAGAGTCAGCGCTGAAATGACACACGCTCCAGCGACCAGGAAGCATTTTCCCCATCCTCGCTAGGCCGATCTTCGGAAATGTTTCATCCGAGAATGCATCAGTCTCCGAATGGACGCGCGATAGGATACGAATGTTTACACGCACGCGTCAGGCATGGCATTACTGCGCGATTTGCTTGGCAAGAGGCGCTGTCTGTCGGATCGCCAGGTTCCGAACTAGTCAATGCGCCCAACAGAGCAGCGGGTGGAGGCTAAGCGGCCGCTATGTTAGCGGTGACTACGAGAGAAAAAGAATGCGAATGTTAAGTATGACAAGCTGAGCATAGCTGTGGTGAATAAGCCTGCAAGCTGACAGATTAGCCTGAGTGCGAGAGTACCTGGACGCCTAACGATGATCCGGCTAAATATGATCCATCTTCGCGATGACAACAAACAGCGAGTGGCATCGCGCAAAACCGTTTCAGAGTCTATTTACTGATGCAAGATTGGCGTCGTCCCAAGTACTATCGGTACGCCATGTTTTTTCTTGACTGACATCATGCCGCGCCACGTGCAATATCAACCGCAGATCAGTCAGGCAGCTAACAGATGCCAGATCCCAGTTAAGGCCGCGACGCAAGGCACATCAATTGCTGACGACTTTCGCAATTCTCCTCCAACAACCACACACACACACAATTACGCCTTGGAAACCCCAAGCTTCCACACCCGCCAAGATGATGCGCAGAAAAACCGCCTACACAAACATCACGCCTATCCCGTCCTTCATCCCGCGCCAACTCGCAATCGACATCCTACACAGCCACGGCGAAGTCATCGAGTTGAATCCGCTTGTCACCGGCCATAACGCAATTAAAGCCCCGCGCGACGCCCCCAGCGATGAATTCTACTCGACGTGGTATGAGATCTCGCAGCGCATCCAGTACATCCCCGGTATGGGCAAGTATGGCAGCGGCGCGATAAAGTTCAAGGGCGTCTTCCACGACATGCCCTGGGGATTGCAGACGCATATCTATGCGCCCGCGGGAGTCGACCTGCGCAATAAATGGCAGATATGCGGCAACCAGCCGGGTGAGCCTCCGCAGACACATGAGATGGGAATTGGCGCGCCGCCAGAGGGCTTGTATCTACGCGAGGATATCGAGATAAAATGCAATATGACGATGGTCAGCTTCGTCAAGAAGGAGACCAAAGCCGCGTCCAAGATCCTCGTCGAGCGTCTGATCAGGAAGGCCGAGCTGCTTGATTCGGGCATCCTGCATGGCATGATGCAGGGCGGGAAGCTCAAGACGGTCAACCCAGCAGACCGCCGCTCGATGCAGAGCCAGGTCTCCCCGCAGACATCACCCAGACTCACATACCACCTCCCCCCGTCGCCAATGTCGCCCAACCACCCCGGCGCTGCATTCCCACAACAACCAGGCCAGCACGTCGCGCCCGACCAGCTCCTCGGCCAGAATAACGTCGTCATGGAACTACCCGGCGACTTCTACCACCCACAATCCTCCCCAGGGTTGCTGCACCCCAGCGACCATCGCCGCTCGACCTCAACCGCCTCGACCTCCGCGCCCTCCCCCCACCTCCCCGACGCGCGCTGGTCGCAGTCCGCCAACGACAACCGCAGCTCGATAAGCTCGCTCGCCCCCTCCGAAGGCCCGGACCAAAAGGCCTTCACCGCCGAACTACCCACTATGGAGGAAACGCGCGAGGAGTACGACGACAGGCAGAAACGAGAGAGCGGAGATAGGCAGAAGATTCAGAAGTATGCGTATAATCCACAGGACTATGCGAAGATGCAGCTTCAGCAGCAGCAGGTCCATCAGCAGCAGCAGTTTGCGCAGCCGCCGCAGTATTCGGCGTATCATCCGCCCGGGCGGTAGGTTGTTCTTTTGTTTGGGAGTGAAATGGTTAATGGTTAATGATTTGTGGCTTTGTCTTTGGCTTTGGCCGTTTTTGATACCCTTGATTTTTTCGTAGCAAATTCAATGTTGTTTTTATACTTATACTGCGTACTCAAGACTGGTCCTCTCAGTTTGGTCGAGGGTGAAAACCGCGAAGCTGACTAGTGGGGAAACGATATGGCATTAACTCGATAATTGATTTGACAATTGCAATCGAGGCCTATATTCGACTTGATACGCGACAGTTAGTTCTTTTACACGCCTAATCTACTCCTCTTTAGGGCAATCAATCACACCTTGCGACACGGCTGTATCACCCTTATCGTTGTTGTGCCGAGGAAAAAGAACGCAGTTTGGTTCCGTCGAGGGAAGTAATTGAGAGGCTGGGACTAGGAAGCGCGGTGTTGACTATGCCTGTCTTAGTGATACCACTTCCCCAAAACCTGGCTGTGCATATGCAGGTCATGTTCCGCTGCTTGGAGCATGTCGTGTTTCTCCTTCCCTCCCCTCCAGATCTTCCAAAGGAACGTACTCCACCGTCGTCTCCGCCTCCTTTTTCGCCTCTTTTCTCCTCTTCATCTCTCGATCGACCCTCGAATGCTCGAATCGAGTCTCTTTCATGTACCTTACGTACGGGACTTTCTCAATGCCCACATGCACACTTCCATCACCCCCCACATAACTTCCATACCCGTATCTACAGTCTAAATCGTTCAGGTACTTCTCCCGTTCTTTGTTCGACATATGGCTCGTACTCTGGAGATCCTTGACAGCGGCGCTCGAGGCGAAGAGTGCGATGACAGCGGCAATAGAAGTAGGCATGCGTGCAAGATAGCGGCCAGGGCGACGGAGATATAGAATAATAGAAACGATGATGTAGATTCCAAGGATGACCTCGGATATGATAAAGAGAGGAACCGTAAAGAATATGCGTTCTTCCTGAGTGATTGCCGAACCTTGGATCTGAGTCGTTGTATCTGTTGCTGGCGTGAAAAGGAGATGCTGATTGATACCGAGCCAGATTGCGAAGAGCCTCGCATACGCCCTTTCCAATGGTTTTTCTATGTCTGCATAGGTAGGGAGCGGCCCAGTTGGATCGGTCAGCGATAGATTTCCTACCGCCCGATTGATGAAGTAGTGGAGGTACTCGCTAGCAAATGAGTCGTTGTGATAACCAGAGTACCGTCCGCGGAATATGAAGAGGTTTGACTGTGCCACAAGACTATCCAGCCCATTGGTGGAGTACTTCTTGAGTGCATCCGCACTCTGATCGGCGTCTGGTGAGAATTCCGATACCTTTGATTGCAACACGCCTTGACCGTTTACATGAACATCAGCGTCGCCAACCGAAATTGTTGGTTGACACGTCATCAAGAATGTGTTTTCGCTGCTCGCTTCCTCGAAATCTGTGGGTATGAACTTGCGGGGATGTGTACAATTCCCTTGCGTCGTACGCATCCATCCTACGGCTACAGCAGACCTGCAAGTGTCCCAGTCATGCTTGCTGGCGTTGCGCCCAGCGATCAACGTCGTCAACAGTTCCGCGGCTGTTCTGCCAGTTGGACAAGGATCTCCAGCAACAATCGGTCGGCTGCCCTGGCCAAGTGACTCGCCGAACTCTTTAGTCACTATTTGAGGCGCGTAACAAAGCGTCGACACGCCAGCTGTGTCAGGGATTTTGATCTCAAAAAAGCTGGCCGGGGCTTTATCCTCTTTTCTTGTCGGATCCGATGACTTCCTGTCAGTGTTCCACAGGCGCAATTCATAATCCTGCCCGAAGACCTGGGGCTTACAGTTCGGCTTTGCGGTGAAGTACTTCGTACGTGCTCGATAGCTACCATCTGTAAGTTGCGCCGTAGAGTCAGCGGCTCTGAAAGGAAGATACATGGCAGTCTCATCTACCCACGACGGCAATGATGTGTTACGGGTATAATTCGACTCGGACACTAGAAATTGTACTTCGCCAGTACCTCCTTGATACGCGCCAGAATATTGGAGAGACGCTGCGATAGGACGTCCGTCGACTGGTGGGCCAGAAGAACCATTGATACTCACGAATTGTGCCTCGTATGGCGGCGGGAACCCAGTCTGATGAAACATGTAAGTTGTGTCTTGATAGAATAGACCTGCAAAGCTTGTCGCGAGAAGATTCGCCAAAAGTGACATTGCACAGACTGAGGCTAGCACTAGATGTCTGGCACGCATAGCTTTGACGATTGTAAGCTGCGGCGGAAGTGACGTGTAATTTAACGAGATAGATTTCGATGCTGGTGCTTTAGAGCCTCGCAACTCTTCAAGTGGTTGTAATACACAAAGCAGACGATTGATCAGGATCCACGTAGGTTCTATAAGAGTTGCAATTGCTGTTGGCAGATATTCGGTGACAAGATTTTGCACGGTCTGATTTTTCGAGGGTAACGGTAGACCTGATAATTGTCAACAGCAGTCCAGAAGGATAAAATGGCAGAGAAAAAGGCAGTGCATGTTTGACTTACCTTGTGGCCGACTTTTGACAAATAGGATAGCAAGGAGTATCATCAGCACAACAAACAGAGTGATGAAAGGAATAGCAGTGATCAACCGGAATTCTGTAGGTCTAATGGGTCCTATGACTCGCAGATCATCTGTTGATTCTGGTTTGGAATCTTCTAACAAGCGCTGTTGGGACTCGATAGGCGGTGTTACTTCAGTGATGCTGTAGGTTATTAGATTTTGGACCAAAGGACAGGTCACTGACTCACCGACTGCAAGCATCATCGGTATAGAGGAGGTAACCTCGTTTTCGTAGCTTTCGTTGCAGGTAAGATGTGGAAGAGCAGTCCAGATCCTCGAAGCTCGCGACCAGAGGGGCGCTGTCGGCGACCATTGACATGACTGCAGCAACAGAGCCTGCATTGTAAGCGCCAAACCAAAAGTAAGTAGTGAGCCATACCTGGATCGTCTTTGAGCTCTATACTCTTCCATCTGAACACGCCAATGCCAAGCAGTGCGATTGCCGCGACCGAAACCGCTCCAAGAAGGCCTTCAACAAGATAGGTAAAGACCGGTGTCAGCACTACTGCCTCAACATGTGTTACGCGTTGACCAGCAACTTCTCGTGTTGATGTAGAGAAGTCAGTCGCTAGGATATCAACCATCGCACGAACAAACAGAAGCCTATAGGCGTTTGCGTAGGCTTCTCCCAGGATGAGCGGATCCAAGAAGGCTTCGATGGGGCGTTGTGAGGTCGTGATAGCCATTGCAGTCATTGGAGGGAACTCCATACCTGTGCTCCATCTTTGGAGCTGAGTCAAGTCCAGCTCGTCGATCGTTTCGAGATATCGAGGTATACCATTTCCCATCAAAGTATCACTCCTGAATCCCGCTGAATGATAGCCAGTAGTGAGTGTTCCCTCGAAGTCGCTGGAGTTGAATAGACCGACAGACAGAGGCCGCTTTGGCCCAAGAGGAACGACTTTGAGTGGTGTCTTCGTGACAACGTCAACTGTCGCATCCACATCTCGTTCATAGTAACTTAGTCGACAGGATATTGCAGTGAGATTGTTGGGTGGATCGCTTTCGCTGAGTTTGTTACGAACGAATGATGCGAAAAAACTCCCGTTGCAGGCAGGGCGCCCCAATGAATAACCAATCTCTTCTGTCGACAAACGATCCCCTACAAAATAACCCGCGAAAAAGCTCGAGAAGGTTCTGTATCGTACATCATCGCTAAGGGGGATTAATTGGTTACTCTTAGTATCAATTATGCTGCCGATAGTGTCGTTGTTGAAATCGCCGAGGAGGATCGAGCATCCAACGGAGTTGTTGAAGCGCGTCATGGGTGAGGTGTAGTCTTCCAACTCGCTCATTTTCGTCACAACGACTGTGTTTACATCCTCGCATTCCAAATCCATACTATAGAGAGTTGTGTTGGCCTTCCAGGTGCCCGAATCATCGGCTGGGCTGCTGGGTGTACTCGTAGTAAAGGGTGCAAGGGTGTAGTTCCGTGTCATGAAAGGTGGCAGCGTCTCGTTCAGGTTAAGAATCCCATAGGCAGAGTGAGTGTAACTCAATGTAAGTGTTGACTCCTGTAATGTCGAATGAATGAATCTTTCTGACACAGCAAATGTTTGTGCGAAGGTACGTGTGACGTTTTCGTTCGCGAAGATACCAGCCTGGAGAGGAACAATGCCAAATGTGGTCAGGAATGTAGCAAGGGAAGCCCAGAAAACCAGCCAGTGCCTGTAAGCTTTCAGTTCATGGATCTTGACCGCTGTACACTTGCTTTAGAAACCTACCTTCTCTTAGCTGCAGTAAATGGTACAAAAGGCATGAAGTCGAAAGGATATTGAAGTAGCAGCGAGTCTTTGCCGAACGCGCCGTCTGGTTTGGACATTTGGCGATATGGCTCGAAGCGCTTGGCGTCGTTGTCAATCCACACAATGAAGATGCTGAAGATGACGGCGATGATAGTCGGCATGTAGAGATACGCGAAGGAGCGTCGAAGAGGCAGATCATTGATGTTCGAAGCGAAGATGACACCACCATCAGTCTGACTCTTGTGGAGATAATACTGAAGAACAGCAATGAAAAACCAACATATGAGTATGGTGATGACAAGATTCCACCATCGTAGAGCTGGAGGGCGCCAGCCTTGCCGCGAACACGGAGATGGTTTTCGTTTCTGCGAAGGAGCCCATCGTCCGAACAGAGCCATAATCGACGGTGGCACTTGTTTGTGGCGGCTTAATTCCTCGAGGTTGGTGATGCTTAGCAGAGCCCTGGATGGCAGTAGGCGCTACTTGTAAGTCGACTCAGTCTTTTCGCGTTTTGGCCCCCATGACAAGGCCCCCCTTGGGAATACCATGTCTTGCTGTGTAAGACGCTTACCATAGGTCTGCCAAGCACGTTTCTAATTGGCGTCACGTACATCTACAGCGCGTAAATACTAAACATAGTAACCTTTTGTAACTCTAATTTGATTTGGGATGTACAGGTAACGCGAGAAAGGATAGGCCATAACTAATAGTGCGAAGTCTTATGATGCAGATCGTGAAATTTGAGTGTTCTTTCTCAAGTGAAAGAAAAGCGGCGAACGTGGCGCCGATGCCTGACGCTAGTTGGAACGGGCATTGTTTCTGATTGGCTGTGACGCTGCAAAGTCTCACTCTCTATGCACCTCTGGCTCTGCGCCTTCTTTACATGATGTACCTATTGCTCGAACTTGCTACAATCTTGCCATACGTGTATGCGTAAGACTCGTCATCATCTTATACAACCTGAGACAGCACAATTTGCCGCTCCCCGCCGTCCATGGCTGCAGTCACACGCATTGCAGGCCTATCAGGTCGACGATACATCATTGAACGAGTCTTGCAAGACAAACCAGGACCGCTAGGACGTATATACCTTGCTTCGTGGGTCTAGTCTAAACTGGAGGTCTACAACCCTGCTAACACCCCGTTTGCTGAGCTGGTAACCAGCAATACGTCCTGAAGAGCGTGTCAAAGAATGACTTCAAACCTTTCCAAGATATGTTCAATGATCTTCGAAAGTGCCCCTACGTCCGAGTGGCCGACGACGCACTTCCTGATCAATCGATGTTTGCCTACAGATACTTCAAGGGCCATCTGCTTTCTTTCGCGCAGAGAGATGTGTCTCTCCCTCTGACGAAGAAGGTGCTAAAGGACTCTCTGCGAGGTATTGCGGCGTTACACGACAAAGGTATCGTGCATACGGACATCAAGGCCGATAATATCATGGTGGATTGGAATGAGACAGGTGGCTCCACTACCGTTACCCAGGTCCAGATTGCCGACATTGAGGATGCTGCGTATGTTCCTAACGACTGCGCCATCGTGGGAAGGCAGGTTGGGAATTGGATGTGGCGGAGTCCCGAGGCTCACGCGTCCGGTCAGGTTTCCAAGCCATCTGACGTCTTCTCTTTTGGGATTGTCGTGAGTATTGAACGAGCATATATATGTTCATTTTCTCACGGGACGTAGTGCATATATGCTCTCACCAGACGTGTCATCTTGGCTGTCGGCGATGAAGAACTCCAAGATGGAGAGGACAAGCTGGCTATCGTTCTCGAACGGCAGCTGTCCTACTTCTCTGATATAGACAGTTTGTATGGCCTGCTCCAGCATCTCGGAGACAGCCCTTGGGTGCAGATCTTCACAGTGATCGCAGAGGGTTTCAACGCAGAGTTTCCTCGGGCGCCGTTCGCGTTGTGGAAAGATGTCGATCCGGAGTTCAAGGACCTAGTTGGAAAGATGACGAGCGTTGACCCGAAGAGGCGGATCACAGCCCAGGAAGCTTTGGCGCATCGATGGTTTGCGGATGTAGCGTGAATACCACATTGCATCGGCACAGCGCGGTTGTATGCCTCCGCTTCTCGTCAACGCTAGTTCTTAGAATAAACATACTACGCCTCAGACTCATCAAGATTACAAACTACGCCTTTGTCAGAGTATTAGTGAACAGTCACGGAGTAGAGTCTAAATTATCCAGAGCTCTTGGCATGCTATATTGATAACCTCGGGTCGACTGATCAATTCGTGACACCTCAATGACGTCGAGATTTGACAACCTCACCGGGTAATAAATGGTACATCATTTGGAGTAGCTTTGGAGCTATAAAACCAAACACAAGGCTCACATCATGTCACGCCTAAAAACTGTCCCGTCGTGTCGTCAAGATGCTTTCTTCGATCTTGCTAACTGCGAGTGCACTAACTCTAACATGCGCGCAACAATTGCTTCGCGACCCAGGTATCGCAGGGCCACCTCTCGAGATTGCACATCTCTACAATGACCAATGGCCCACAGGTAGGTCCAACACTTCACCCATCCATCCCCGATCCCAGTCTCCTCACTAACGCCATGGCAAAGGCATAACAGTATCGCGCACCGGCCGCAAGTTCTCCAACTACCCCGGCGGCCTCGACGCCAACAACACAAACACAGGCACAAACAACAAATACACAGTCGCAGAACTAACTTCCAACAACACCGAAACCCCCTACCCAAACGCCGAAATCAACAACCCCCCAGGCGGAGCAATAAACTACACCACCACGCCCCCCACAGGCGCAAACTACCAAACTCACCTCATCGGCGTGCAAAGCGTCGTCCTGGACCCTCTAGACCGCCTCTGGATCCTCGACACAGGCCGCGTCTTGACCGAAGATGGTACGCTCGTCCTTGCTAGCTACGGGGGCCCGAAACTCATCGCCGTGAGCCTCGATTCAAATACCGTACTCAAGACGATAGTCTTCCCAACCACCGTCGCGTTCCCGGACACGTACCTCAACGACGTGCGCTTCGACTTGCGCGCGCAGCTCACTGCGTCGGGGGAGGGCGTGGCGTACATCACCGACTCGAGCAGCGAGGGGCGCAACGGCATCATTATCGTGGATCTAGGTACCGGCGAGAGCTGGCGCCATCTAGACAACATCCCTGAAGTGCGTCCTGAGCGCGGCGTCGTGCCGTACGTATGGGGACAGCCCGTGTACTACATCCCCGGTCCGGGCATGCCAGTCACGACTGCGCCGCTGGGCAGCGACGGCATCGCACTGTCTGCTGATGGCGAGGAGCTGTACTTCGGCCCTGTTGGTGGACGCGGACTGTTCAGCGTATCGACCAAGCGACTACGCGATCGCAGCGCGAGCTCGGAGTTACTAGCCCAAGCTGACGTGCGGCGTCGCGGACAAAGGGGTATAAGCGACGGCTTCGAGACAGACACCAATGGCTTCATCTACGCGGGCAATGCGGAGCAGAATGAGATCGGGTTTTATAACCCACTGAACGCGTCTATGACGATGTATGTGCGTGATCCTAGGATCAGCTGGGTCGATACGAGTAAGTTGCCCGTATGCGTAAATAGGGGCGCAGTGTGCTGACGAAAACAGTGTCCGTGGCGAGTGATGGGTATTTGTACTTTACGGCCAATCAGTTTGCGTTTCTGAAGATTTTTTTCCCGGGGACGGATAGGAGACAGAGGCCGTTTCCGCTGTTTAGAGTGAAGCTGCCAGGGAACGGGACGCGGGTGAATTTGCAGTAGGCTTTGCACTCTTAGTAAAGAAGGTTGGAAAGGCGTTGTCGTGGGTACAAGAGCAGAATCAAACAGTACCTGTGAAAAAGAGCATGAATACCTGATGATACGCATATCTACAACCATCCGATCTTTTCCCCACATCCTAGCACCCTTCCTATGTTTTTCCAAACACAAACACCCCCTTGCCTTCCCGATAACCCTCCAACGTACTCTTGACCTTTGCAATCAGCTCCTCGCCCTTGGTCTCCCACTCCCACCTAATCTCATCGACGGGAATATCCCTAAACTCGCCCTTGCGCGTCATCTCCAACACATCCGCAACCGTCGTCTTCTTCTCGTCGGGATGTTTCTCCGCCCACCGACTCACCCAAAACCCGTGGAAGTGGATGTTCTTGAAGATCAGCATTGAGGCGGGGATGGTGAGGGGTTGCTTGGACATGGCGCCGTACGTAACGAAATGCGCCGAGGAGGACAGTAGTTTAGCCATGGCTGTAGCGGCTTTTCCGTTTACGCAGTTCAGCGCCAACTTGATGGGTTCGCGACCGCCGTTTGTCCACTCCTTGGACATGTCTTCTATGCCTTGGCTTTGGAGTTCCGTGTCCGTGATGACTACGTCTGCGCCGAGCTCCTTTAGTTCCTTCTTCAGCTTGTCTTCTGCGGCTTTGTCGTCGCGGCCGCGAATGATGTTTATGCTCTTGTATCCCCATTTCTTGCCTAGCTGAATTGCCGCGCGCCCGACGCCCGAGTTTGCGCCGTTCTGGATGAACCACTCGCCTTCGCTGAGCGTTGTGAAGTCGCGCAACATGCGGTATGCTGTGCATGGGTTGATACTAATAGTGCCTGCCTGAATTGGCGAGATGCCTTGTCGCATCTCATCGTCCAGTTTGACGACTTGGTCTATTGTGGCGCTCGCGTGTGTTCTCCATGTTCCGAACCCAGGACCTTTCATAAACACCCAATCGCCCTTCTTGAATCCCTCGCTCTTCACTTTGTCGCCCAGCGCGATGATCTCGGCTACGCCCTCGTTTCCAGCGACAGCGATTGGGTCTGCTGTCCCGAGACTGGTCGTGAAGTTTGGTTTTGAAGGGTACACGCCCTGTATCTGGTTGATGTCGGCGGGGTTAATTGGAGAGGCGAGGAAGCGGAGGGTCATGAGGTCGTTATGTGGCGGCGAGATGGAGTGGCTGTGCAGGGAGAGGACGCTTGGTGGTTCGCCGTAGTTTGAGAATGTGAGTGCTTTGGCTTGTTCGTAGCCGTATGCGGAGACGTAACGGCGCTGTGATAGGACGGCTATGCGGGCTGGGAGTTGGCGGAAACATGTTGTCGCGACGCGCGGAGCTGGAGAAAGAATTCGTGATGCCATTGTGGCTGCCGTGGGACGTGGGGAGCTCTGTGGTGTCGTTGGTTCAGGATGGGAGCTGCTGGGTGATGTTTCGGAAGATTAGAGCTATGACGTTGGCCGGAACCGAGGCTGGTGGGGAACATTTCTTGTGCATGTTTACTCGTATTCTCCTCATGCAGGGTTCGATCGCCATGATCAAATTTAAGACACATCTCTTCTAAGAACGACGCCGTTAACTTTGCTTGATGGCGACGCAGTTGTCCAGTGTCTCGCCTTTTGGAGCCCCTGCTTATGTTGCTGACTCAATCATATCCAACGTAAGCTCGTGACCACAACGTGCTTTTGGGTTCAAGCAGTGCAACTCTCTCGTACGATGGCAACGCAACGACACCTGTCGACTATCACGGCCACGTGGGGGGAGTGCGGCCAAACAATGGCACAATGCCGCCAACGCTGCAACGCAGACACGCCATGCTCGAGGCCATTATGGCGTAGATTCTCATGGAAAGAAAATATTTCGGTGGAGTGATCGAAAATCGTGCCTGAGACTAGTCCGGTTCTTGTAGGTGGCGCACAGTACAGACGCAGGACCGAATACCTATCCCTGGAGCACATATAAAGTATCCTGACGGTAACCAGTACCTCATCAGGTGATCAGCAGCAGTGGACGACGGTGAGCGAGAGATCGGCGTTGGAGTCGGAGGGTTGTGGCAAGGATGGCCATGTGGGTCGCCGTGGCCGTGGTGGGGTGATGCACGTCATGTTGCATCTTGCAGACGCTGAACAACACTTTCTACAAACTTCTGATCACGGTGTTGGTGAACGTAAGTCTTATCGTCGCACGATAGACATGGGCCACTTGGGCGGTGACTAGTGTGTCAACAGCATAAATATCATAGGCGCACTTGCTTCAAACCCGTGTTTTAGTTGCTACAGGTCCGCCAAAGCTACCCCACTATCAAAGCTGTGCCCAGCTCAACACCTGAAGGGACCCGCTCTTCGGCCTCATTCAGTTTTTACCTAGACACAGCGCCTTTACCCACCTTGACCTCATACCTGATCCACTACTGAAGATACAACTAACAAACACACTCAACTATCCTTTTCTTTGAATCCCTCTCGCACTTCAACACCCCCTCCAACCTGCACATACGCACACCCAATATGGCGCCCACCGACCTGCCCCCACCCCTTGAGGGCAAGAAGAGGAGGATCGGAGTCATGACCAGTGGAGGAGACGCTCCTGGCATGAACGGAGCAGTACGAGCCGTCGTCCGCATGGCCATTCACAACAATTGCGAGGCGTACGCCATCTACGAGGGCTACGATGGACTCGTCAAGGGTGGAGACATGATCAAAGAAATGCACTGGGAGGATGTGAGAGGCTTCTTGTCTGAGGGAGGCACGCTCATCGGCACAGCGCGATGCATGGAGTTCATGCAGCGAGACGGTCGCCGGAAAGCCGCCAAGAACATGATCGTCAAGGGCATCGACGCCCTCATCATCTGCGGCGGTGACGGCTCCCTCACTGGTGCAGACAAGTTCCGCGACGAGTGGCCCAGCCTGCTCGACGAGCTGGTCCAGGGCAAGGAGCTCACCGAGGAGCAGATCCAGCCCTTCAAGCACCTCAACATCGTCGGCCTGGTCGGCTCCATCGACAACGATCTCTCCATGACGGACGCGACCATTGGTTGCTACACATCCCTTGGCCGCATCTGCGAAGCCATCGACTCGGTCGACACGACGGCCGTCAGTCACCAGCGTGCCTTTGTCATCGAGGTCATGGGCAGACACTGTGGTTGGCTCGCCCTCAGTGCTGGCGTAGCGACTGGAGCAGACTTTGTCTTCACCCCCGAGAACCCTCCTTACGAAGGCTGGGAGGCGGAGATGTGCCAACAGATCAAGAAGCAGAGGGCCATGGGCAAGCGGAAAACCATTGTCGTCGTCGCCGAGGGGGCCATTGACCGAAACCTGAACAAGATCACACCCCAACAGGTCAAGGACATTCTCTCCAACGAAGCCAAGCTCGACACCAGAATCACAACTCTCGGCCACGTTCAGCGTGGAGGTACTCCTTGTGCTTACGATCGCATGCTTTCCACACTACAGGGCGCCGAAGCCGTTAATGCAGTCCTGGAAGCCACTCCCGACACTCCCAGCCCCGTCATCTGCATGCAAGAAAACAAGATCGTCCGTCGACCTCTTCTGGAAGCCGTCGCTCAGACCAAAGAAGTCGCCGTAGCCATTGGAAACAAAGACTTCCACAGGGCCATGGAGCTCCGCGATACCGAATTCGAAGAGCAGTACAAGTCATATCACATTACAACAGCTGCCGACCAGCCTGACCTCCTACTACCAGAGAACAAACGTATGCGCGTTGGTATCATTCACGTTGGAGCGCCAGCCGGAGGAATGAACGCTGCCACACGTGCTGCCGTGGCGTACTGTATCGCTCGCGGACATACACCCATTGCTCTTCACAACGGTTTCCCTGGGATCATTCGCCATCATTCTGATAAACCGATGGGCGCAGTTCGAGACATTAAATGGATCGACGCCGAGACATGGGCCTCAAAGGGTGGGTCTGAGATTGGTACAAACCGTGGTCTGCCCAGCGAGGACCTCGAGACTGTAGCCTTGGTGTTTAGCAAGTACAACATCCAGTCGCTGTTCGTCGTTGGAGGCTTCGAGGCCTTCACCGCTGTCTCCGAGTTGAGGAAAGCACGCCAGTTCTACAAGCACTTCAAGATTCCCATGGTGAGTTATCCAACACTATATTTCTGGTAATAAACTAAGTCTATACTAGGTTATCATCCCTGCCACAATCTCGAACAACGTCCCCGGAACAGAATACTCTATCGGCTCAGACACCTGCCTGAACGCATTGATCCAGTACAGTGACGCCTGCCGACAGAGCGCCTCTGCCTCGCGTCGTAGGGTGTTCGTCATCGAGACACAGGGCGGCGAGTCTGGCTACATTGCCACAGTCGCAGGTCTCAGTATTGGAGCGCTGGCCGTCTACACTCCCGAGGAGGGAATCAACATCAAGATGCTGGACCGCGACATGGACCATCTGACAGAGGTGTTCAAGCAGGACAAGGGCAACTCCCGGTCCGGCAAGGTGATTCTAGTGAATGAGAAAGCATCAAAGACATACAGCGTCCAAATCATCGCCCAGATGATCGCCGAAGCAGGCAAGGGCAAATTCGAGTCCCGCCACGGTGTGCCCGGTCACTTCCAGCAAGGCACAACGCCATCGCCTATGGACCGCGTGCGAGCAGTCAGGTTCGCGACCAAGGCCATGCAGCACATTGAGGCATTTGCTGGTCTGGACCCGGATGCTGTTGAAGACGACCCCATGTCAGTCAGCGTCGTTGGTATCAAGGGCTCGAAACTGCTCTTCTCCCCGATGGAGACGGTCGAGAGGAAGGAGACGGAGTGGCACCGCCGACGCCCCAAGCACGAGTTCTGGATGGCGCTGAAGAAGACGGTCGATACTCTTAGCGGCAGGCCGCAAGTTCATGTGGATGGGCCTTTGGACGTTGATCCCGTGTCGGGCAGGCCGAGGGGCGCGACGGTAGTCGGGACTTGAACTTTTCCTTCTCCCTGTGTATGATCCACTAGTAGAGTAGTATGACGGAGATGTCACGACTGCGAAAAGCTACTTGCTCTTAGATAGATTTCATGAATTCCCTACTTCTTCCACAAACCCCTCCTTCTTCCCCCCAAAAAATCAATCCTCCTGCCAC